TAATTTAGTTTCAGTCTTGGTCATTTTCTGAAAATTTTAGTTGATTTAGTCAAGGTTTAGTCCAAGTTAATTTCTGTACAGTTTGGATCAAAACGTTCTCAGACAGTTTTATAACAGCAACACCAAACAATACGATGATCATCTTGGCTGAAAATATGTTTTAATTTTCACTCACTCTATAATGGCAAGAAAAGAGCCAGAATATGAATAAAAAAGGGCCATTTATGGGAGCAAAAAAATCAAAGAAAGTGGAGAAATTTGAAAATACAGTTTCAAACATGAAATGAGGCAGTACAAAATCAGTCTAAATGATCCCTTACAGAGAGCCCTTTTCACCATGTAATAATGAATGACATACCAGGTCCTGGGAATAATACTCAGCAATCAACTCAAACCACCAAAGTTTTGAAAATCCATCATTAATTCACCATGGGTCGAGCGTTCATGGGGCTCTGAGCTGTACAGCTGTGGATAAATTGGTTTTAATGGATTTCATGGGGAGCTGTTGGTGGACCGAATGATTGACAAAGAGGTCTGAGAGTCACCATGGCCCTCTGCTCCTGCTCTGTCCCCGAGCAATGCTTCATTGATCAAACACATACAAACTGTCACTCTGTATTGCCAGGACGCCGGTGACAGACTCACCCGTCACTTCAATCATTAGTCAATCAGCCACACATCAAAAAGTCTGAGCCGTGAACTGAAACAGGAGCACGTTACGGACGCACTTTTAACTGATTAAAGGTAGAAAAGAAAAGGAAATATCTCAAAAATGCAGAGTCTGGGGTGCAAAACTTGATTCACTGTCACTTCAGCAGACCTTGGCTGTATACAGGAAAACTGCCAAGTGAAGAGATGAAGATCAATCCCTGCAAATGAAGCTACTGTAGGTTTTGAATGCCAAATGGTGCAAAGATTAGTGTTCAAAAGTCATGAAGATTTAGAGAGACAAAGTTTAACTCTTTAAATATATTGTTTCCTACAAATGTCTATTGCAGTTGTGAATCTGATAAACAATAGTGGCAAATGAAGTATTTCTTGACTTTTTCTGGGGACCTCATCAGCTTGGGGTCCTCTCTGCTAGTATGGTAACTGCAAAAGGACAAATGACACTAAAGCTTAAAACTCTGCAAAGTCTTCATTTAACAGCCAATCTCAATGTAAAAACGCATTTCAACCATCCCAGCACATTTGGCAACTTCGCCAGTTTGCCTAAAGACGGAAGGGACAGTATTTGAGAGACCTGCTAATGACATGCTCCTCTTCTCAGTAAAAGCCACCTCTTCAGCTCTTTATAGCATGATTTTGTCTAAAAAGAGATATATCCTTGGCAGATACTCCCTTCCTAGCATAGATGTTGTCTGAATTAAAGTTTTCAGAGTTAACACCACTTTGAAAATCATGGGCGGTTTGTCCATGAGGAAGGTGCACCACCAAAGGGAAAAAAATATATATTTTTAATCATATTCTTTCACCGTAGTACAGCAGTTGTAAACATTCTAGACAGTTTAAGCTGCTTTATGTGTTACTGTCCAATCACTGTAAGGCAGTGCTCTAGGAGGAACCACCCCTTTGGGGCAATTTCAGTCAGGCTGAAAATCGCCCAAAGTGCTCCCATTGACTCTAATGTAATTTTTTTTTTTTTGTTATTCCTGCCATTGCAATATAATCTCTTAAGGTTAAGGGAAGGTTTACCACAACAGGCTTTTTTCATACATAACATAAGGATAGCTGGTGTAGCCACTATGCGCCAGTCCCCTTCAATATTAGCATGGCAAGTGTAGCTCAATCGTTTCCTCGATAGAAATCCCCTTCAGTCGTCATAGCAATGAGGATAAATTGGCAACCAAACAACTGGGGCCCCTCAGACCAAATTTAGATATCAAACAGATTTCAACAGAGGGAGGGAAATCATGTAACCAGGGATTTTCGCGGATCTGATATGATCAGAAAACCTGGCTAGCGGGCTGTGAGACAGCTAATGCTTTATTCTGCTACCCTTGCACGCTGTTTCACCCAGATGGCAGCAAGGCAGACATTACAGTGTGGAGTCACAGACATGCACAATCTGTTGGAAAAGGTCAAGCAACATGAGTCTTCTAAAACCCTCATGGACCGATGTATCAAGTTTTCTGTGTTTGGGTGGGTGAACATCGCGACGCAGCTGTAAGAGAGCTAAAGGCTAGTGGTTTGTCGTCACAATGATGAGGTGAGATATCCTAGCCCGCCTCATCGACTGTGTCAAGTTCTGCGGTGTGTTTGAGTTGGCTGTGCGAGGCATGCCTATAGAAAACCAAGAACTGTAAATAAATACTACTAATATTTTGAACTTGTATCTACTACCTGTCTTAATTGATGGTGAAGCAGCTATCTCTCTCCATGTTTAAATGTATGTTTGATGTTCCTCTGTTCCCCTCTTAATCATTTACAGCTCATTCAAAATGCTGCAGCTCGTGTTTTAGCTGGTCACCATAAATATGACCACATTTCCCCTATTTTAGCCTCTCTTCACTGGCTTCCTTTTAGGATTGATTTTAAACTTTTGTTATTAACTTATAAATCTTCAGACAGGCTTGCACCTTTTTAACTTTCTGACCTTTTTCAAACCCTATATTTCATCTCGGACTCTCAGATCCTCTGACCAGTGCCTTCTGACTGTCCCTAGGTCAAGATTAAAGTTCAGGGGTGACTGGGCCTTTTCCATTGCTGCGCCTAAGCTCTGGAATGCTCTTCCTCTTCATGTCCCCCTCGCTGCCTGTTTTTAAATCAAATTTGAAAATGCACTTTTACTCCCTGGCTTTCAACTCCTGAGATCTTGGCCTTTTAATCATATTTTCACTGAACCATCTATGTCCCCCTGTTTTTAATGTGTTCCTGTGTCTTTGTTTGATTGTTCGTGTTAATTGTTTTAATTGTTTTTAGTTTTTACTGTACAGCACTTTGGTCAGCATTTTGTTGTTTTTAAATGTGCTTTATAAATAAACCTGGATTGGATAATGGCTTTTCTCTTTTTACCTGACTGCTTGATAAATCAGATTACTACAGAAACCAGATATTGATTATATATCAACTTATTGGTTTCACAAACATATTGAAGCTGTTGAAAAGGGGTTAGAATTAGGGGGGGGAATTAAGTCCAGTTTTTGTCCAGTCTGTTTTCCAATATCAATGTCAGATATAATTTAGATTTGAAAATATTTCCTACCCTTTGTGACAACCACACCTTGAATTGACCAGTTATTATGGTCTGAATACCTCTTACAATCCAGAGGGCGACCCACCACCTGTGACGTTCTTCAGCGGCTCTCCTTCTCCATGGAGATGCCATGAGGGCACAGGAGGATGTCCACAACTGACATGAGAAATGAGTGCGATTACAGCTTTGAGAGGTAATTATATGCACGTCATGGTGGCAAGGACCCATAAATAACGCCAGATCCGCCCCGTGTGCTTGTTCAGTAATTGGAGAACAATGAGGTGGGAGAAGGGAGCGAGGTGCATGCGGGGCCATGAAAGCACCTCATCTATTGTGCTCTCTATCACCCCAGAAGAAAGGAGGGTCGGTCAGGCAGAGAGGGCTGAATGATATCCAGCTCTGCTGTCAGTGTTTCTAAGAGCATGTCGAGGGGTTTAACGGGGTAAATATTCCAGGGGAAAGAGCACGTCTGTCTTTGAGTGTGGCTTTTGTTAAAGATGAGGTGAAGAAAAGTGAACGCACCAAATTATCGACTGCACAGCAGTTTGAGAGTGTGGTGTTGGGAATCTATCACACAGAGGGGACACATGCAGATCAGCCTGAGTTCTCAAAACATGTTGGACTGTTGGGGTTTCCAGAAAGCCCCTCTTAGATGGAGACCCCTCCTGCAGTTTTGCCAATGGCTTAATAGTCTCTGTTCGCCTGCTCCCAAAGCAGTTTATCTCTCGCTGAAGTGATAGGACAGTAAATAAGTAGCTTAGGACACACAAGAGCTTTTCTCTGACTACAGGGCGGTTGTCGATGTTAAGTAGCTATCCTTGCACGCTCCAAGCTAACATCAAAAGTGAAGGGGCCATGTTTCATGTGGGGTTCCTCCACCACAGAGCAGAGAGGGATAAGGGCAGACTGCTGCAAGTAGGTTCAATTTTATACAGATGTTTGCAGTTCTGCAATAAATCCATGCACATTTCTATTGCTTTGTTTATTGCTCAACTACCCTGGGGACTTGCACTGAAAAATTTTTATCTCTGGAAATGTCGTGGGTTAATTAACAGTATTATTAATCTCAATACGCAGCTGAGTCACACAACAAATACCCATAAAAATGCACCATGCTTACAGCACTGATCGGTCCATATAGTATGTCAATTAATGCTGCTGCTGCTGTTTTATCCTCATCATTTAGGTCACCTGTATAACAGTCAATACTCGTACATAGCCTGAACAACATGTTACATTGTCATGGCAACCACGTAGCAGAAAGCTATGTCTCAGGATCCTGTGAAATGCGAGACATCAACTATGGAGACCCAAATAGGCCAAAATACAAAACAGTAGCCAAGGCTGTGACTCTTTAAGCCAATAGAAAACATGTTGAGTGTGGTATCAACAAGTGCAGAAGGCCTCAGCCAGTTCCAGTCCAACATATTAGAATGCTTTCAAACTCAGAGGTTAATACAGAGGTGATGCTAAATCTGGTTAATCTACCCTCCTCCACCACAGATATACAAATATGCCTGAAATCTTGCACACACCTGTCTTCTCCACACTATAATTTCCTTTCTTTAGGTGTCTCCTGCAGAACTCTGAAGTCTTCTTACCCTCCTTTGTCACTCTTTCTTTTGTTTGTCTTTCTCACTCCTCCTCTTGTGGAGAGCGACGTGTTTGTGCATAATTTTCATTTCAACGGGTCATATAAATTCTTCTCCATGCAAATGAGCCAAAGTCTCTGAGGCATTAATCACCTGAAAACACGCTGCAAACACACACACTCATGCACGCACTCACACACACACAACACACAACACACACACACACACACACACACACACACACACACACACACACACACACACACACACACCAGGTGGCTCCATATTGCATCCCTAACATGAATAAATAATTAAATGAAATCTAATCTTTTTTATTTCATTTCCGCTGCAGCTGAATCCAATTCTGCCTCCACAGTTTGAGGACGACACTCAGGTGACCCACAGGTACAATTATCACCATTCAAGGCATTACAGAAACTCTTGTGTTTCCGAGGAGGTGGGCCGCACTCCATGTGTGAGATGGAGATAATGCGTCTGATATGTGGAGATGGAGTGGGAATAAAGTAATAACAAAAAAAAAAACTGCTGCTAGCATCAATGGCATTTACAGAGAGACAATACAAAGAACAAATAAATATAGATAGCTGTGCCCACTGTTCTCTGAAATGAATCATCTTCAACAATATGTCTCTGTGATTTTTTCTTCTCATTTCATTTCAGCCGAGGATGCAAACGCCTCCATATTTTTCACATCTACCAAGTTAAGAGTGTATTCCAGCATTATCTCGTCAAAAAACAGCTTCCATCTCTTTACCAGCCGCATTAATATTTCACTCATCCTCTCTCCGATATCTTTCCAGCTGAGTGAAATAACTCACGCGAGGCTGCTGGCAGCCCCCACAGCACTGTCATCTCTCATTCCAGGTCGAAAGGTTCATGACCTGAGGAAGCCCAGGCGGCTGACATGTAAAGAGTGTGGTCACATGACAAGCAGGTGACGAGAGGCTGGATAATTCATGTTACTGCAGCTCTCTGAGGCTGCAGATCTGTGAGTCTGTGGGGTAAGTGGGTGGAGAGGAGATATCACGCTGCAATGAGTAATCAGTGACAACAGCAAAACACATATCTTGACTTATATCCAGAGGAGCAGATGTCATTTTTAATACCTTTTCATTTGTTTACTGCAGACGGAGGATGTAGGGTATTAAATTAATTATCAGAAATGATGGAGCTAAAAATATGGACAACAATGGGTCTTATAGACAGATGACACAGCAGCTCCCCTTCAAGTGAAGTCAAAACATGTAGAGATCCTCCTACTGAAGAACTATGTTGGTCCAAATGAAACTGGACTTTAAAATACATGTGCATCAATCTCTCTCTTTCTCACTCTCTCCCCTCTCTAAACCCAACTCAGTCTCAGCACATGACTGTCTAACATGAGTCTGGTTCTGCTCAAGATTTCTGCCTGTTAAAGGAAGTTCTTCCTCTCCACCAGTGGCGGCTGCTGGTCTTTCAAGGAGGGGAAGCTCATTTTTCTGGCCTACATCATAATTGTGTTTGTTTATTTGTATGTAACAGAACAGAGTCGCCAAACACAACGGCAGTCATTTTTAACAAAGACAAAAGTCGCTGAGGATCGGTAAAGACTCCGGAGCAGTTAAGAACAACGGAATGAATAACTTGGAAAATGCTCTGGTAGACGTTTTATTCTTCAAGATCGCTGATTCGGTTGTTTAGCTGTCAATCAAAAAAGAATTTCGCCTCAGACAGCTCATCCAATCATGGATGCAGAAGCTCAGCGTCCGCGAGAAAGTTGGGACCGCCCTCTCATCATAGAACCCCAGAGACGCTAAGCGTCCGATGGGCGGGACAAAGCCCAGCATTTATCCAATGAGCGTCTAGTTTCGCTGCTGGAACAACCCACTTTGAGCTTCCACATTGAAGTCAGCAGATGCTGAGCGTCCGGCTGTGTGAAGCGCTGAGGCGCTGCGAGGATGAATGAGAACAAAGTTATGCCGGTTACCTGTGATTATCAGCTTCTTATCACAGTGTGATAAGAAGCTGATTCTGAACAAAAGATTAAGGCTTTCTAGCGCGTATTTAGTTAATGAAATGTACACACAGCAGTACGTATTTCACCACTTTTTCTTTTTTTGGGGGGTGACATTTTAAGGGAAGCTGGGCTTCCCTTGCAGTCTTAGAGCAATCGCCACTGCTCTCCAATGTAACTCTCTAAATGCTGTTAAGTGTTTCACTAATGTGGTTGAAGACGGGATGGGAGTAGATCTGATCTTGCAAGACAGGGCTTAGTCTGGTCCCATGCTTTATCTTTGGGTCTTTGGAAACAGAGTCTGGTCTAGACCAGTATCTTGTAGTGTACTGGCGCTATATAAATGAAGATTGCTTGACTGATTGACCTCAGTGAGTTTTGGCTGTCATTGCCCTGTCACTTGTTCACAAGCTGTCCTTCCCTGGACCACATTTGGTAGATACTGACCCCAGCAGACCAGTAACACCCTTGAATAACTGCAGTTTTGAAGATGCTCTGACCCAACTGCAATCTCATTCTTATGTTTTTCCTTTTTTTTTTTTTTTTTCTTTGTTTCTAACAAATCAACTCTGGAGACTAAGTGTTCACCTGCTGCCTCACACATCTCACTGAGAGGTGCAACCAGGAAATCAACTATATTAACTTCACCCCTGAGTAAAATATCATGAATTCATGTTTCTCTGCTTTCTAGCTTGAGGTCTTTTTATACAGTCTTTCTGTTCATAAGTGTTCATGTATTGAAACATTTAAAGCATCTTTATTGAGACGGACACATAAAAATGTGTGTGTGTGTGTGTGTGTGTGTGTGTGTGTGTGTGTGTGTGTGTGTGTGTGTGTGTGTCAAGCATCACAAGTTTCCAGATGAGCGAGATTCAGCGATTACCTTTACACCATCTCTCTGTATCTCCACCCTGATCCCTTCTCTCAATAATTGACTGCAGTGTAACAAAGGCTTAATCCATCTGTGTGTGTGTGTGTGTGTGTGTGTGTGTGTGTGTGTGTGTGTGTGTGTGTGTGTGTGTGTGTGAGAGAGAGAGAGAGAGAGAGAGAGAGAGAGAGAGAGAGAGAGAGAGAGAGAGAGAATGTGTGAGCAGCTTCTCTAATTAAATAAACGAATACACTCTGTATTCAGCCATAGCACTGCCTGCCTTGGCTGGCATAGCTAATGAAGTGCCCACACCCTTTCCTGGGCACTACTAGTGTGTGTGTGTGTGTGTGTGTGTGTATGTGTGTGTGTGCGTGCGTGCGTGCGTGCGTGCGTGTGTGTGCGTGATGCATAAAGTCAAGCTGCAATTAAAAGGCCTGTCAATGGTGTCTACCATAACAGAGACTTTGACTGTCACTATCGACCTGCCTCACCACACATACATAAACACACACTGTACAGAGAGGGAGGAGAGGGCTGGCATGGAGACAAGACAGAAGAGTGAAGAGTGAGGGATGCTGAAAGAGGGACAAGAAAAGAGGGGAAACGAAGACTATGATAGTGGACAAGTATTAATTTCGTATATTTCGTACATAGAACCCTCTTTGAATGATGCAGTCTGCATGCCCCTGATTGACTGTGCTCTCACACCTTGGGGCAACAGGAGACCCCTGCTGCCTAATGCGAGGGAGCTAGCCTCCACAATCTAGTGGGAAAACTGCTGTTTTTACAGCACTGTACCCTTGGCTTGATTAGCAAAACAGACAAACAACTGGTCACATAAACACACACTCAGAGTGTGGTCTACATAAGTGCATAATGTACACAAAAGGCACAAGGAATGTAACCTTCACTGCTCCTCAGATGCAAACGAAGGGGGACAGGAGCTCAAGAGCTCAAAAGTCATAGAGCTTTAAGCTGTGGGGATAATCCTAGGTAAATATGCCGTATTCGGGCGCAATATAACCTTAAATCCATCCAGAGCGAACAGGGTACAAGAGGAATGCACAGACAAAGCATGAAGGTCGCCCAATCTCTTTGCAGAACTCAAAGCATGTAGCAGTGCAGTCTTGCATGACAGAAAGTTCATATCTACAGACTTAGTACGCTAAAATGGGGGACCATGAAGAGCCTTCAGCACCAGCACTAAATTCCATGAGGGAACACTGGGTTTACAGGCCCAGCCTGTGGATTCCCCTCAGGAAGTGCATAGCAAAAGGGTGAGTGCTTGGCATCACTTCATAAAAGCCATTATGACATGCAGATGTAGCCGCCAAAAAGACCTTAATTGTTGAGAAAGAGAGACCCCTATCCAGCACCTCCTGAGGGAATGTTAAAACATCTGCAATAGAACACCAAATGGGAGTACATTTCGGTCCTGACACCATTGCTCAAATGCCTGCCATCTCTTTTGAAAGTCTTGTTCTCAGTCTTCTGCATCCAGCCTCAAAGACCATGAGACCACTGGTATTTGCTATAGTTTATCGCCCTCCAAGCCCATACTCTGAGTTTCTGTCAGAATTATCAGAGTTCCTATCTGATTTAGAGGTAAAATTAGTAACCTCTTGCCTTCATCAGGTGTCTCTCTCTTAGATAACCCTGAAATTGTTGAGGAGCCCCTAAGGCCTCTGGTGCACCTTAGTAACTTTGCACCTATTGACCTTTCTGAGTAAAAGTCAGTGGTGCTGGCAGCCAAACCATCTACGTGTCTTTTGGACCCAATTCCATCTAAACTGCTGAAGGAAACGCTTCCTTTGATCAGTACGTCCCTGCTTCACCTCATCAACACGTCTTTATTAACAGGATATGCTCCCCAGTCTTTTAAGACTGCATTGATTAAGCCACTCCTTAAAAAACCTACTCTGGACTCAAGCACCCTAGCTAACTATAGACCAATATCCAACCTTCCTTTTATTTTGGCATATTATAATTTATATTTCTAAAGTCCTGGAGAAAGTTGTTGCGAATCAACTTTGTGATTTTCTTCATACCAACGGTTTATTGGAGGATTTCCAGTCTGGATTTAGAACCCATCACAGCACGGAGACTGCTCTGCTGAAGGTGACAAATGACCTACTCATGGCCTTGAACAGTGGTCTTCTCTCTGTTCTTGTCCTGTTGGATCTTAGTGCTGCATTTGACACGATCGACCACCGCATCCTGCTTCAGAGACTGGAACAATCTATCGGTAGAGCAGGATCCGCTCTTTCCTGGTTTAAATCTTATCTAACGGATCGATTCCAGTTTGTCCATGTTAACAATGAATCCTCTGCGCACACCAAGGTCTGCTACGGAGTCCCGCAAGTGTCAGTGCTTGGACCGATCCTCTTTACCTTGTACATGCTTCCTCTGGGTAAAATTATGAGGAAGTACTCGATGAATTTCCACTGCTATGCGGATGACACCCAGCTATACTTATCCATGAAGCCAGAAGAAGCAAACCAGGTTGCCAAATTAGAAGCTTGTCTCAAAGATATGAAATCCTGGATGACCAAAAACTTTCTGATTCTCAACTCAGACAAAACTGAAGTTCTTGTCCTCGGTCCTAAACACCTTAGAGAGGCATTCTCTAATAATATAGCTACGCTAGATGGCATCAGTCTGGCATCCAGCCCCACTGTGCGAAATTTGGGAGTTTTATTTGATCAGGATTTGTCCTTTAGCTCCCACATTCAACAAATCTCTAGGATAGCTTTTTTCCACCTGCGCAATATCTCAAAAATTAGACGCATCCTGTCTCAGAGTGATGCAGAAAAACTAGTCCATGCCTTTGTTACCTCTCGACTGGACTACTGTAATTCTCTCTTAACAGGCTGCTCCAGTAAGTCTTTAAGGGCTCTTCAGCTGGTCCAAAATGCAGCAGCTCAGGTACTGACTAGAACCAGAAGAAGGGAGCACATCTCTCCTGTCTTAGTCTCTCTTCATTGGCTCCCTATTTAGTCTAGAATTGAGTTTAAAATCCTCCTTGTGACATATAAAGCGCTTAATGGCCAGGCTCCATCATATCTCGAAGAGCTTGTTATACCTTTCTTTCCGTCTAGACTGTTACGCTCACAGTCTGCAGGTCTGCTCGTTGTACCAAATGTCTCTAAAAGTAGTATTGAAGGAAAAGCTTTTAGCTACCAGGCACCTTTCCTCTGGAATCATTTACCGCTCGAGGTTCGGGGGGCAGACACCCTCCCAACTTTCAAGAGTAGACTTAAAACGTTCCTCTTTGATAAAGCTTATAGTCGGGGCTGATTTGAACCAGCTCTTAGTTATGCTGCTATAGGTCTAGACTGCCGGGGTTATCTGGCACACTGAGCTAGAGTCTGTCTCTATCTCTTTTTTAGATATTTATGTCCCATATAATCACTAACCAGATTTCTCTCTCTCTGAGTGTCTCTGAGTCTCTTGGCTTCCACTGGACTAATGCTGCAGACGGTCTGCTGCGGAAATGCCTGACCCCAGCTGCATCTTCCCTGATTGTCCACCCTGGGCCCTGAGCTCCTCCATCTCTTTGGCTCCTCTGGACCGTTGCTGCAGACACCCCCTGCCCCTTGGTTGCTCCGGACTGATGGCTGCTGCAGACCTGCCTGACTCTAGCCGCATCGTCTATGATTGTCCACCTCAGGCCCTGAGCTCCTTCTTCTCTTGGATTCCTCTGGACTGTTACTGCAGACATGAACATCAGCCTCACTGACATTAATAACATAAACTAGAGCTGACTACGATTAGGCCTGCTGACTGCTGACTGTAATCACATTTAATTAATTTAACATTGTCCATAATCACTCATATCCTAACCCTGTAAACTGAACTCATTTTGTTTCACCATTACATGAGCTGTTGTTGTTGTTGCTGTTGTTTCTGCTGGCCCCTGTCTCTCTCTCCCCCTCGTTCTCTACTCTCTCTCCCTCCCCCTCCCTCTCCTTACTCATTCTCTCTTGCCTTCCCTTATCTTATTCTCTATCTCTCCCCTCTTCTCTCTCTCCTCTCTCTCCCTCCATCTCTCTACATTCCTCCCCAACCCAGCAGCGGCATGGTGGCTGTCTGTCATGAGTCGGGTCCTGCCCAAGGTTTCTGCCTGTTAAAGGGAAGTTTTTCCCTGCCACTGCTACTCATGTTAGTTGAGATGGGCCAAAACCCATCTTAGGTTGGTTCTTGATCATCAAACTATGAGCGTGGTCTAGACCTGCTCTTTTTCTTTGAAAAGCGTCTTGAGATGACGACTGTTGTGAATTGGCGCTATATGAATAAAATTTGATTGATTTATTGATTGATTGATTGTAGGCATATAGGCCCATAGTAAATTATGCCCTTGCACTCTGGATTGTTACCACCACATTTGGGGGCAGACCCTGAGCTATTAGGTTGGAAATATGTCAATGTAGATTCTCATTCATCCAGGTCATGGTTATCTCAGAGACTCCAAAATCAGGCAACTGGACTGTGTTTAGAAGAGGTTTCACCTCTCATCCAAGAAGCTTCTTCAGTTCTTAAATAGCTCTTGAGGGGGGCAGGTATTTATCTTACTGGAGAAGGGGAAAACAATGACTGGGAGGAGTTGGAATGAATGGGTTGTCGAAACCCATCTCCGGGTGTTTATCCCAAGAGTTGTTAATCTTAATTGGTCCTTAACTACCCCGTCCATGTGAGGTGTTGTGATCACATGGTCCCAGGTATGAATGTCTGTGGAGCTTCCTGGGGAAAGAGCTAAGAACTGCATTATAAGTGCCAGAGAGATTGTGCCTGAGTCCACCTCCTCTGTTCAGAAAGGGTTTCTCCAGGCTGGTGAAGATGGCTTCTTTAACACCTCTTTCAAACCACCTGTCCTCTCTTGCCAACACATGTACAATGCAGTCCTCAAAAGAGTGACCCATGTCCTTCAAGTGAAGGTGGACAGCGGAGTCCAGACTTGAGGAAATGGCTCTTCTGTGTTGAGCCATGCACTTGGGAAGTGGTTGATAGGTTTCCCCAATATACAGGTCTGAGCATTCCTCACTGCACTGGACAGCATACACCACATTACTCTGTTTATGTTCTTGCATCTCTCCATCCTTTCTTGTTCAGTGTTCTTTCTCTTCCTGTTTTTTTTTTTTTTTTTTTTCAAAAGCCCAGTTAGGATATCCACAGGTTGTCAGGGCATTTTTAATGTGTTTCTGTTCCTTTTCTTCCCCTTCTTTCTCAGTGGGAATGCTTTCAGCCCAGTGGTTGAGTGTTCTGATAACACCCAGCTTGTGCTGCAGAGGATGGTGGGAATCAAAAAGTAAATATAGATCCGTGTGTAGGGGTTTCCTGTACACTTCAATGTTGAGACACCCATCTGCCTCCCAAGTATACAGCAAATTCCAAAAAGGCCAAAACGTTGTCCGTGACATCTTCCCGGGTGAACTTAATATTGCTGTCCACTGTGTTGATGTGGTCTTTGAAGGCCTCTACTTCTTGTGTTAGGATTTTTATCCAGGTGTCATCCTCATATCTAAACCAGTGGCTAGGTGCTGCTCCTTTGAAGGAGGTTAGGGCCTTAATCTCTACCTCTTCCATTTACAGGTTTGCCACTAAAGGAGAAACAGGGGAGCCCATGGCACATCCACATTTCTGTCTGTAGTGGCACGCTCTGTACTGGAAATAGGTGGTGCTAAGGCTGATGTCCAGTAAGGAACAGATCTGGTCTGGGGTTAGGTTAGTTCTGACCTTCAGTGTGCTGTCCTGTAAGAGGCATAGTCTTACTGCTTGGACTGCATCTGTGGTCGGAATACTCATGAAAAGTGATGTGACATGTGAAACCATGGTTTCCTCTGGGTCTAGCCTGAGGAAACCATCTGCAAGCATCATCATCTTGCCTGCAGATAAGGGGAGATGTACAGTGGTACTTAACACTAGGGATTACCATGACAAGGTAACAAGCCTCCTCAGAGATACTGCCACCTATGAAACTCTGAAATGGGACCCCACCAACAGCTACAAAAAGAAAGTTATCAGCATACTTCAACAGCTGGAAAAGGATGGAGTAATCGACCGTCCACTCTATTACCAGCTATAACCAGGGGACGCAGTCCTGTGCATTTATGGATTGCCTAAAATACACAAGGAAGGGGCTCCCCTTAGACACATACAATGTGGCGAAACATTTGGCCACCATCCTAGCTCCTCTTGTTGGCCACACCACTCACCACATCAAAAACTCACAGGACTTTTCCCAGAAAATCAAAGACATCAGGCTGGACCCAGAGGAAACCATGGTTCCCTACGATGTCACATCACTTTTTATGAGTAATCCGACGACAGAGGCAGTCCAAGCAGTAAGACTATGCCTCTTACAGGACAGCACACTGAAGGTCAGAACCAACTAAACCCCCGACCACATCCGTTCCTTACTGGACATCTGCCTTAGCACCACCTATATCCAGTTCAGAGAGTACCACTACAGACAGAAATGTGGATGTGCCATGGGCTCCCCTGTTTCTCCCATAGTGGCAAACCTGTAAATGGAAGAGGTAGAGATTAAGGCCCTAACCTCCTTCAAAGGAGCAGCACCTAGCCACTGGTTTAGATATGAGGATGACACCTGGATAAAAATCCTAACACAATTAGAGGCTTTCACAGACCACATCAACACAGTGGACAGCAACATTAAGTTCACCCGGGAAGATGTCAGGAACAACGTTTTGGCCTTTTTTAAATTTGCTGTATACTTGGAGGCAGATGGGTGTCTCAACGTTGAAGTGTACAGGAAACCCCTACACACGGATCTATATTTACTTTTTGATTCCCACCATCCTCTGCAGCACAAGCTGGGTGTTATCAGAACACTCAACCACTGGGCTGAAAGCATTCCCACTAAGAAAGAAGGGAAAGAAAAGGAACAGAAACACATTAAAAATGCCCTGACAACCTGTGCATATCCTAACTGGGCTTTTGTAAAAAAAGGAAGAAAAAGAACACTAAACAAGAAAGGGAGGAGAGACGCAAGAACATTGTAATCCCAAATGTTGCAGGCCTTTCGGAAAAACTCAAGAGGATCTTTGGCAAACACCATATTCCTGTTCACTTCAAGCCTGGAAACACACTAAGGCAGAAACTAGTCCGTCCCAACGACAAAACACCGAGACATAAACAGAGTAATGTGGTGTATGCTGTCCAGTGCAGCGAGGAATGCTTGGACTTGTACATTGGGGAATCTAAACAACCGCTTCACAAGCGCATGGCTCAACACAGAAGAGCCACTTCCTAAAGTCAGGACTCAGCTGTCCACCTTCACTTAAAGGACATGGGTCACTCTTTTGAGGACAGCATTGTACATGTGTTGGCTAGAGAGGACAGGTGGTTTGAAAGAGGTGTTTAAGAAGCCATCTTCACCAGCCTGGAGAAACCCTCTCTGAACAGAGGAGGTGGACTCAGGCATAACCTCTCTGTCACTTACAATGCAGTTCTTAGCTCTCTCCCCAGGAAGCTCCACAGACATTCACACCTGGGACCATGTGACCACAACACCTCACATGAAAGGGGTGGGTGGGTGGGTGGGTAGGTAGGTAGGTAGGTAGGTAGGTAGGTAGGTAGGTTGAATTTATTGTCCCTGTGAGGAAATTTATTTGCAGTAAGTTGAAAACATGCACAAAAACAGCACACATACACAGTTCCATACACTGTCCCATATAAAACAAAACAAAACAAAACAAAACAAAACAACTCAGACAAGTCGATATAAAAATACTACTGTACTGTACTTTGTCAATTCAAAAAAGTATTTCAATAAATAGTCTTGAAATAATGTATCTTTGCTCAGACCAGCTGAACCAGTATCTAAAAATAAAAAATAAAGAATAAAGCTGCCCACAATCAATTTTAGTTTATTCAATTGTAAAATCACCTGTGGTACAAACAACTGCCTGGACCTGTTCTTGGTGAGGGCTTGGCACCGGTATCTGCGGCCTGAGAGCAGCAGCTCAAACTCTCTGAACAAGGGATGTTTTGAGTCTGAGAGTATTTTCTCAGCTTTGTCCAGGGCACAAGATAGATAAATGTCCTGTAGGCTGTTCAGGGGAATGCCTTGAATTTTGCTCGCAACAGTGATTATTTTTCTGAGGGAGCTCTTTTGTGACTCTGTTCAAGCCCCGTACGAACAAACAATACAAAATGTCAGAGCGCCCTCAACAAAAGCACTGTAATACACTTTCAGCATGGTTTTGTCAACCTGGAAGGACACCAGTTTCTTATGAAAGTAAAGTCTCTGTTGTCCCTTTTTGAGGATTTGATCTATACTTCTGTCCCACTTAAGTTTATCATCCAAAACCACACCAAGATACTTGTGCTCAGAAACAGAGTCAATGACTTCTCCTTTTATAATGGTCGGACAGTGTGTGGAACCCCACTTGAAATCAATTGTCGGCTCCTTTGTCTTTGCTGTATTTAAAAGGAGATGGGAATCATCACACCAGGAGATGAACTCATTCAGGACGAGGCCGTGTTCCTGCTCATTCTCTCTCAGCAGACTAATCAAAGCTGTATCATTAGCAAATTTCACCAGATATCTGCCCGGATAAGAACTAGTGCAGCCGTTGGTGTATAAGATATACAGCAATGGAGAAAGCATGCACCCTTGAGGAGAGCCAATGTTAGTGATGGTTCTGTCTGACAGCGTGGTGCGCATTTGGACCTGCTGCTGCATCTGGCTGAGAAAATTCAGTATCCATGGAATGAGTCCACCTTCCAGAGCAAAGTCCACTAGCCTCTGAGCCAAGATGTTTGGCAATGTTGTGTTAAATACTGACGAGAAATCAGAACAAATAATTTTTACTTAATTTTTTGAAATATCCAAATAGCGTCATCAACACCTTTCCCAGGTTGGTAAGCAAACTGAAAGGGGTCCAATTTAGATGAGTTTGCTCAAGTACATGTTTTTTTAATTATTCTTTCAAAACATTTCATTGCCAGCGGGGTTAATGCTACAGGGTGAAAGTGATTCAAATCCCCAGGTTTTGCGACTTTTGGCACAGGGATAACGGTCAACGTCTTCCACAGATTTGGAACAATATGCTGCTCCAAAGAAGCCTGAAACAGTTTAGTGAAAACAGGGGACAATTGTTCGGCACAATGCTTTAGCACGTTACCACAGATGTTATCTGGGCTGGAGCTTTTTTGTGGATTTACTTTTTTGAATAATGCACACACATCAGCCTGATAAATTATGATAGTGTGATCATTTGATATCTCTGGGTACACTTGATTAGGATCATAATAATTTTCAAATTGAGAGAAAAAATTATTGAGTTCATTGGTTTTATGTTGCTCCTCTTCTTTCCCAAAGTATGCAGTAGTTTTGCCTCTGCCTTTATAAGGAATGTTGGTCATTGTCTTGATTCCCTGACAGGCCTCTTTACTATTTCCTGATGCCATAGCTCCTTCAATTTTCTCTCTGAAGGGAAGCTTATCTGCTTTGACCTGTCTTTTAATTTCTCTTAGTTAAGGACCCATTTAGGTTAACGACTCTTGGGATGGACACCTGGAGATGGGTTTCTACGACCCATTCATTCCAACTCCTCCCAGTCGTTGTTTTCCCCTTCTCCAGTAAGATAAATACCTACTCCCCTCACAAGCCATTTCAGAACTGTAGAAACTCCTTGGATGAGAGGCGAAACCTCTTCCCAAATTCACACAGTCCAGTTGCCTGATTTTGGAGTCTTAGAGATGTTATGTTGGACCTCTTAACAGGTTGCCACAATTCCTGGGGGCTCTTCTATGGCATTCAAGAACCTGTATGCACCCTCATAACATCTCCTGGTCTACTGGGTGATCTCCTCTCTTTTTCTCAGACCTGGATCAGGGAATCAGCCAGCTCCTGGACTGTCTGCGGTGCAACCTGGCAGCAGTCGATGCAATGATATATGATGTCCCAGAGATGCAGCTTAGGATTCAGGTCAAGATAAAGGATGGGCCAGCCAATAGCACCAACGCCTCATCATGCAGTACTGCCAACAGACACACTGCAGTCACATGAGGCTGGGCATTGTTCTGCCTTAGAAGGAACTCAGGGCCCACTGCAGCAGTATATGGTCTGAGGATGCCACACCAGTACTGACAGCAGTCAGGATCTTTCTGGCTAGCCCATGGAGGTCTGCTCAGCCGTCCAAGGATAAGTCTGCCTGGACCGTCATTGACTTCAGTCGTCACAGCTTCAGAATACATGATGGATGAGGGAGGTAGCACCAGCTGCCAGGAGCACACAGACTCGTATAAGCATTTTTTGCATACCTGCCAACACTCCCGTTTTTTCCTGGGACTCTCCTGTATTTCAGACCTATCTCCCGCACACCTCCAGTATTGTCATTTCTCCCGGGAATCTCCCGTAGTTTGCATGGTCCACATTCATTCGTGAATCGGATCACTATATTTGTTCAAAGTTGCCAGGTTTCAAGTCAACCGAAGGTTGTCTTGTTCCTGCTGAGCCTCGCAGACACTGGATTGATACTTTTACTTTACAATTTAGGATGATTCAGGTCGGTTTGAGCTGTAAACTTTATTTAAGCAGTGTTTGTTGGAAAATGAACACTTCAATGAAAGGGAAACAAACGCAAGATATAATATTTATGTTGATAGTCCTGCACCGTCTCGGAATGATGCGTTCAGGGCAGCCTCAGATAAAAGAGTGCTGCATGGCACGCACAGATGTTCAGAGAGCCTCATACTGGAGAGCATGTAAAACATATGAGGACTCGAACACCAATATTAGTGGACTACAATAAGTTCAAGGCATATCGTAGCTATCATTTTTCTTAATTACCATATGTGATTGTTAAAACAAAACAAAAACATGTGCAGCTTCACTTATACTTATTTGGATGAGCAATCTAATTACAAATACTCTCATAATAAGATCATATCCACCATACAAGGTAACCCCAAAACTGCCCAGCGTGTGCCACAAAAATCTCCCGAATTTTATAACCTAAACATTGGCAGGTATGATTTATTGTTAATTGTAATTGTTATTTTCAGTATTTGTTCTGGTTCAGTTTTAGTATGACTGAAATGGAATTTGATGTGAATTGTTTCCAGGTAGGTTTGGAAAAGTATAGAAATGAAAAAAAAAGATTAAGGACTACAGTCCTGTTGTTGTAATCATAATAAAGAGTTGAAAAACCATTCAAGCTGCAAGTTTTCCTCATGTTTATGAAAATATACTCTAGAGATGAACGTTCTGCTAGTGAGGACAGAACAACGCCAGTATTCTGAGGGCTGTCCTCTCAATGCTATTGTAAACCTGGTTGGATTAGGATACAAAAATGGATATGAAGATTAATCTGACAAACAGCTTAAATAATTGTTGTCCCTAGTTCTATATGGGCTTGTAAAAAATCTTGACGAATGATAGCTTGCAGCACAGTATTGGAGAAAAAAAACAACTAAATGAGTTCATTTTTGGGGAAACATGAACTTAAGTTCAAAATGTGGAATTATAAACACTGAACTGAACTAGTTCATTTTAAAATGTGTGAACTGAACTTTGAACAAGTTCAGGTAGAAATGGAACTTTCCCAACACTGTGTTAGGGGATGTTGGCCCTACTTGTGGACAGCAATATGCATATGAGCAGCCTGCTGGAGGTCATTTTGCAGTCCTCCTCCTGCTCCACCTTGCACATAGAAGCAGATAGTGGTCCTGCCGCTGGGTTCCTTCTATGGCCCCCTCCACCTCTTCCTGGAATCTCCTCCAGAACCAAAACTTTTGGCTGTTGTCTGCGGATATGGACTGACAGTTCTACACATACCTACCAGTGTTAGGGTTATAAAATCCGGGAGATTTTTGCAGCACGCGCTGGGCAGTTTTGGGGTTACCTTGTATGGTGGGTATGAGCTTATTATGAGAATATTTGTAATTAGATTGCTCATCCAAATAAGTATAAGTGAAGCTGCACACTTTTTTGTTTTGTTTTAACAATAACATATGGTAATTAAGAAAAATAATAGCTACGATGTGCCTTGAACTTATTGTAGTCCACTAATATTGGTGTTCGAGTCCTCATATGTTTTACATGCTCTCCAGTATGAGGCTCTCCGAACATCTGTGCGTGCCATGCAGCACTCTTTTATCTGAGGCTGCCCTGAACGCATCATTCCGAGACGGTGCAGGACTATCAACATAAATATTATATCTTGCGTTTGTTTCCCTTTCATTGAAGTGTTCATTTTGCAACAAACACTGCTTAAATAAAGTTTACAGCTCAAACCAACCTGAATCATCCTAAATTGTAATGTAAAAGTATCTATCCAGTGTCTGTGAGGCTCAGCAGAAACACATATAGTGATCCGATTCATGAATGAACGTGGACCATGCAAACTACAGGAGTTTGCCAGGAGAAATGACAATACAGGAGGTGGGCGGGAGATACTGTAGGTCTGAAATACGGGACAGTCCCGGGGAAAACGGGAGTGTTGGCAGGTATGGTCCTACAGCAAATGTTCAGTACAGGCTCTTTCACTTTGTTCCTAGCTTATGAGGCTGCCCTGATACTTAGGAACCACACATGCCTTTATTCAGGAGTTTTAGTCATTTAATGTGGTTTCCAGCATGTCATTGTTTACAGAAGTCAGTGGAACACACACACACATATATGAATTATGAGTATATACATATATACATACACATATATATATATATGTATATATATGAACTAGAGTATATGAGCATCATACAATCTTTACCATGGCTGCTTTAACATGCAGTTTGCACACAACACACTACTACACATGTAAAAGGGAATGTCTGTAAGCAGCCCCCTGTTGCCAAAGGATGTGCATGGACAACCTCCACACACACACACACACACACACACACACACACACACACACACACACACACACACACACACACACACACACACACACACACACACACACAGATCACTCTCAGAGCAGGATGCGGTATTTGAGGGCGCGCGGGACTCTGTTGATGACAAGGCGCCCGTCGTAACTGAGTGAGGCAAAGAGCCAAGGGTCTGCGGATGACCACTCAGCTGCGTAGACGCTGTCCTCGTGCTCCTCATAGGTCGACACCACACTGTCCTTCAGAGGCTCCTTACCCCTAAAACACAATGCAAAGAGTTCAACTACAGGGACCGGGCGTTGATTTTATCACATCTCATATTCTAATCCTTGGAGGCTTTTCAAACATAAATATATTCAACTTAAAAACATAAGTGTTGCATTTTGCACAAAAATAGAGAATGTTGGAAACCAAATCATTGGATCCTTGCAGGACTTAGGGAGCATTTTATCTCAATCGTGTGAATCAAAGGGGTTTGAATACAAAAATGTCTCATCAGACTTAAGTTCAGCAGCTTTCAGCTGACAAATCCAAAAATTTAAAGATTTAACAAAACAAAATTAAAACCTGAATGTTTCTAAGAAGTTTAATCATAGAAAAAACCATGTCCCTTTGACAGTACCTGAAAAAGGGAGTTCATGTTCCTTATTTCACTTTGTATTTGTCCTTATATTTTCATGTTCAACTGTAGCATGCACCATTTCCTGATCTGTCTGTTTCAGAATAAACATTTTGTCAAAGACAGCAGAAATAAGAGAGACACTGTATCAAACCCTTAAATGCTCCTTTTTGCAAAAACCGGCTGGATTGAATGTTGGGTTCCACACATGACAGCTGTGTGTGGATTTGGATTAATGCCACACTAATATATTAAAGAGAAACATTCACAATTATTAGAACTGAATTCATCAAGTCCATGTTGCTTAGCGACTGAGTTCCCATCAATTTATCATTTGAACACCAATGTGACTTACAGGTTTCATGTAAAGGCAGCAATTGTCTCTTACTGTTCCACAAGGACTGGTTGTTGAGGAGGATGTTTGAAAGGTCCTGCCCCTTGATTCTGATTGGTCATTGATGAAGAGGTGATACTGGCTAAAGTGGAGGTGCTCCAACTGAGTGTGGTAAGGGTACTGAACACTGAATACCCCAAGAAATCCATTAAGTTTGAAGAGATAAAGGCACAAAAAATTGACATCAGTTAACCCTGTTGATGAGGTTTACCCAGCCTTTGTTTCTCTGTTTCCCACCGCTGTTCTCCCTCTTTCTCTTTTTTTTATGAGCAAAGTGGGAACCACCCTCAAATGGAGTCCAAGTGTATTTTTGTAAATCATGGCCCAGCAAGACGCCCAATCATCTAAAATATTTCATTAAACTGTTGAAGTAAGAATTTAGAAAAAATAGCCCACCCACTGTAGAAGTTGTATGTGTGGTGTCCAGACTCTGTGGAGTGGACACCACACAAGAGGGGTCAATAAGAGTGATGGGAGGGTTCAAACCAAAGCTGAGAGCTGGTGATTAGGATGAAGAGTTGATAATTGTGGATGAGAGTGTGTCGATGAGAGTAAGAGCTGGTAGTTACAGATGAGAGGGGGAATAAAACTGTAATGGATGGAGGACAGTGGTAGAAATGACTGGATGTTAAGTAGTACAGATGATTACACTTAAATTCTAAAAGAAAATAAGGTTACATGTTTCAGAGAAAAACACCCTAAATGTTTTGACAGTAACATATTCCTAATGTTTTACATCTCCACTTGATCATTCAGAGTGTTAAAATATGTGAGAGAGTAAGTTTAATCCTCAGATGACTGATATCAGTTTGTAAATGCAGCTTTTTTTGTGCATGCTTAGTAATCTCAGCTTTGTTTCATTACACTGCATTATTGCTGTCAAATGTGATTTTTGACAGCAATAAGGCGCCTGATGAGGGAAATTTGTTACCAAATATTTCATTCATCAAAAAGGGTCTACTTGAACTACCCTTTGTCTGGTCCCTCCCCCAGGACCTGTTTGCCATAGGTAACCCTGACAGAGGCATAAAGCCCCCGACAACTTAGCTCCTGGGATCATTGGGACACGCAAACCCCTCCACCACTGTAAGGTGGTAACTCGAGGAGGGGAAATTATTTTTTAGGGTTTTGGAGAAGCCGAAGCACTCGGAGAAAACCCATCTCTGGCCTGGATAGTAAAAAAGGAGAAAACCTGTAAGGACCTGAAGTCTGTCTTCATATCCAGCTTGGACACTCTGAGCTTCTAGCCAAAGTGAGGCTGGTAGCACAGAGAAAAATCTGGACATAAGGACAGACGTCAGAGCCCTGATAACCTTTTATACAGCTGAGATTCTGTCAGAGCAGGAACCTGAAGGTTCACTAGTCCACAGAATGACAGCTGTGAAAAAGGGTTGTCCCACCCACCCACCCAAACCCTGATGTTTCTAGCCACTTTTACAGAGGGCAGTGAAAGGCCCGAAAAGACATCTAACGAACCTTCGGACACAGCTGGGTCTTTTTGGTGAAAGATGCTTGTTCAGAGTGTCAAACACAGCCTCAATGACTGTTTCATCCTGTACCATGAGACCCCTCCAAAGAACTGTGTTACCAAACTCTTTGCACAGGTCTTTGTGGACGGCCTTGCATATCCTTTTGATCTTTTTGTGGCTACAATGGATATTGATGTCAGCACCTCTCTTCTCTGCAAACAGTATGTTTTGAAGCCTGATTGCCACTGATAAGTAGTTAGGGTGGGACCAGTTGATGGGGAAACCTTTCATTACTTTGTTTAAGAGCTCCTTCACAATGACTTCCCAAGTCAGTGAGACCAACTCAATACCAGAAGAGGTTATGTATTCCCCAGATACTGACTCTTCTTCTTCTTCCTCAACTGAGCAGGCTTCTTCCTCTTCCTTCTTCACTGAGCAGGCCTCTTCTTTTTCCTCCTCAGCTGTGAGGCTTTGGACTTCTTCTTGCATAGGTGTGGGGCAAGTGTGACCCTCAGCCTCTGTCTGGGAACCAACACCTGATTTTGGAGAGTGCACAACTTTACCGATCTCTCTCAGGGTTATGCTTACACTGTCCTTCTTAGTCTTGCACAGTTGGATCTGCTCCTTCAGCCACTTCCGCATCTGCTTGGTATCTTCCTTCTTGGTCTTGTTGTGGTGTCAAGTGACTGGCCAGTGTGTCACTCAGCTTCTCAGCAAAACTCTCAAGCTTGCAGCTGGAAATGTTGCTGGCTAAGCTCGCAAACAGGCAGATCTCTTTAGACACACTTTTTGTATGCTGATCTTCTGGTGTAATTATCTCATTTAAAAGACTATCTACACTCTTCAAAAGCATTGAAGTATATGATCTGACAGCTTCCTGTCTTTGACGGTGGCCCAGCCTGCACCTGACTCTAGACATCACATTCAGGATCGACTCTCGAGCAAATGTTTGGACAAAAATAGCCTTCATCCTGCCGATGAACCCTCTCCTGACTGACTTTTTGGTCTCTTCTAGAGATGATTTATTTACCAAGTCAGGTGAGCCAATTGGGTCCTGTTAAGCCCCATCTATAAAAGTTTTTACAATTGTAAATAACAAGTCCTCTGAATCCTGGCTGACTCCAGAAAGAAGCGTGTTTACTTCTTCCACTGAGACAAAACTCTGAAAGTCAAAATTGGTCACTTCTTTCAGTTTTCTTGCAATGATTTCATTGGCTTCTACAATGTAAAATTTTAATATGGACTCTTCTTGTAGAGAAATTACAGGGGTATGAGTGGTTTCCAACACCTTATCCTCCTGCTCAGTCTAAGACACAGCTTTAATCTCCTCCACCGGCTCTAATGTTGACATCTTTCTTTCCTCAGCTCTCAACTGTTTCAAAACGTTCTTAATTCTTGGGGAGAGTCTTAGGATCCTCCTGATGTGTTCACTCTGTTGGATAAAAAGACTCTTAAAGGTCTTGCGCGGCGCTATGGCTTCTGTGCAACTTGTTTTGGACAGCTTGGAGTTAACTTTCACGCTGACTGCTGCAACCACAAGCTCTGTCATCTCCTCTGCCTGCGGGTAGCAGATGTCACCTACACCCTCTATATCAGCCACAGTGTGTGTGATGACTTCACCCATATTACCAATGTACTGATGCACATCCCACTCAGACACAGTGAAGCTCTTCTCTGATTCAACAGATCTCGGTGACACCATTGCTGATAACTTCAGTAATAGAAGCGCACATATCTACAATGATCATCTTTATTTCTGGGTCATTAAATTCAGTCTTTCGTTTATCCTCCATAACCGCAAGCAAATTATCTAGGTACATGTGGATGACTGGCTCAAGTGTGATTGTAGTTTCCAGCGTAAATTTCTGTTCCATCCTACGTGGTCTGCTGGAGAAGCTCATGGCTGTGTTTGTGTTTTTAAGTTGGTGTTAAAATGGTTTTGTGTTAAATCTTGTCTCTATTTCTGCATGTGCAATTAGGTAATCATTGTGCCTATTGTATGATATAGTAACTGAACATATCAAATAACCTCCAAGAGCAGCTGTCTAATGTTTTGACCCTGATCTGATCCTATATCAGCAATGTTTGGTGAGTGTGCTTATTTATAGTCCATCTCTTTGGGTCTGTCTGGGGCTGTCATTGAGGCTGTACTTGGCTCAACTCAGTTCATTCTAGCACTGCGGGGATGCAAACCTTGACTGTAAAATTTCTACCCTTCGGGGGTGTGCTTTAAATGATGACATGCTAATTTCAAACCCAAGACAATTAAAAGAAGTGAGCTGGGGCTAGGGCTTGCACTCAAAGGAGTGACTGCAACTCTCCAGTGCTGTTGAAAACAGTTCTTAAGTGTATACTCAGTTGAAAGCCACAGCACACTGGCAAATAAACTCACAGTGGCTTTAAAATAGCTTTAAAAACATCTCTCTGCGGCAATTCAAAGTCATGAACTTATTATTCACACACTATACATACTAAAGCCTGAAACATACAGGATCCATGTTGAGCGCGTCCTGTCAGCATTCTGTATCACGCAGCAAATAGGTTGCCAGTCTAATCAACGCAGTATTGCATACAGGACACATATCAGCTCTGTTGCAGCTTCCTATCAGAAGCGTGTCGAGCGCAGCTCTGCTAAAGATACGCGCTAAGTCTATTTTTGATGCTCTTTGCTTCCATCACGCGCCAATCTATACAGGGAAGATCATCTTAGACAGGATGTCAAGCACAAAAACATGTGCTTGTCATCCGGTATTTCAAAATAAAACTCCATATGTGAACTCCCGAATGTGTATCAGTTCATGTAGATGAGAAATACTTCCTAGTTATGGATTTATCAGTAACACAGAACAATGCGATGGTCAATCCCTCATCCATGTGCACCCCAACAGGACTTTTAATGCTAACTCTGTCTGAAGGTAACAGCACAGCATAAAGAAACATAGTTTACATTATTAAACACGAGTAAACCTGCAAAAACCGAAACTGTAAAATCACGTTGATTTTTCACATACAGTACAGGCTCAACAGTCACTGAATTATATCCAAATTAGCAGGAAATAGACAACCTGTTGGCACAACAACCATTTATGAGCCTGTTGTTTCCTCTATACTGAGCCCCGCTGACCGGGCTGCACTACGCTGCTGCTACCACGCTCCAAATCTCCTGTGCTCAACGGAGCAGAAACGCGGCACTGACAGAACACGCTCCATACGGATCCTGTATGTTTTCAGCTTAACATGCATTCACAGGCACAATAACAAAACAGGGGTTTCCAGTAGCGACCTGTGTGACTATATTCTCCTCATACAGGCTGGCATCATTGAAGAGAACACAATGACCCTCTCAGTCGGGGTTTAGTTGCAGCTGAATCAGTCCTACAGAGCATGGCCGCAGTAAAGGCACCAATCAGCCTCAAACTAATGAACTAAAATAGTTTTTTTTTTTGTTTTTCTGTTTCTGTCCAGAATAAACAGCATGGCAGTATTTTCCTTAGTACTTGGACTGCTTTTCTATGTAACCACAAACCTTGTTTATTATCACAGGCCATATGTGATTACACAGCTAGGTAAAAGGAATGAGTTGCTGATAGATTTTGTTGTCCAAAGAATTTAATTGTCTTTATATTTTATAACAGAAAAGCATTTCCATATCTGACTGGCCTGAGTTGCTCTTACTTTTCTTCCTGGTGGTTGTCTTCTCCCTCGCTGAGCTCCTCATCATCCACCAAGTGTCCAAACGGCTCCGAGGAGATGGACACCATATTAGAGAGGATGAGGCGGCTGTCACTGCTGGCAGTCAACACCAACTGGTCATGACTGTGGTTGTAGCGCACACTCCACACCCTGGGACGAAAACAAAAACATACAATCCCAGAAGGTCAGTGACAGCGCAATGAAGATAAGGCTTTATATGTAGTATATGTTTGTACATCAGTGCATTCTTGCATTTGAGATGATAGTTAATGGATTTCAAGAAAACAAACAACAAAACTCAGCCTTTTCTTACTATGCATAACTCAAACAGCATGTCACTCAGCAACAATAGCAACTGCTAGTAATTCTGTAGTATTGTGGCTGGCAAGTGAAGTACATCCTAAAAAAACTTGTCTGCTCCCACTGGAAAACCTGTAAATTCTTTCTTTGCTGCAGAAGAATGGCTGTCTAAGAAAAAGTAATACATAAAAAAGCAAAGAAAAGTGGATCCAGGCAACAGGAAAGCAACTATGAAACTGAACTTTCTTATTCTTCAAAGATGAGGAAACTTTGGGCATGACATGGGTACACAGCCAAAACAGGCAGACAGGCGTTGCTGACAGCTCGGTTAGCCTGCCTTAGCACATGGTAGAGACTCAGATGTTAAAGATGAAAAGATTAAAATTTCTTAACCAATGCTGACTGATGAACTCCAAACAGACAAACACAGTCAGCTTCTGCAAACAGGCTAAGCTTTGGTTAACAGCAGCTCAGCTCCCAGACCCTTGTACATGCTTCATCTACCACAGAGCACTGGTAAAACACAGAATCTGAAATCTGAGATTTTTCCCCTTTATTTTCAGTGTGAGGAGGAGACCCCTGTGGATAAACACTGACAGAAACCAAACCTCAAAGCACAAACTGAGCATCTACAAACAATACAAGATTGATAAACTCTGTTTTAAGTCAAGAACTTTCAACAAAGAGCACTGTGCTTTAAATCTGGAGCTTTGCTGAAATAAGTAAGAGACCTTTCTTCACAATCTGGAGCCTCCGTACCTCGGTCACTGTCAGAATATCCCTCAAATTGTATTTGCAAATCATATGTTTTCATGTTAGTTACACTAATGGTAGTTTGAGATAGAATAAAGGTAGGTCTAATCTTACAAGATAAGACTCAATCTTATGAGGAATGGATTGATTGAAAATGGAGTGAAAGAATTTTCGTAATCTTTTCTATTGTTTAAGTGTGTTAGACTGATGAAAACACGATGGTCATGATCAAAATCATCACTCCTTGCTTCCCTGTAGTAGTTTCTTATCTATCTCCAATTGATCAAAATAGAAAATTGTATGAGAAAGGAGACCAGCAGTAAATACATGGCTTTAAACATACAAAGGTGCATGTTGTTTTCAATGTGCAGGCAGACCACACATGCTGTCACGTACACAGTTGTGTAGAGATTTTCTGTCAGTATCTCTCGTTCTCACACTCAGCAAATGCAAGTCGTGCAGAAAATGCAGTGTTCTCACAGTGGGATTCACAACTAAATATTCCTATCTGTGTGTGTGTTTGTGTGTGTGTGTGTGTGTGTGTGTGTGTGTGTTCTGGAGCCAAAACTGTGGATTTCGTACCTCACTGTCTATATTTGGGCTGGATTTAAATGACTTGATGATAATTCACATCCACTCCATGATTCTGGATTTATAAATTACTCATTTTTACTTCAGTTTTCTCCCTCCTCGTTTCTGCCCCTCTCTTTCTATTTCTACCGATCAACACTGTGTTCCTGTTTTCCTCTTTTCATCCTCTTCCTCTCTTTGTGTTTGCCAATGTCTTTCCCTCTCTTTATTTCTCGGTGCGCCCGGGGCACAGCTCAGAGTGCGGTCCCGGTTCTCTCACAGGGAGGGATTGAGGGATAACCGAGGCTGTTGACAGGAAATCAGCCTCGGCCACGCTGTTCCCCGCGCTCTCCTAATCTGCTTCCCTTCTAAAAAATAGTCCCTAATACCCCCAGCAGCCCTGAGGCCATATCCTGGCTGCGTTTTGAAAAATGAGTGCGCACAACAAAGCACAGACACAAACACTCTGGGAAACACCCACACATGTATGCGTCACAACAAAGATAAAGGACCAATACACACAGACATATGGCTTTGCATTATAGAAATGCTTGAACACATTTCTACAGCCACACATGGAGATAGAGAGAGCGCGCACATTCCTACACACACACACACACATATATATATTTATATATAGATATATATAGATATAAACCAGAGTATATAAGCATCATACAGTCTTTACCATGGCTGCTTTAACATGCAGTTTGCACAGAACACACTACTACACATGTAAAAGGGAATGTCTGTTAGCAGCCTACTGTTGCCAAAGGATGTGAACGGACAACCTCCACACACACACACACACACACACACACACACACACACACACACACACACACACACACACACACACACACACACACACACACACACACACACACACACACACACACGCACACACCATCTACTGTTATCTCCAGATATGGATATGTTTTCCATGCCTGCATTTCTCTTATAGATAACACAGGCTCTACTGTTTGTGTGTGCATGTGTGTCTGTGTGTGCATGCACAAAGCCATAAGTGACTGTGTGCATATTATGTATGTGTACATGTATGTGTGTCTTTATCAGGTAAGGGTTGGTGTACTGCAGCAGCAATAACCCAGCTTGGCTTGCAGACACACTGATCATCCATTCAGCTCACACAGGAGAGTGTCGCCCATGCAAACACACACACGCACGCACGCACGCACGCACGCACGCACGCACGCACGCACGCACGCACGCACACACACACACCCTCTCTCTCTCTCTCGCTCTCTCTCTCTCTCTCTCTGTCTCTCTCTCTCTAGCTCTCTCGCAGTACACTGTGTTCAGCTCTTAGCATTGCCTTAAGCTCTTTCAGTAGACAACCCGGAGCAGGACTTGGATGCAAACTACCCACAGTGATTCAACCCTCGCTGACAAAAGGAGTAGCTGCCTTTTTAATTAGTAATTAGAGTATAACTGCAGTTTATTGCACCAGCAGTAGTTAGGGCATTTCATTAGTTAGGAGATAAAGCCATTAATAAAACCAGAAACCAATCAACAGTGCAGCAAAGGAGTTATCACAGTGTTTATCATTATTGTTGGTGAGTTTTCCTGAATGTGCCTAAATCACACTCTAATGCTGAATAAAAGCTTTTTTTCCCATTAGGCAAATACAGTATAATTATATTAGACACAAGTAATACTTTTCACACGTTCATGTAGTAAAATTTAATGGGATGATAAATTACTTTTTTCTCTTTTTTGGGGGTTATAACTCTTGTCAATTCCAATCAAGTAATAAAATCTGAGATAAAACGTTATGCCCTGGACACAAGTTCACTGAGCTGTGGGAAAAGAGTGGGATTTAAAACTCTATTCGCATAATAAAAGAGATCATCTCTGTCAATATATAATTCTTTGATTATATACCTCCCTTTAGATTGAAAGGAAACCATTTCTCTTAACCAGACTTTGGCTGACTTGTTTGCCTTTTGGCAACCCAAACCACAATGTGAGATATCTGATCCCTGCCTCCGACCAGCTCACAGTAGAGCAAAATGAAATCATTCAAACTGAATAATTCTGATTATCCCACCAGGACACTTAAATACAACCCTTCCCCTTTCACTCCCAGTTCATCTCGATAGAGAGAGAAATAGAGACCCATTAATCTTGACCCACATGAATTTTTTTCTGTTGGATAATTCTTCAACAAATCCATTGAATTGTGTCTAGCTCAAATAAGTAGATAAAAGCCTATATGGCAGTATGTTTACTCTGCATTGTTCCTCATGTCCAGCAGAGGGTGGGTTTACTAGCTGCAAAATGTGTCACACTGTTTGGAAACCTAGCAGAGTCAAATTAAATTAAAGTTTCAATCAGTTGTTATGGGTCCTCCCTTTAACAGTCTGGTATTCTTAATGTTAATTACAGTCCTGTTAGGAACTGGTTAGTCAGTAACTTAGAGTTCACATCAGGGTCAGTTGATGAGCCATTGACATGGCGGGTTGTGTAAGAATCTATTTATCTGGGTTGATAAATCAGTTGGTCAACAAATGTTCAAGTTCAATCTGTAACTCCAAGTTCAAAAGTAGATGGAACTCTGTAAAATATTGATTAAAAAATCATTTCATTATTCTACATTTAATCTAGAGTTTTAAACTTGCAAATAATCAAACTCTATTTTTGTCAATATCTTGTTCAGCATCCCGACTTCTTTGGATTTTAAGTTGTTCAAAGCAGCTCAAGCTACGCTTTTATTTAGAAATTCTTTCAATTAGCCTGTTTCCTCCTTCTTGCCATGGTTTCAGCAGAGGTATGCACTTAACATTCAAATAACACAAGCACCAAGCAGCAGAGATGGGGAGAGTTAAGAGGATATCTACTCTTGGAAAAAAATTGACCCCCATGCCAAAATCATCATTTTTGTGTCAATGATAACAGTGACAAGAACCTTTCACAGTAGCAGATGTTTGATGATTTAGCACCTCCTGAAGAGACAAAAGCTCAAGTCTCTCTGTTGCCAGCAGACATGGACACTGTTTGCCCTTCTTATGCAAAGAGGAAAGGAAGACTATAATGCACGACTTCATTTTGGATTCCTCTGGACTGTTAGCCGCATCATCTATGATTGTCCACCTCAGGCCCTGAGCTCCTTCTTCTCTTGGATTCCTCTTGACTGTTGCTGCAGACATGAACATCAGCCTCACTGACATTAATAACATAAAACTAGAGCTGACTACGATTAGGCCTGCTGACTGTAATCACATTTAATTAATTTAACATTGTCCATAATTACTCATATCCTAACCCTGTAAACTGAACTCATTTCTTTCACCATTACATGAGCTGTTGTTGTTGTTGTTTCTGCTGTCCCCTGTCTCTCGCTCACCCTCGTTCTCTACTCTCTCTTCCTCCCCCTCCCTCTCCATACTCATTCTCTCTCTCCTTCCCCTTATCTTGTTCTCTCTCTCTCTCTCTCTCTCTCTCTCCCTCTCTCCCTCCATCTCTCTACATTCCTTCCCAACCCAGCAGCGGCATGGTGGCTGTCTGGCATGAGTCGGGTCCTGCCCAAGGTTTCTGCCTGTTAAAAGGAAGTTTTTCCTTGCCACTGCTACTCATGTTAGTTGAGATGGGCCAAAACCCATCTTAGGTTGGTTCTTGATCATCAAACAATGAGCGTGGTCTAGACCTGCTCTTGTTCACGATATTACCAAGCTCGCGACTCGTTTTTTTGAAAGGTAATGTAAAATTTTATGCTTTTTGCTGTTTTACTAACTCCTGTTCCTCATAATACTGTCCGGATTTTGTACTTTACTTTTCAGGAATTATGTTTAATAGGTCATTACTGAAGAGCAATGGTGACCATCATCAGAAAATTTCCAGACCTATTAAACATAATTCCCGATAAGGAAAAGTACAAAATCCGGACAGTATTATGAAGAACAGGGGCTCTATTTTCGTTCGCGCCGGTGAGGCGGCGGAGGGCGGCGAGCCCCGCGCAGTTGTATTTTCGTCTGGCGGAGCCCAGCGTAAGGCCAATTTGGTATTTTCGTGGCATGAGCCGCACGGAGGCGAGCCGAGATCCGCCAAGCTGGGCGTGGTGGTGTGGCAGGGGGAGGTGTCGACAGAATCAGCTGGCGCAGTGACATTTTCGTGCTCGCCAACGGCGTGTAAAGTGCGCTGAAAGCTCGCCGATTCAAACCTGGTCAGCTTTCAGCGCAAGGCGGAACGCAGCTGGTCTTGTAGTATTTTGGTAGACCGGCGGCGTATCGACATACGTCACTGATGCCTCACCGGCAGGTTTCCACAGTGTCAGGCACATTTCAGTGCAATAAATAATCATCATCAACTATTAATCTGAGTCAGCACATATATTTAGATCTATATCGATATATTCTGATCTATATCTGATCTGATGAGCGCGTTTGGCACGCGTTTGGACACACAACCTGACCGAATCAACACAGCTGAAACCGCATCAAATTAAATTAAATATCTAGTAAACAAACACACATGATGAAGTTAACAAGATATGTAATTCGTCTCCCTCCTTTTCTTTCTTCCTCTTCCTCTTATTTCTCGCACAGCTCGACCTGGACACGTCTCCGTGTCCTCTGTCCGTCTTGCTGCTGCTGCAGCTGAACAGATGATTTGTTTCAGTGCTCAGATGCGTTATCTACTTTAAGCCGACATACGGATATTATAATATTCAGTTTTGTGAGCCAAATTTATTTTAGATGCCAACATCTATGAAAGAAAGAGCCAGGCCACGGAGCGCGATGCGTCATTTACGCACAGATGGTTCCGATTTTAATGCCTTTTTGGAGTTTATGTTGTGATCTGTGCGCTCAACCCACCTTTGTCACGTGAGGTTTGAATATATGCAACTTTATGTGAGTGTCTTTATTTGTGGAAAAGGGTGTTTGTCTTACCAGTGGGTCCAACATTACGCACACCAAATCCATCTGTGCTCAGATGAGAGAGTGTGGAGGACACTTGTTGAGCAGCTGCCCTCTGTCGCCATCGTGTGGCATAACTGTCTTCAGACATCTCTTGATCTCTTTGACTACTTCATGAAAATAGTAATACGCCTCACCTGTGGCGGATTTAAAGGCGAGGAGAGGAGCTAATGTGATTGGTGAAAACAGGTCTCGGCTGTGTTAAACCCCTATACGCCCTCTCGCCTCCCCTTCTATGATTTATGCTGCCGGGAGGAGCTGAGTTAGGGAGGGGGGATACTTACACCGGGCTGCGCGGCTCATCAAAATACCAAAATGTGCTTGGGAACGCCTTGTCAGCGCGGCGGATCTGATTGACGCTGCGCTTGCGGCAGATCTCCGGCGAAGCACCAAAATAGAGCCCCAGGAGTTAATAAAACAGCAAAAAGCATAAAATTTTACATTACCTTTCAAAAAAACGAGTCGCGAGCTTGTTAATATCGTGAAAAATGAATGGCTGTCTATGGGCAATGCTAAGTGGCTCCACCACACGCTAACACCGGAAATGAGCAGAATGCTAACTTCTGCGTACTGTGAAAAAGGTCTATTCAGATACAGATCCAAGAGGAGTCAAAGGCAGAAGGCGCCCCCTGTTGTTCAAAAAGGGAATGATAGGGAATTGTTTTGTACCTCACTAATTTGAATCATCTTTTATTTTACTGTCATGTGAGGTAATTCTGCTGCCTACATTTAACTTTTGTACTTAAACTGTGTGTTTAATGGTGAGCAGCTACAGATTCAGTGGGACACCCAGGGGCATGTGGGTGAAATTGTTTGCTGGCTAGTGCAGGATCTTGAATTTAAGTCCCGAGAGTCAAGGACAGGACCCACTCCCCTCCCTGAACCTCTCTGAACTCCCCCCACAGATTCACCCACCAGTGTGAATGCTCCTCCAGGGTCTTGACCGGCTCCTGGACATTGCGGACGTCCCAGAACTTGACCTTGCAGTCATCTCCACAGCTGGCCAGGTAGTACTGTCGGTTGGGGTTGAAGTCTAGGTCACGCACCAGCTGGCTGTGGGCATTCTCGATACTGTAGATCTGACTGTAGAGGAGACCAGATGCAGAGAAAAGTGAGAAGAAAATAGAAAGGAGGCACTGAAGGAAAGACAAATGAGAAGAGAGGCAGAGGAATAAAAATGAGAGAAGTTGCTGAATGGAGAGAAATGATAAGAGAGAGGAATGGAGGAGAGTGAGTGGGATATGACAGAACAACAAAAGGAGATATGAGACAGAGCAAGTGATTCACAGGGTCCACACAAGCTGGAAAACATTCCCAGGCTAAATCAAAGCCTCCTCTGTGTCTGTGTCTGTCAGTGAAGGCCAGACTCAATAAAGGAGCCGATACTGGTGGTGGTAAATTATAAAGGCAATCCTCATAACCGCACAGCCTTGAGTATCTGCAGGAGTGAAGTTAACAGAAGAGAGGCGCTCTGTGCATTGAGTCGCTTTCCATCTTCCCAGCCACCTACTCTTCCTTTTGTTACTTCCATATTTCCTTCTGCTCTGCTTATTTTTTCTTTGTTAATATAAAGAACAAAAATATAGACTTTTCTGCTCTCTTTCGTTTCCCAAAGCTCAGATAAACCCACAGTTTTCTGCCAAGCCAACAACATACATTCAGCTACAGCTGCCCCAAAACAGACATTAAGGGCTCTATTTTCGTGCCTGCCAGTGGCACGGCAGAGGGTGGCGCACCCTGCGCAGTGGTATTTTCTTCTGGTGGAGCCCGGCACACGGCCAGTTTGGTATTTTCGTAGACTGAGGTGCACCGAGGTCCGCCAAGCTGGGCGTGGTGGCGCGGCAGGGGGAGGTGTCCACAGAATCAGATGGCGCAGTGAACTTTTCGTGCCCCGCGGCGGCGTGGAAAGTGCGGAGCACAGCTGGTCTAGTGGTGTTTTGGTAGACTGGCGGCATAGTGCTCACTCGTCACCAATGCCTCACAGACAGTTTCCACAGTGTCAGGCAAATTTCAATGCAATAAATAATCAACAACAACCAATATTCAGTGCAACTATCTGAGTCAGTAAATACATTTAGATCTATATCGATATATTCTAATCTATATCTTATCTGATGAGCGCGTCTGGCATGCGTTTGGACACTCAACCTGACCGAATCAACACAGCTGAAACCACATTAAATTAAATTAAACATCCAGTAAATGGTCACACATGATGAAGTTAACAAGATATTTAATTCGTCTCCCCCTTTTTCTCTCCTCCTCTTCCTCTTATTTTTCACGCAGCTTGACTCGGACATGTCTCCATGTCCTCTCTCCCTGTCCTGCTGCTGCTGCGGGGGCACGGCTAAACAGATGATTTATTTTAGTGATCAGATGAGTTCTTTACTTCAAAAATTTGAACAAAAAAATAAAATAAACTTTTATTCAGAATTACCTGTTTATCTGATGTTCTCGCATCCTCAAATTTCTGTGAATATTCAATCTGGAGTCAGGCCCACATATGAATGTTATAATATTCAGTTGTGTGAGCCAAGTTCATTTTATGTGCCAACATCAATGGAAGAAAGGGCCAGGCCACGGAGCGTGATGCGTCCTTTACGCACAGATTGTTGAATGCCATTATTGGCATCTGTTTATGTTGTGATCTGTGCACACAACCCACCTTTGTCACGTGGGGTTTAAATATATGCAAATTTATGTGAGGGTCTTTATTTGTGGAAAAAGGTGTTTTTCTCACCAGTGGGTACAGCCTTACACACACCAAATCCCTCTGTGCTTATTTGAGTGTGGAGGAGGCCCTCCGCAGCGTTCACAGCGATACTTGTTGGGGAGGCTGCCTTCTGTCGCCATTGTGTGGCATTGCTGTCTTCAGACATCTCTTGATCTCTTCGACTACTTCACGAAAATTCTAATACACCTCGCCAGTGGCAGATTTTAAGATGAGGAGGGGAGCTGATGTGATTGGTGAAAACAGGACTTGGCTGTGTCAAATCCACTCCACGCCTTATCCCCTCCCTCTCTACTATTTACACAGCTGGGAGGAGCTGAGCTGGAGGGAGGATACTTGGGTTGGCTGGGCTGCACCGCTCACCAAAATACCACGCCGCCGGTGAGGCATGAAAATAGAGCCCTAAATGATTAACAGTCATAAATGATCATTTTTTCATCCACAGTTTGACCTAAACGGGTGCAGTTACTGTGCTTATTTTTGTGCTCCTTTGAGGGGACTCTGTAGCTATCATTAACACACTCTCAATAACTTTATAATCACGTATAATCACCGGCTTTGTCCTTTAGCCTTGTGTGTCAAATGCACCAGTATAAGATGCAGAGATATTCCAATGTATCGCTGTAAATATCCCAGAAGATAGCGCAGACACTTGTTTCTGAGCGGAGTTTGAAGCCCATCAACTGTGACTGCCACGTTAGAAGTGCTGATTCAGTGAGGCAGGCCTCTAGCCTCCTTGCCAACAGCTACAGTGGACCCACCTGCAAGTCAAGTTAGCCTTTCTCCTAATTATTATTAATATTAATAATAATTATGCAAAGTAATTATTATGCAAAACCCATAACTAGCAAAACAAATCAAATAAGAAAAGAAAATCAGTTCTTATGAATATTTAAGCCTCTCAGACTAAAATGTCTTTTTTAACCAGGCTATATTCATGTTTATCTTTGGATTTTTGGAGCCAGCTTCTAGACTTTTGAGGAACTGCAGTTTTAGCACCTCCTAATTGACTTGATTTAGTCTCTTGATTTAGTTCCCCCCAGCATTCCAGAAGCCTCCCTCAAATGAGCAGATGGATGACAGCAGTCGAATTTCACATCCCACTGACAAAACTGACCACACCCCATTTTGGGTGAAAGGTAGAAAACAAGAACACTATGTCGCTTCACCACTGCGACATACTTTACACGGGAAGCTTGCAAATTTACGAGTTGGACATCTTTGATCAGGAAAAAATTACGCACTCACTGATTAAAACACAACAATACAACATTACGTGGATATTTGTGCATACTAAATCCTCCTCAGTATTTAATAATCCCATTTAATCCAATTCGGCGATTCAGGGTTCAGTCTCTTGCCTGTAGGAACTTTGCTATGTGAACTGCAGGATCAAACCGCCAACCTTTTGAATGAGAAATAACCCACTCTACCACTAAACCACAGCTGCACACATTAGGACAGTGATGAGGGCTCATTTGTGAATAATTGTGTAAACAGGTGTAGTGGCTCTTTGGTTCTGTTATCAGGTCGCCTTTGAAGCCTCCTGAGGCTGATTTCTATGCATAAAATGAAAGCAGAAAATCAACTGGGGTTCAGAGAAAGGGAGCCCATCTGAATAAACTTGTAATTAATTGGATCTAGAGCTCTGCTCCCACCATAAATGCAACATGAGACTCAGTGTTAAATCCACACTTGTTTTCCTTGTCGTCATTTCTTCTCCAGGCTAGCCTAGCACAGCTCAGCTTGGCACGGTTTTGTTCAGCAGAGTGGAAAGCTTCAGTGTTATGGCCCAGCTGGATGCCGACCACAGCTAGCCGGCTAGATAGTCACCCCGCTGATCACGTTAGGCAATTAACATGCTAATTAAAAATCTCATTAAAATAAGGGAGGAATAAAAGAATGACCTGGGGCAGACCGCTGGGCTTCAATTAGGTCAAGACAACTCAGGGACTGTGTGTGAGTCTGAGTGTGTATTTGTACATGCTGTCACTGCAACTGGACCATGGAGCTGCAGCTTGACAGGAAATAAGAAGTTCTTCTGCTAAAACACTTAATATACTTGGATACATGCATGGTTTTAATAACAATTAGAACAGATAGGAAAATACACCATTGTATACTTTTTGGATGCATTAAGAAGATATTTGTATTTAACTTGTAAATATAAACCCATAAAAACACACTTAAAACCATTAAACACACTTAAGAACAAACTTACGGTGTAAACACATATTTAAACACAGGACCTACTACTAGGTCTACCTGTCATGATGCTTTCCTCATAATGTGAGCCTGGTTACCTTAAATCACGTAGTCTTCATCAGGTCGATTGAACCATAATGCACCTTTACAACGCAGCAGCCACTGGACTGGGTGATTATTTAAATTTCATCTTTGATTATGGTTATAGCTCTATGGGAATATGATATTCAATACTTAATGACTACTGTGCTGCCTGCCATGTTGCCATATGATAAGCCTCTTTAGAGATTTCAAATAATTAATACTATTAATACTATTGTGATATTATATACAAGGAGCACACCTACAGCAAACATTCCTTTTTCATGTATTTAATCACACAAACAAACAAACAAACACACAAACAAACGAAAAACAGAGCCAAAGCAGTAGACTTTTGAATAACTCCAATAATATTTTTTTTTCTTTGGCTTGTCCCATTGATTTCAGAGCAATTTTTTTCTGCAGTTCCATAGTTTTGTCCTACAATTCTTCAAGCGATAGGACAAGTAGAGAGTCAAAATGTGTCTGGAAGAGGAATATGAAAAAAATCCACAGTATAACAATCGTGCTTTGGTGCATTTTCACTGTGGCCCTATACGTGTATTACTGTCAGGAACTGATGTTACAGATAATGTAGTATAATCTGGTTGTTAAAGTGGATTAAAACTTGTACAGGGTGATCGGTCCCCCTCACAACCTCTTGCTCAAAGGTGCAGTGTGTAATTCAGGGATTGAAACAAGCATCAAACCTTGGCAATCAAGTGTAATGATTTGAAAGTTTGAGCAAACTTATATTTCACTCTAAAAAACGCAGTTTCATGCGTGATTAAAGTCTGGAGTACATGTTTTATTCACAGCTCCCCCTCCTCTTCCACCTCCCTTCTCCTGTGTGTGACTCTGAGGTAAAAGGCGTGACCTAAGGCAGCAGGTCTGCTGGTGTTCAACTCGGCCCGCCGTGGAATGGGACGCACCCGCCGCGTGAAAAGGGAAATGGAGCAGGAAATTGGGTTAGTTTTGCTCTTTCCCTCTCCGGTTTCTCTGAGCAATCCTCTCCATGTACGCACACACACTGACACACACACTCACGCATATACTCCCTCAGCTTTGGCTAATAGCGGAGAGAGACCTGGGACTTTTTGTACATGTGCGAGTGTGTGTTTGTGTTTGTATGAGGGCAGAGGATTAGAGAAGTGGCTGGCCTAAGCCACCAAACACACTCAATCTCAAGTCATCCAACCAGCCGGGCTGCATGTGTGTGTGAGAGTGTGTATGTGTCAGAGGGTGTGTGTGTGTGTGTGTGTGTGTGTATGATGGTGGTTTGATGAAGGGACAGGGGACCTATTACACACACTGTTAGGCGCTCACAGATAAAAACATAAAACTGGGAAAACACACTCCCTGAAATACTGTTGTGTGTGTAAATACAGAAAAAGATATACAGAAGGTGTGTGTGTGTGAGTGGAGTCACAAAGGTAGACGCACACACACAAACAGACACACACATACACCCTTCTGGCTGAGTCTGGGTGATAAATCTCTGCTGAGGGATCAACTGGAACACAGACGCTCACAATTACACACACACAAATACATACTAACACACACACACACATGTCTCTGTTTCTATGACAACTGCCATGAGGAGGGAGGGGGAGGAAGAAAAATCGAAATAGGAGCGCAATCATTTCATCGCTGATCAAAATTAAAGCCTGGCTTTGAGATGGAGCTGGCAGAGAGAGACAGATGGAGAGAGATGGAGACAGGCATGCAGGTAGAAGAAGGAGGGGGGAGGAGAGGTGTGTGAGAGAGAGAGAGAGAGAGAGAGAGAGAGAGAGAGAGAGAGAGTCTGCCCATGCATAGAAGGAAGAGATCATTACACCAAGCTACCTGCATATTGGGGTAGATATTCATAGTGCTCACAAAAGTCAAAAACTGTACCACAAGTCGTAAAAGTCAAACTTTCCAAAAAAAAAAAAAAAAAAGAAAAGAAAATCAGCCTCTTGAATGTATTTTGATTCTAATTAAAATGAAACAGAGCTGCAGTTTTATGCATGAATTAAGCGATCAGAATCACAGCTGCAAAATCCATTCATAAAATGAACACGAGTTAAAAGTTAAGAATTTTCTACTATCTTAGTGTTACAGAGCAGAAAAACAAACTCTAAAGCCATCACTGCGTCTGCTAGGTAACCTTAGGCATTTGGTGCTTCAAACTACTCAAGGATATCTAAATTCATAATATGGACATGACTCATACATCACAGACCCAGTTTGGATCTGCCCACTGACTTCGATGGGTGAGTTTGACAATTCTTGAAGCAATGAAACACAGGTCCATGAAATAATAAATTAAATAGTGAAATAATTATTTATGTTTTTACACTAAATAAAATAGCATGTTAATGAATTAATGACACATTTATTTATTTGTCTAATTCCCATTTTTATTATATAAATTACATATTTAAGTATTTATTGAAAGATGAATTTAAATATTTCACTCTGTCTCTCTTCATCCTCCATAGTCGTACGTAGTGATGTCCCGGTACCGATACCAGCATCGGCACTTGCCCCGATACTAGCCTATTTTAAGTACTTGTACTTGTACTTGCGACAGCACCCGATACTGTTACGTCATCAACACACTGCCGTGCGGAAGTTTGTGGGGGGGAAAGAGGAGCTAAACAGGTGGGCGCGGTGTGCGTTCCGAGGAGGAGGAAAACAAACAATGTCGGCCGTGTGGACATATTTTAAGATTAGCGATGCTGACCATTGCAAAGCGGACTGCAAACTGTGTGGCATGAAAGTTTCACGAGGAGGTGCGAAGCCTAGCTCGTTTGGCACGAGTAACTTAATCAAACATCTTAAGAGCAAGCACGATGCTGAGTACAAGGAGTTTTACACCGCTAGTAGCAGCAGCACAAAGCAACCAACTTTGGAGGAAACCCTGGAAAAGCGAGAGAAGCTATCAAAATCAAACCCACGGTGGGTCCAAATAACAGAAGCTCTTGCCCTACTCATTGCGTACGATGACCAGCCCTTCTCACTTGTGGAAAATTGGGGCTTTCGGAATTTCGTGCATACACTTGAGCCACGGTATGATATCCCAAGCCGTCATTTCATAACAACTACTGAATTGCCAAGGCTAGAGAACGTTGTGAAAGAGTACATACAAAACATGCTGCATGGCGTACTGGCTTTCAGTTTCACAACTGATATTTGGAGCTGCAGTGTCACCCCCATGTCCCTCATTAGTTTAACTGCGCAGTGGATTGGGGAGGATTACACGCGCAAAAGTGCCATTCTCCACGCAAAGCAGTTTCGGGGTTCACATACGGGCAGAGCCATCGCTGATGAATTTGAGGGGATGCTTGAGACGTGGGGAATTCCGAAAAGTTCTGTTCATGTTGTCATTCGGGACAGTGCAGCGAACATGATGAAGGCTATGCGTGAAGCTGAACTCCCTAGCCTATCGTGTGTAGCCCACACGCTTCAACTGGCTGTTGGCGAGGGGTTGTTGTCCCAGAGGAGTGTGTCAGACGCGGTGGCCGTTGGACGCAAACTAGTAGGGCATTTTAAACATTCTGCATTAGCCTACTCCCGCCTGGAGGACATCCAGCTCGAACTCCTACAGCCGACAGCAAGGCTACAGCAAGACGTACAGACGCGCTGGAACAGCACCTATTACATGATCCAGTCTCTTATCGAACAGAAGCGGGCTCTAATACTCTATGCATCACAACATGAACTCCCCACCGGCGCCACCCTCAGTGCTCACCAGTGGACCCTCCTTGAACACACTAAGACTGTCCTTGCCCCGTTTGAGGAGATGACCAAAAAAATGAGCAAAGCTGACGCCATGGCGTCTGATGTGATACCTGCCGTGACTGTGCTTCTCGAGTTTTTGACACAAGCTGAAAGGGAACAGGACCAAGGCATCAAAACCATGAAGGCAACCTTGACTGCCGCTGTGACAAGACGCCTCTCCGACACAGAAAGAAACCCACTGTACAGCATCGCCACTGTACTAGATCCGAGGTATGTGTGCGTGTGTACGTGTCAGAGAGGGAGAGAGAGAGGTGTGTGAGATAGATAACTCAATCAATAAAGATCCTTTGAATTGGGGGAGAGAGATAGAGTAGAGAGAGAGAGAGAGAGAGTGTGTGTGTGTGTGTGTGTGTGTGTGTTGGTAGAAGAGAGAGAGAATGAGTCTTTACCTTCAAACCAGCTAAGATATTTATTTTTCTCTGTTAGATACAAAGACTGTTTCTTCTCAAACGCCAACACTGCTGTAGAAGCCAAAGAGATGGTGAGGCTAGAGCTGCAGAAGCTGTCTGCAGAAGAAGCAGATGTGGTAGACGCTCCTACCAGAAAGCACCGCAAGACCTCAGCCACTAGCAGCCTGGACAGTCTGTATGATAAAATAGCTAATGAGCGAGCATCACAGAGCGCTGCACCAGAGGGTGGGGCCATTGAATTTGAGAAATACATTGGAGAGGGCCTAGCTGACAAGCATGACGACCCATTGCAGTACTGGGGAGTCAACAGAAAGAGATTTCCCACTCTAGCCCAGATGTCCAGAAAATACCTGTCGGCCCCTTGTAGCAGTGTGGAGAGTGAGAGGCTTTTTAGTGCTGTGTCAAACATTGTGGATGAAGCTAGAAACAGGATCACTGCTGAGAACACAGAGATGATTCTCTTCATAAAAAAAAACCTGCCTCTCACTCCACTCTTTAAGCCCGAGTCCCCTTCACAGAAATGTGTGTAGCACTACTTGTAGCATGTGAACGATTTTTTTATTTTATTTTATAGATTTATTTTATATTCTCTCTTGAGTTCAGACTGAGTGAAAAGAGCTGGGATTAATCCCACGTGTAGTGCTGCTGAATAAGTTGTTTAAAATGACTTGTCTTCTGATTGTATTATTTTATTTTATTTATTTTTTTGAACCAAAAGTAAAGAACCTACCTCTGGCTTGTATGAGAAAGGCTTAGACCTCACAGACAGCACTGGTGTTATTTTTCAGTATTCAGTTCTTGTAGTTGTAACTTGCTGCATGTATATGATACAGTGATAGAGACATCTGATGCAGTTATCACTTATCTGTATGTTTACATTTACACTATGTTATATTGTATGTGCACTAGGCTATATTTGCGTCTAAGATTGTGGAGTAGAAGTAAAAGTATTGGCAATTGGAAATATGTGGAAGTTGTGAAAGTGAATTATGGCAGTGGTGCCATGTTTGTTCAGGGAGTGTTGATGAAAAAATAAAAATCATAATTTAAAGTCGTCGCTATGGTATTATTAAGTACTTGTATCGGTACTTGGTATCGACAAGTACTTAAATGTCAGTACTCGTACTTGGTCAGTAAAAAAGTGGTATCGGGACAACCCTAGTCGTACGCCTCAAAACATTGGTATATGGTTTGGGAAACTTGAACCTGTCTTAAGATGCTTGTCTGGTAATGGAGTTTTGGACTGTTATATTTTCCATATTGAAAGAAGTAATGATACTGGTTTGTATGAACATTTCAGGGCAAGGTGTGCTGCCTTGTTCTGTACCAGCTGGAGTTTATTCATATATTTTAAGTAGCTTTTGCCCATACTATCTGACTGTAGTCCAGATGCTAGAGTATGATATTGTTTGAAACTATTTTTGCCATTTTTGCGGTGAGGCGTTTCATCGCCTTACCACTGCCAATGACTTACTCATTTTATGTACAACAGTGTCAATGTGTTTTGACCAAGAGAGCTTATTACCAAGAAATTTGCCCAGGAGCTTAGTTTCCTCAACTTGCTGTAAAGGTGTTTTGTCTATAACAAGGTTTAGTTCTGGCTGTCCCCTGAGAGAATAGTTTGAACCAAATATAATGCATTTTGTTTAAGCTGTGTTTAGTGTCGGTTTGTTTTGACAGATCCATTTCTCAACTCTGTCTAGCTCCCTATTTAAGATGACATTAAGATCATGAGGTGTTTTTGCTGATGCATACACTGTGGTGTCATCTGCATATATTGTTAATTTAGCCTTTTTCAGTAAAAGAGGTAAATTGTTTGTAAAGATTGAGTACACATGTGGACCAAGGCAGCTTCCTTGAGGAATTCCACATTCTAGAGACATGCTATTAGAATAAGCTCCATAAAATCTATGCTTCAAATAACTTTACAGATTGTGTAAATCCTTAAGTCTCCAGCTTTTTAAGAAGAAGCTTGTAGTCAATTACATCAAATGCTGCTGTAAAATCTAACAGGACTGCAGCACATATAATCTTATTGTCCAAATTTCTGTACCAGTCATCTGTCATTTGAGTTAGTGCTGTGCATGTAGAGCGTCTCTTTCTATAAGCATGCAGGAAGTCTGTCATCAAATTACCTAGAGAAAAGTATTCTTGTATTTGGTCAAGTATTGCCCTCTCGCATCTCTTGCTTATTGCTGGTAACAGGCTTACTAGCCTGCTGTTAGGGCCACTAAATGATGCTTTATTACTTTGAGGCAAAGATATGACGTTTGCCTCTTTCTCGGCATGTGGAAAAACAGATCATGTTAGACTCATTATGTGACATGTAGGACTTGCTATACCATTAACAGCTATCCTTGTTAGTTTATCATCAATATCATCAGTTCCTGGTTGTTTGTCTTTACATGTTGATTAATTGATTTCTCAACTGTTTCTGTTTTTAGTTCACTGAATCCAAAATGGCATAACTTTTGTTTTTTATATTAATGATTGATGAACTGTTGTCTGTCTCATATGCTTAATCTTTCCTTAGTTTATATACCTTATATCTAAAAAAGTTGATCAAATGATTTGCAATTTTTTTGGGTTTAGTGACAAAAGTACCTCCACAGCACTATAAAAATCTGATGCATTATTATTATTATTGCTTCTTTTCCTTTTGGCTGAGCTTTGTAACATAATTCCTCAGTTTACAATATTCTTGTCCATCTTTTATATGACCACTTTTTTCTTTACTTCATCTCTCGGAGCCATATGATCTTTTAACTCTTTGTCAACCCATGGTGCTTACGAGTTCCTATCAGGAGCATGTTTGTCCATTACCAGTTAAAACTTTTCCAGATTTACCACTAGTGCTTTACTTGGTTCCTTTTCATCATAAATGGTTGATCAACACATTTCACTGACATCTTTCAGAAAGGCTTTCTGAGGTAAACCCTGTGTGACCTGTTGCATACAACTCTTGGTTTAGCTTTAGGCACTTGAGTTTTCCTTGAAACTGCCACTACAATATCATTGCTTGTTGGGACTGAGACTGCTTTACTATAATAATCATTTTCATTAAAAAAACTATAGTATAGGATACAGCATGATGTGTTGTTGCTCCTGCTGTTTATACTTAATCAAGTTGATTGCGTTAGCATCTGTTTCAGACAACATGCATCAGTTACAGTGGTCCATTGATGTTTTAAAGGGCATTTGTGGAATCACCATTCAATATTCATGTCTCCCATAAAAACAAAAACAAACCTCTATGTTCAGTTCACACACCTTGTCCAGATTCTTACCAATAACCGCTAAATAATTACAGTAATTAAAGCAGCTGAGTAAAATTGATTTAATATAGGGCAAGTTGATCTAAAGCCACAATACCTCAATTTTCGTTCCTGCTTACACTGTGTGCACTTTGAGGTCAGTTTTGTCAGATGCAATGCACAACATAAATAAAATGTATTATTTTTTTATCATTACATATCTTTCCTGATTTCCCCTGGAATATGATTTTGAACATAACAGGCCACATGCATATTCCTATCCTTTCTGTAAAGATTATATCCTTCTATTTCTTAAAGCGTCATCCTTAAATGCCCATCTAGATGAGAAATCTAAATAGAGCCAGTATATGAATAGTATTTGAAAACAACAATCATCAATTTCCTATACTCGTTCCTTAAACTACAATTACTTTTTAACTTTTCTTTGGGAGGAGTGTGACAATAGACATGATATATAAGGTGTATATTACACCATATATTTCCTTTCATTGACCGTGTGTTTGTCTGCATGTATTGTCCTTGTTGTGCGTTTGATGTTCCTTATTCCTGAGTGCCATTTGTGAATGACGAGCTTATCATACCTTTAGAAAACAATGTCCCCTCTTTCTCTGGCAGCTTTCAATTTAGGCAGAAGCTCTTTCCTCCTCTGGCCAACTGACTCTGGATAGTCCTCATTTATGAAAACATTCAATCCTCTCAACGTTTTTGCCTCACTCAAAGTTGTGTCCCTATCCTTGATTCTTAGAAGCCTCACCATTACAGGTCATGGTCACTGTCTCACATGGGTTCCATCTGTGGCTGCAGAACCTTTTCCAGCACGCTGAGTTCATTCGATTTCCATGATGTGGGGGTCCATGTCCAGTTTCTACATGTCAGCACCTTCTCTTTTAAATTCGAGGAATGCCATCAACCATCACATTGTGACATTGTGACTGGCCTTCTTAAATGTCTGCTTTGTTGTTTACTGCAATCATATGGTCGCATCTCTTCGTAAATATTTGCTCTGTGGAATTCAATAATAAAATTCAATGAGCAATAGTCCAAGTATTCAATAGATATTTAGTGGAAAAACAGCAGGAACTCTCACAGAGAAAAGACACCAACTCCCATCTTGGATAAAAGTCTTACAAAACAAGTCTAACTTCATTTAGGGAAGGTTTTACATTCCTCTGTCATTTTCCCTGCATCCTTAACCTGGGAATTCCACTGAAATGGCTCCACTCTGCTCCAGACCATCAGGACGATCAAATACGCAAGCATATAGCACCCACCGGATCTGATCCGCCTCCGCCACCAGAGGAGAAGCGCTTGCAAGATTACCGATATTTCTCACGAGACTGGACAAGACCTCATGAAATCTCACGTTTCCCCGTGAGACATTAAATGAGTCCCGCTGATCGGTGAATATAAACGCTAGTGTATGTGAACACCCACATCCCACAACCCTGGCCTCTCCTAATATCAAGTTAAGAACAGTTCAATGTATTGACTTTATTTTATCTTGAAAATTAACCAGATATTTTACCGTGTAGCCGCATATAACTTCCACCGCTGCTCGTGCTGCACTGCACTGAATTGATGCACTGCACCTTGCGTATCTGATCTGGTCACCGGAGCCGATCCGCAATGGAGCCAGACGCTGGACGGATTGTGTGGAATCACTCACTTTGATTATAATGCCTGCGTATTTGATCCGCCTGGCATGCCAGATCGGAGCGCAGCCGTTCCGGATCCTGTGGGTTTTAGCCATAACATTGGTGGGATCATTAATAAGCTAAGACTTAAAATTGTCTTTGAGGCTTTTTCCTTTTCTGCAAAATGTTTACTTATCTTGCAACAAATTCAAGACCATTTCTACTGTCTTTTTTACATAGATAAACCAACAAAGTCTAAAAAGTTCAAGAACTTCTTTCCCAAAATACTGCTTGAGTTGGATATCTGCTGCACTCGTGTTACTGTAACCTGCTGAAGAGCTGTAATGGAGCTCAATGTAGCCGAGTCCAGCATCATAAATCTGAAGGTATCTCTGTTCGTCTTTATTTCTTATTTCAAGGTCTGAATAAGGTCACAAACACACCATTATGAGAGTTACAGTATGATGTCTGGCTGCCGTCTGGGGGAGTTTGGGCACATGAAAAGGTTACAGATGACTGATTTGACAGCAGCTGGGTTCAAAAGGTCATCCTCAAATAAACAGCCCCATATGGAAAACCACTTTTCCAAAATCAGCTGACATCTTTTGCATAATGGCACATAGAAGGACGTGAAATATTACACTCCTAATGGGCAACACTCTTTGCATAATGGTGCTATATTTGAATACGTGAATGAAATATGAAGGGGGGTCTTTGAATAATGGTTTACCTGTAATGTTCTATCCTTGTGGTAAGGGAGGGAGCTGATAATGCTGGAAAAGGAGAATGAGATCACCGTTTCTGGTCAGTGTGAACAGGTGTGTGTGTGTGTGTGTGTGTGTGTGTGTGTGTGTGTGTGTGTGTGTGTGTGTGAGCAGTTTTGATGATGTCTGGTTCTTGTCTTTGTACCAACAGACGGTTGGCTTTTAACCCAGCCGGTGAACGAGCAAATAGCACCACTATCCATCATTTCACCTCTTTTTTATTATGGTAGCTCTCCCTTTTTTCTGCTTTTTCTTTCTGTATTTGCCCAAAGTGTTCTCTCTTTCTTTTTCAAGCTTGCTCACACACACACACACACACACACACACACACACACACACACACACACACACACACACACGCCCGAATACACACCACAGGGGAAGTGTAGGGAGTCCACGCGTCACTGCAGCACTGCACTGCTTTTCAGTATGCACCCTGCAGTGCATGGTATGGCTGCAGGCTTGACAGCTATTACACAGCTCAGTGTGAATGTGGGAGTGTGTGTTTGCGTGATTGTGTGTGTATGTATTTGTGTGTGTGTGTGTTGCCCCTCACTGTGAAAAAGGAGATTCAGTGTAAGAACATCTCCAGTGACAGGCCACCCTCTCTCTCTCTCTCTCTCTCAGTGGCCTCTCCACAAACTAACAACAGTTTTTATTTATTATTCCTCGACAAAGTCTGTGAAAGTCGCTGACAAAATTTGACTGAATCTTAAATTGAGTATCATTCATCTTAGTCATCCATAAAAACAAACAAAAGAGCTCAGCTTGTGTGAATATTCAACCTTTTTCACATTAACACTGGCCCATTCTACACACTCAAACTCACACAATCACTTCCACAGTTTAAACCCCTAAACTGATACCTGTCTGTACTTAACATCGGTTCTTGCTTTATCTGTTTGAACACACATCTGACTTCAATGATTTGAAACATATTTTGGACACAAACAGGAGGACTCTTACTCCTTTCTTAATATAAACTTCGAATGATTTTTAAGACACATTATCTGATCATTTTGAAGTTGCACATTTAACATATACTGATGTTTTCATGCTCCCTCTGTTGTACCTGAATGGAGGCTCTGTGACGTTTTCACTTTGACACAGAGATCAGCTGAGACAGCCTTTCCCAATTTAAAGGTCGGGATGCAGGGTCACCAGCCATTTTTTGATTGGATTAAAATGAGGCAGAGAAAAATGCCTGAGAATTAGATGGGTTCCCTTTTCTCATTCAAATCAGAGGTTGCTTCTTAGCACTGACTGAGTCAACTGCTTCCACTCATCTTCGTCTTCCTCTGCAGTGAACCCTGTGCATGCAGGGCAGCTGTGGACAATATTGCTTGATAACTGCAATGTGTGCATATAGATTACTCCTATTGTAGTGCAGTAGATATAAAAAGTCTACACACCCCTGTTCAACTGCCAGGTTTTTTTCATGTAAAAAAATTAAATCAAGATATATAATTTCACAACTTCTTCCACCTTTAATGTGACCTGTACAACACAATTGAAAAACAAACAGAAATCTTTCAGGGAGGTGAAGTCAAAATAAAGAACTGAGATCATGTGGTTGCCTAAGTGTGCACACCCTTTAATAACTGGGGATTTGGCTGTGTTCAGATTTAACCAATAACATTCAAACTCAGGTTAAATTGGAGTCAGCACACACCTGTCACCAATTAAAGTGCCTCTGATCAATCCCAACTAAAGTTCAGCTGTTCTAGTAGCTTTACCTGACATTTTTGTAGCCACATCTTCCAGCACAAGCCATGGTCCGCAGAGAGCCTCCAAAGCATGAGAGGGATCTCATTATTCAAAGATATCAGTCAGGTGAGGGCTACAAAAGAATTTCTAAGGAATTAAATATACCATGGAACACAGTGAAGACCGTCATCATCAAGTGGAGAAAATATGGCACAACAGTGACATTACCAAGAACAGGACATCCGTCCAAAATGATGATAAGACAAGAAGAAAACTGGTCAGGGAGGCTACCAAGAGGCTGACAGCAACACTGAAGGAGCTGCAGGAATTTCTGGCAGGAATTTCTGACAAGAATCTCCCGCTGTCTTCATATGTCTGGGCTATGGGGTAGGGTGGCAAGGCAGAAGCTTTATCTTACAAAGAAAAACATCAAAGCCTGGCTTAATTTTGCAAAAAGACATCTGAAATCTCCCAAACGCATGTAGGAAAATGTCTTATGGTCTGAGGAAACCAAAGTTGAACTTTTTGGCATCATTGCAAAAGGTATATTTGGCACAAAATCAACACTGCTCATCACCAAAAGAACACCATGCCTACAGTGAAGCATGGTGGTGGCAGCATCATGCTTTGGGGCTGTTTTTCTTCAGCTGAAACTGGTGCCTTAGTCAGGGTGGAGGGAATTATGAACATTTCCAAATACCAGTCAGTGTTGGTACAAAACCTTCGGCCTTCTGCTAGAAAGCTGAAGATGAAGAGGAACGTCATCTTTCAGCACGACAATGACCCAAAGCACACATCTAAATCAACAAAAGAATGGCTTCCCTAGAATAAGACTGAGACTTTGGAATGGCCCAGCCAGAGCCCAGACCTGAATCCCATCGAACATTTGTGTGGTGAGCTGAAGAGGGCTGTGCAAAGAAGATGCTCTTGCAATCTGTCAGATTTGGAGCGGTTTTGCAAAGAAGAATGGGCAAATATTTTCACATCAAGATGTGCCACGCTGATAGACTCCTACTCAAAAAGAGTGCTGTAATAAAAGCCAAAGGTGCTGCAACAAAGTATTAGTTTAAGAGTGTGCATATTTATGCAACCAGGTTATTTTGACTTTTATATTTTTCCCCTAGAAGGTTTCAGTTTGTTTTTCAATTACATTGTACAGGTTACAGGTCACATTAAAGGTGGAAAAATTTGTGAAAATATTTATCTTGCTGTCATTTTCTTACATCACTAAAACCTGGCAGTTGAACAGGGGTGTATAGACTTTTTACATCCACTGTATGTGCAATGCTAGTGATATGCCCAAAAACACATCATACCACCTCCACTTCTTGTTTCCAGACTTACTCAATGACTAACATCCATTTGGTATCACCTGATCACGCTGTGCAGACACCTGTATCTCTGAGTCACTGAGTTAATGTGCTAAATCACATTCACCTTTTCTTCTAGTTATACCTAAATGATCAGTATAACTGCCATTCTCACATTTGAATTAAGTATTTCATCTTATTATCCTACGATAAAATCAAAGGCTGATGAAGACCCCCTTAAGAATAATTTAAGGGTTCAACATGTGAATAATCTGCAGCTCTGAAAACTGAGAAACATAGATTTGGCTATAATTCGTTGACCAACTATTTGGAGTAAATTTCTGATTTTAACATTTGAATACAGGGTAGTCTGCTCCATAAAAGACCATGTAAGTGGTATGGTCGTCTTATCCCAAAGATAAGACAGCTAAGGGTAAATAAATAAATAAATAAATAAAAACAATAAACAAACCTACAAAACTAATAATTCCTCCTCCACTCTCAAAAAACAAAATTTCAAGAAATCTGTTCTGATATATTTGTAAAACTCTCAGATGTTCACAACTCTTGGAAACCCTGAGCAGACACCTGAGATCCTTCAGTAATACAGTAATACCAGTACACAGGGCATTGCAGGAGCCTCATAAGAGCTGTCAATCATGGTGTTACATCCCTTTTTTTTTTAAAGCATCAAATGAAACTTAAGTCCTAGATGTCAGAAATGTCAGAGAAAAATTCAGTTGGCTTGTATTTTGGTTTTAAAGTTTAACCCATGTTCCATCTGTTCACTTGGGGGACGTCACTTGGAGTTTACACCCTTAAGCTGAACAATTAGAGGCTGCAGCTTCTGCAACTGCACACTGGCTTCACTTTAAGAAGCTGTGATGTGGTCCATACTTTTACACCACCTATGATTTAAACCCCAAACTTTCAAGTAGTATCTGCAAAATTCATGGTTAAAACTACCTCTTTTTTCCCACAAAGTGTTCATCAAGAAAACTCCTCAAAAATACTGCAAAGCTCTCTCTGTTGACTTATGGCACAAGTGAAAAATAACTTTGTAACATGCATTAATAGAAAAAAAAACCCTGCCTGAAAATCACAACAGCAGCTCCGTACATCAGGGATTCAGCTCTGAATAATGTAAAAGCAAAGGTGCAATCTGATACAAAAAGACAAGCCGAGAAGAAATGGAAATGTGTAAGAATATTCTATTAAACACCACTTTCTGTCCCCAATATTGGAGCAGAGTATTCTATAATTTACATAATACTGCATATTACATCAGTACAAACTAGAACAGGATCCATATATGTTTCATAAGTACTGTTATCTTTGTGTTTTAAGCACTGCATGTCTGGGAGACGGGGTGCTGTAGATACTGAGCTCCTCTCCAGGGTGTTAGATAACTAACTAGAGGCAGCCGCTGCTGCTGGGCTGCTGTCCCTGTCCCTATTTCAGAGGAGAGGAGAAGAGGAAACAAGGGAAAAAGGAAGGGAAAAGGGCAGGAGAGGAAAGAAAGGCAAGAAGGAAAAAAAGCTTGAAGAAGAGGAGTGTGTGCACTTTTATGTGTGTTTTGATGTGTGTGGGTGTGAGGGGACACCTCAGAGGTCGTCTGAGGAGGCAGCGGAGCGTGCTGAGAGGCTGCCATCACACAGCTGCCACGCCAACTGGACAAACACACACACACACAGACACACACACAAATCACACACACATACTTTGAAATACACGGGCAAGCTGCATCTGTGTAGAGGCATGTACACACACACACACACACACACACACACACAAAAGTGCCAAGGTACACACAGCAAAGAGCAAATCCAGGCTAGCGCACACGGCCACTTGTCACATGCTCACTTACTCAAACAGAGACCCACAAACGTGACTCACCGCTCATTCACACTTGCAACCTTTCTACCAACCACTTCACACTTGTGCAGGGATGGCACGCATGAGAAAACTCACACACAAATACACACCATGCCCTTGGTTGTGTGTGTGTTGATCTAAAACCTTGGAATGAAGGAGTGAAGAGGCTGCAGAGACTCATTCAGTCCAAAGATTCAATGAATTTGTTCGACTTTCACATTTAATTTTTACATTTTCACTGCTATCATAATACTCTATAGTAAGAAGTATATTAAACAGGGTTTATCACACTGTAAACGTAATAATGCACCAAATGTTTCTAATGGGGGACAAGCAGGGGTGTTGACTAACTTTTCGGCTCACCTGCCAAAGGGACTGGTAGATGAAAAAATCTACCGGCCAAATACATTTTTACCGGCCAAATAATAAATGTCTTTTTTTTGTTAAATATACATCTGTTTAAGTACTTTTCATTGAGATAACAGGATCATATTGCAATATGTAATTAGAAAAGAGACCAAAGTATTATCTAAAATAAACTTTAATCTGATTAATCCAATATTCTAAACAGAAATCATTACACTTGAACAAAGGTTGATGCTGTGTGTGAAGAGCGGAGCTTGGCTCCAAAGATCAAACCAACTACAAAAGCAACATTGGCAACTTTAGCCTACCTACAGTGTACGCATGCTGTGTTCACATGGATGGTTTTCAGACAAACAGCCTGAGCCAATCGTAATTTTTCACATGATGTAAAACATATTTAAGATGTCTTATCAAAATCAACATGTTCTGATGGGATGTTTAACTCAGCGCAGAACACACCATTGGCCGGCACTCACACACACACACTCATACTTGGTATCCACACACACTCATATACACATGTGTTCCATACCTGTCAACATTTGGGTTATAAAATCTGGGAGATTTTTACGGCGCACGCCGTGGGGTTACCAATGTATGGTGGATATGAGCTAATAATGAGAGTATTTGTAATGAGATTGCTCATCCAAATAAGTATAAGTGAAGCTGCACACTTTTTTGTTTTAACAATAACAAATAATAAAAAATAGCTGTGATATGCCTTGAACTTATTTAGTTCACTAATATTAGTGTTAGAGTCCTCATATGTTTTACATGCTATCCCATATGAGGCTTTCAGAACATCTGTGCGAGCAATACAACACTCTTTTATCTGAGGCTGCCCTGAACATATCACTCCAAGACGGTGCAAGACTATCAACGTAAATATTATATCTTACGTTTGTTTTCCTTCCAGTAAAGTGTTCATTTTGAACAAACACTGCTTAAATGAAGTTTACAGCTCAAACCGACTTGAATCATCCCTATTTGTAAAGTGAAAGTATCAATCCAGTAACTGTGAGGCTCAGCAGAAACACAGGACTGTCTTAGGCTGTCTGGAAACTTTGGACAAATATAGTAACCTGATTTAAGAATGAACATGGACCGTGCAAACTACGGGAGATTCCCGGGAGAAATGACAATACTGGAGGTGGGTGGGAGATAGGTCTGAAATACGTGAGAGTCCCGGGAAAAACGGGAGTGTTGACAGGTATGACGTGTTTCCACTGTTAAAAGGCGTCTCTCATCATGGTGTGCAGGAACAAGCGAAAAAGGCCCCCCGCATGTAAGACCACTCCCACTAAATCTGCAGATTTTTAAGTAAAAGGGTAAAAAACATTGTACCCACGGCATCCTCATGTTGCAGCCAGGATTTATTTTTAATCTTACACTTCTCGTTGAAGTTCCTCACTTTTTTCGCCGACGTTTCCCCTTCTTTAACATCTTTTTCATCCGTCCCTTTTTGTTTTTTTTGTCGGATCACTGACTGTCAGTATGTGTTGCTACATCTCGACTCAAACTGCGCGTAGTGTTGGTAACCTAAGCAGATTTGTTGTGTCACACAGAAACAGCTCAGCCTAAAAAATAGTTCAGCTGAGTCCCACTTCAGTGTGACACATAACAAATCAGTAACTGCTAACGTTATCTACCGTCGTTATTCATAATTTTATAGCTACGCTTTGTGACACATTGTGCATATTTTATTGCATGAGTATCTGGATAAACATCTACAGGCCCCGTGGCATGTAGTCTTCCAAAATTAAGTCGTAAGGGGGGTATTTTAGTCGCATATGGCGAGTGGCGACCGGCCAGCCAGCCAACAGCCCTGGGAACAAGTCAGGACTGCAGACAGACCAGTTTCTCAGCAGGACTCTTCTCCTACAGAGCCATGCTGTTGTAATCCCTGTTGTCAGAATGTGGTTTGTCATTGTCTTGCTGAACAATGAAGGTCTTTGTCAAGAGGGCAGCAGATGTTGCTCCTATACCTGTATATGTTGTTCAGCATTAACAGAGCCTTCACAGACATGCGGAAAGTACCAGTGTTGTTGTGCTGATAACATATTAAGTGGTCCCTCCCCTCTTTGGAGCAGATGATAGGGTGTCCATGATTTTCATGAAGAATGTCAAATTCTGATTTGTCAGACTGTAGGACAGCTTTCTACTGCTCCCTAAGTCCATCTCAAACCTGCTCAGGTACAGGAAAACTACTGGCACTTCTGGATCGTGATACTGATCGTCCACGGTTTCCTCTTTGGTACAGTGTTAATCTGCATGCCTATAACGTGACTTCCACTACAGAGTCTGTTGTAATGTATTGCTGCCTGAGATTACTCCAATTCAATCCACTTATGGCTTTTTGAACCATTAATGTTGAAATCTCCAAATTCTTTGACATTTATAGAAATGTTATTTTATTGAAGACATAAAAATGTGCAAAATTCAAGACTCCTTTTCAATCGCCGTCGAGACCCAAGAGTTTTCTGAGATACAAGCTCAATTTTGGAGAAATGTGTTTAAAATAATACACGGTTTATCTTTCAGTGCACTGTGATTTGAGAAATGAGACAGTGGTCTGTGCTGACGCCCCCTCCTTCCCTTTGTGCCGGCAGCTAAATCAGCACTGTTGCATCTTTCAAAATAGCACAGCGGGAGGACGCATGGCCAAAGTGTAGCATGCAGGAACTCTGTAATTTGTTCTGAGGCTGACAAGAAGTGGTATCAATGATTCAGCTATCTTATCTGAGCCCGTGATACACATCTGTGAATACAGTCTCCCTCTCCTCCAGCTAGAACCCCTCTCAATCTCTTCAGCACGTTCCTGTTATCGCAGGAATGGATGGAAAAGTGATTAGTATTCCAGCACATGCACACACACTGACCTCACTCATCACACAAACAATACACACACACACACACGCACACGCACAGCACACACACATGGATGGAGGTTTTGAGGTGGGAAGCTGATAACCTGTAGTTACAAGGTTAATGTGTGGTGGTGCACATGCTCCATGTCAAGCAGGTAGGTCTGCTGCCTCACACTTCATCATGAGCTGCAGAGAAGCTGATGTTCAATACAGTCATGAAGAGGAACAGGACTACAAACAAAATGTGTTGGAAATATGCAAAGAAGGCAAGGAGGTTTACTGTTATTGCTGCAGACTGGGGCTGAACCGACAATCTCTCACTGTGGAGACATATGTACAGAGAAAAAATCAAACCTTGCCCAACTTTCAAGAAAACAAAAAAGCTGGTAATTTGCCTCCACTTTTATGCATGTTCTGCAAAATATTGTGACAAACCCAGGGTGCATCCACCTTGAGTAAACAGACCTCCATATGTTTCTTAAAATACTTCAGTTTGAAGCATTTAGCGGCTAAGATTTGAGTGGAAAGAAAAGTCCTCTGTTTACCATCAAAGGGATTTTTTGGCGTAAAATTAAGTTTGGGTCAAACACACCCCAACACCGAGTTAGACACCTCCGGAATACTGGAATATCCCTTTAAAGAGTTTAAAACTTCAAGTCAATCATAGACCACATCCTGTTTGTTCTGCACAAGAGTAGGGAGAGTTGAACAAAAGCCAGGACCCTAAATGCTTGTGCTAAACTCCAAAAATTAAACAAATTAGAAATACAAAAGTATGAAGCAAAAGATCTGACAGCAGACAGGGTCCGAGACCAACAGTCACAGTTCATGACTGTAATAATGTGGTTATGATTCATTCACTCTTTTGACAGTGGAGCCTCACATCTTTACATTCAGCCCCATAACTCATAATCTACCAGAAGTAGTATGGACATTCATTTCATAATAAAAGCATGTTTTTACAATAAAGGCCATCTGTAAATATGTGGAAATAAAACCATTGCATGATGAGGTAATCTCTGCTCTGAAGTAGTTTCTGTCAAAAGGCTGATGATGCAGATAAAATTAAACTTTGAACCAGAGGTGAAGGCCGGATTAATAGAGAAAATCAGGTGGGCCTAACTCTCCCTACAGACAGTCTTTCTTATTAGGACCTGCAACACAAAGTTCACATTAGCAGGACACATGAACCACCAGCAATGTCAGTATGAAAGCCACATCATGGGTAATGTTACAGCCTCCTGTCCACAAACACAACAGGATCAGTAAAAAGTTATCAAGTGCATGACTATGAGTAGGGCTGGGCGATATGTGAAAAAGTTTATCATAATATATTTTTTTCATATCAGTCGATATCGATATATATCACGATATAAAAAATAAAATTTAACATTGCTTATTGGTAGCATGTCTTTTGCAATACAATAAGCTACTGCAGCACATGGCTGCACAGGCGCCACAGGCTCCTTGCTTCACTCAGGGTTTGTAACCTTTTGGATTGTGCGTGCTCTGCCGTGAGGCACTGCTTCAGAAGGTGAAAAAGATTTGAGGTATTCCCTGATTTTAGGAGAACATGTACTCAACATAATTTGCAGTGCACATTACTCTGCTTCAAGTCCAACCTTAAAAAAAACAAAATACCTCCACACCACCAATGTTTTTGTGCCAGTGTTGTCAACGATGTTATCATCTGTTGAGCCTTCATCTGCATTTCTGATGGGGTACCACTCATTTTCTTTTACTACGCAGTTGTTCTCTACTTGGTTCTAATTCAGCACGATTGGTTCAGCGCGAAGCAGTGAAGCAGACTCAGAGCAACTCCCGTTTTCATTAGCTATTTGTATAGTCTACCAAAACATGACAGAATGCCGACTATCAAAAAGGATACTGACCATGTTTTATATCAATATTGAGGGAAATTAATTTTCGATATGTATTGTTTTTGTCTTATCGCCCAGCCCTAACTATGATCCATCAGGATGCCCATCCGTAGCTAAGCTACTAGATTACATGTAAACGAGTCATGTGTGTTTGTTATCGAAGTGCCTAACAAAATCTGTCACTACCTGTCCTTAGTTTGTCTGATCTTGTGAGTCAATGAGATACAACTGACGGATAAAGCATGTAGTGACTGGATTTCAGGGGCTTTTCCTCAGACCTTACACACTACCTGTACAGGCTCATTGGCAGACACAAGATTATTGAGCAAATGTGGTTTCAACTCAAGCGTCTGTACATCTTAAGATTACAGAAAAAGTGTGATACCCTGAAACAGCGACCATTTAACAACAAGAAATCTGTGATAACATTTTTTTTGACGGTGTTGTTGCACTTTGTGTGTGTGTGTGTGTGTGTGTGTGTGTGTGTGTGTTGTTGTTTGTACTTTTTAAGATCTTGACATCCACATTTCAATTTATTTATTTTTTTTGTCATTAAAACAGTCTTATGACGACAATACTGCAATGTGTCTGGATTATATAAAAAAGGAAAGAAAGAAATCATCACGCACATATTGGTACAAAACATTCCCGCAGTATCTTTAACTTCTTCACTCTCCTAAGCTCTGTCCAGACTTTTTATCCTGCAACTCTTTTTTTGTTTTGCTTTTGCTATTTTTTAACTGCTTGCTATTACGACTAAAATTTTGCGAAGCTCTTTTGGCAGAGGTCATAACAACCTGCACAAATCCCCCAGCTCTAAACTGTTCATAACGTAATGTGATGAATCCATCCAGAAAAGTACGACAAGACCACAAGAAAGATAATCTAAGTTGAAGAATCAAAAATGCAAACAGTTATTATTTTTCGATCAAGATATGTTTGTGCAGAATTATTTCAGAACAACTCTCAGGAGCTACCTGCTGGTCCAGAGTATCTACTGTGCTCTCATCTCAGACCCTTTGACAGTTGCACCTCTATGAACAGATGCCAACTTTTCAGGAACTCTGAGGTAGATAAGGGTTGGCATTAAAAAAACTCCCTGTCAGTACTGCATTTACATCAAGTAGCAATACACCAATGTGAAAGTGCTAAAAACTGCAGTTCCTCTAGTGTCCACCGGGGGCTGGCTCCAAAAGCACAGGAAGCCACAGACACACCCGTGCTAAAAAGCCCATCCTAACAGCAATATTAGTGACAATAATAATAATATACGTAACAATAATAGTAATATTTTTTTCTTTAATAGAGCACTTTTCAAAGTTGAAGTGCTTAACAATCAAAAACAATTAAGTCAGATGAACTGTTGCAGAGGTTTAACTGTTTTAACTTAAAAACATCTCCAACATGGGGTCATTTTTCCCCTAGCTCCTTAGTTTTGAGGATATTAAGGTTACAGGTTTTGCATTATTAAGAGCACAGCTGACTTGACTGACGAGCAGCCACATGTAGCTATTTGCTTAAGGCCTTTGCTTCATCTCCAAGAGTACTGTGTGTCGACCAAAAATTAGTTTGGGTCAGCTCCCCCAACATGGAGGCCACTGTCAATGGGTTCAAAACTCTGCTTCAGACACCAATGGGTAACACTGCCAAAAGTAGTCTGTTTTTTTTTACATTCTGGTGTTTATGTCTGGTGTTCAACAGGAGCCAGAACCATTGCACGAAGGCCTCACAGTGGCTCACATCAGTGAGATGAGCCTGTAAAAAAGTCAGATTTTTTTTGTAATTTGGCTTAAATCAATGAGTGTTAAGTTTGCTGACTGAACATTGTTGCAGATTTGTAGAAAGTATAAAGTCAAGCTTTTTCAGGTCCGTCCTTAAGAGGAAAAATACCTGCCTCTACCTGCCAATTAGATTTCACAACAGAGTCCAGCAGGCTTCTTGCTCAACTAGACATTTGATCTTTTGTTCAAACAATAGCAAAGCTTGTCTGCTTTCTGTTGATGTGCTGTCTGCTTGTTTTTGCTCTCCTTGTTCCTCACCTGAATACACAAAGACTGCTGCTGCTGGAATATATGACGCAAATAAACTAAACAACATACTGTATGTATGCAGAACATACTGGGTTTGTTTTTCACATTAGCCCTCATCAGCCCACCTCATTGTGCGAAGGTCCCAGCCTCGTATGGCCGTGTCGTTGGCAGTGGCAAGCTGGCTGCAGTTGTGATGTGGGCTCCACTTCCCCGACGTGAACTTCAGCTGACCTTTGCCCTCCAGGGTGGCCGTGCTGGAGACCTGCAGAGGGCAGCAATATCTTCATAAGCATTTCTGTACAGGGACATGAATTTCATCTAAATATCTGTGACAGGTTCAGGCAATGCAGTGCATTCAATCAGCATAATGAGGCGTTATTAGGAGTCATTTTCTCTGCAGGCTGCACACCAGATTACAATCCTTTTGTGGGACTCTGTTAATATTTTGGGCATTATTGGCACACCACACACAACTGCCTGCAGATTTACAGCGTGCTCAAACATGTACACTCTCACAGATACATCTAAATTTGCAGACTGGTCAGTTTCAGTTTAGACTGAATACAAAACTATTAGTTCATTGATTAACATGTGAAAGGGGGTTACTCTTAAACAAACCACCTCTACCCCGCTGTCGTAGCATGTAACAAAAAAAAAGGACCGCCTATAATAAAAGAAAGCAGATACCAAGGACCGAACACAAGACCAAAGAAGCTCTGACAAAATAAATATAAGCCTGACAATGAGAGGGAATTCTTAATCCAGACACTTTGTTTATAGTGTTAGTTTTGTCATAATTTCTTTGCTGCTATCTCTAGCAAACTGTAGCTACAGGAAACTGCTGACTGTGGGCAAAGGGAGCCTGTTTCATTTTTCACTGATACATTTTTGTCATGTACAAAAGCAAACAAGACCATCAGTGACAAGACTGACTAATTTTTCACGATAGTTTTTAATCTCTCAAATCAGTGTGAGGGGTTAAGTGTCAGCCCAGCAGCTAAAGAAACCGCAGGATGAGGAAGTTCATTCAAGAACACTTGTTTAGCATGGGGAGGACCATATAAGACTGTTCTATCCACAGGGAGCACCACACTTGACACAAACTGAAAGTTCCTCCACAGGAGCTTCAATTAAAATCAATGCAGGAAGCATATTAAATATTTCAACCAAAAAAAAGCACATTGCATATTTAAGATATAATCTTGTTTCACATTTGATGCTAGCAAAAGGTTTCAAAACTGTTGAAGAAATCTCAAAAATCTAACATAAGTGTAAAAAAAAAATAAAAATAAAAATAAAAAAGCACTCTGGGAACATCTCCAAACTAATTTTTTTACTAGCATGACTGAATTCCAAAAAAGGGCCTCCAGTCAAGTAAAGACGGGAAGAACTACACTCCTTTATGTGACACTAGGTAAGAAAATAGTTCAACATTTTCAGAATAATATTCTTTGGCAAAGAATTTCAGGAATTTATCACCTACAGTAGAAAATGCCATCAACAAATTTGAAGAATTCTCAGTAGAAAAGGGACAAAGCCCAAAACCAGTTCCTAATGGCCGTGATCTTTAGGCCCTCTTGTGATGTTGAATTGAAAACAGACATGACTCTGAAGTGAAAATCACTGCATGGGCAACAAAACATGTCCAACGCCAACTGTCATTGAACACATTTGGTGGCTGTATCCACAAAAGCAGATTAAATTTAACAATGTTGTACATGCATGTCTTTATTCAACTTGGAAAATGCTTTTGCTTTTGCCCCACAGACTGATGTCCTTGCACATCATCATCATCAGTATATCAGGAGCTAAACAACCTGAACTGCCAGTTTGTGGTTTGGGGGAATCAAAGTAAATCTGTGTCCTTAAACCTGCTGTTCAGTCAGCAGATTTGCTGACCCCTTCTCTCCTTAGTCCCACAGAGAGGACCTGGACACTAAATCGCTCAGTGTAAGTTACGGATCAACTGTTGAGTCAAAGATCAGCATTTAAAAGATTTAAGACAAATCGCTGTTCGAAGCCGAATCCCACTAACCTGGATATGTTGTCATTCATTTGATCCGAATAACTCAGGCGTCAACAACAAAGACATTGAACTAAACAAAATCCTAGAATCAGAGCAGCTTTCAGGTGAAGTTTGAACATATAAGGCTTTCAAACAAGATGACACGCTGTCATTGGATATTTATCAAACACAGTACATACATTTCACAGGGCAACAATGAAGGTGAAATTAATCAAAGTCAAAACACTTCAAGGAATTTGAATTACTAAGCATATCACTTCATCAGGCTACTTAAAAAAATGAAATCCAATTAATTCAGCAGGCCGGCTTTGAAACGGTTATCTCTCCCTTTAACTTTGGTAAATCTAACATTTCTAAAAAGCAGCATCACGCTGCTCCATTTTTCTCTGCTCTCTGACTATCTGCAGGTTTTTATCCTCATCTTTCTCCTTCTCCCATTTCTTCCTCCCTCCCTCCTTCCCCTCTCCCTCATCTCTGCCTGTTGGAGCAAGGATCATCGATCGCCCCGTCACCACACAGCTCCCTGGTACACTCTCATTATTTCAGCTGGAGAGGACAGAGAGAGAGAGAGAGTGTGTGTGTGTGTGTGTGTGAATAAGAGAGTGAGGGAGAGAGAGAGAGAGAGAGAGAGAGAGTGAGAGAGAGAGAGAGAGAGGCCAAGCAACAGGGATGCAGGAGAAGAGAGAAATAAAGAAAAAAAGAAAAGGAGTAAAAAGAAAGAAGCTGAGGACAGGTGGCAGAGAGAGGGGACAGAAAAACTGGGACAAGGAGAAAACAAGATTTCCACTGAGGACTTGATGTCAATTATTAGATAATCAATTTTTTCATATTACCACAGTTTGTGGAGTTTGGAAAGTAAGCTATTTCTTCTGCTTTACATTTAAAACACTTCTGACCCCTTTTCTGTGGACAAATATGACTAAGTGAATTTTTTTTAAATTACTCGCTGACCTGTAATTCAAAACAGCAAATCACTGAACACAGAATACGTAGGTGAAACATCTAGAGTGTCTTAATGCACTTTCGCCATGTGTCAGACGCTGCGAACTGAGTTGCAGCTAGCTCGGTTTTTGTTGCATAGCTTGGTTTGTGTTCACTCCAAATCTAACAGACTGAGCACTTAAAACCCTCTAAACAATGAATGTGCATCACAAAGCAGAGCTGCAGCTCAGCTTGCTGCCCCTGACACTCAAGTGCTGGCGCCCAGCTTCTTTCGTGTTAGTTGGTCAGAAGGTTTTTTTAATAGAACTAGTCTCATCCACTCAAAAAAGGATGAATAGACAAGCCTCCCCAGATGAATACTGTGTTTATCTGATCTTCTTTGGCTGCCTTTGGGGGCTGCTAGCTGAGCTGAGTTTTTTGGCTCTCAGTTTGGTATTCTTCAAATATCTATTGTCCAAAATGTTTCCCTAAAAGCTGGACCATCCCACCGAGAGTCCACTTTCTGAAACTCTCCAACAGTTCAAAACTAGGGTTTCTTCGACACCTTTTGACCAGGTTCTGGGGGGCGCTGCAAGCTCAGTAACAGACAAGTATTTTTTCAGGACCCAGCTTTTATTTCAGTTGAAATTCCTTTGATGCTCATTGTTCAAAAGGTTTTTGCCAAAATTCCAAATATCCACAGAAGTCTCGATTTCTTCAAATCTATTTGACCCTGCTCAATGGTGGACAGTAACAGAGTAAATTTACTTAAATAATGTACTTAAGTACAGATTCTGAGGATTTGTACTTTACTCAAATACTAGAATTCTTTGAAACTTATTATTCTTACTCAAATACATTTCCAAGGTAAAGATTTTTACTCTTACTCGAGTAAATTTCTGAGAAGGCTCGAGGACTCGTTACTTTTAGGTTCCCTGTTTTTTTTCCTTTCCCTAAAACGCAATTGGCCACACGTAGTGCTCGTCAAAGAAGGAAACCTATCACAGAACACGTTCTTCACTGGGATGTACGTACAAGCAGAAATACGCGCTCTCTTGTTTATCAGCTCAAAACAAGACCGCGGTGGCAATGGCGGTGGCAGGAGAAGAACGCTACGTTGAATCCTCAGGTTCAGAGTCTGAACATGATGAGCCGGAGTTGAATGAGGTGGAGGAACCTGAAGAAAACCCATGGCCTTATCTGAAAGCTGTGTTCCAGTTTGCAGGGGTAAATAAGAAAAACGTGGACACAGACAAGAAAAAGTACAATGTATGTGTGTGTGTGTGTGTGTGTGTGTGTGTGTGTGTGTGTGTGTGTGTGTGTGTGTGTGTGTGTGTGTCCTTTTTGATGATCACATTCATTTTATTTCCATTTTTATAGATGTTTGTGCAGGCTTGGTACAGTACAACATAATGGTTCTACAGGCAAGCACATCAGTGCAGGAGGTTTCGAAGAGTTAGTTCTCTGAAACAAGAGTTACAAGGTACTATCAATAAAATTGTAAAATGACAGTAATTCATGTGAAAAAATTTGAATTTACTATAACTCTTACTTACTCTTGAATACTTAAGTACATTTAAAAGCAAGTACTTTTTTACTCTTACTCGAGTAACGTATTGACTGGGCTACTCTTACTTGTAGCGGAGTAAATTTTGACCAGGAGTATTTGTACTCTTTCTCAAGTACTGGGGTCAAGTACTCTGTCCAGCTCTGACCCTGTTATGAAAACCAATGAGAAGTGTGAATTGAGAAGAAACAGTTTGTAAGGTTTTAATAGAGAGTGAAAATTTCTGCAAGGGTTACCTCCTCTCCAAAACACTGAATCTCGATATTTAAAATCTTTACTAAAAATAATAACTTCAGTTTGTGTTGAATACACTTTAGTTTCTCTGCTGCTATAAGGCGAGGCTTGGAGGACTGCAAACCGAGCTGCCACTGGTTCACAAAGTGATACTGGTGCTTTGAAATAAATCTTCTATTCTAATGTGCTTGTAAGATTTCTCCAGAGGGACACCTTCAGATTTCAAGTGGAACTGTGCTTCTAAAATGGAGAATCAACACAATCAATTGCAAAATCATCTTTGGACCAAGAATCAAACAGCCTGAGCGTCATTTTTCCAGTGGGAAATGATGCAGAAGTTCACAAAGACCTGATCAAGTTCTCTGACTATCTCATGACCGAAAAGAAGCTCTGCTAACTTGCTGCTCAACAACCATCCCCCTCTGCAGACTCTGTACAGCAGAGTTGGAGCTCCGTGCATCCCAGGTTCCCAGCTTTATTAGTGCACTAACCAAATTAGGGGCCCTAACAAGGCAGTACACACAACACTTGGGGACATATTCATTTAGGACACAAGCAGCACTAATGCAAAGCTATCTGTCAAATCGCCTTGCATTTATGCCTTCTCTAGACTCCGGATGAGAGAGAGAGAGAGATAGTGTGTGTGTGTGTGTGTGTGTGTGTGTGTGTGTGTGTGTGTGTGTGTGTGTGTGTGTGTGTGTGAGAGCAGATGTGCAGGACAAGGTATGTGGGTGTGCTGTGAGCCGGCGGAGATGTTCTCAGTCAATTCCACAAGCGATTTTAATTGATGAGCCATGCGCACACACACACACACACACACACACACACACACACACACACACACACACACACACACACACACACACACACACACACACACACACACACACACACACACACACACACACACACACACACAAATCTCCCTTCAAACAATGCACAGTGGTACGCTTATGTACATGATCCTCTCTTATATATGCATACACACACTCGTGCAAACACCCACACTGAATGCATGCACACTAATCTCAGCCTGGCCCTTGAGAGAGAGAGAGAGAGAGAGAGATGCATTCACACTGCAGCTGGACACGGCTTGAGATGAACACATCAGCCTCTGACAGATAGAAGGAACAAGAGAAAGAGAGAGAGGAGAGTGGGATGAAAGGAGGGAGGGAGTGACGGAGGGAGAGAGGGAGAGAGGGAGGGAGGGAGATTAGCATTCTCATCAGCACTGGAGGAATTCGTCTTGGCTGCCAAGCTCTTTCTCCTCTTTTTCATTCCCTCTTTCCTCATCAAGCCCACTCTCTGTCCTTTTCTGTCTCTCCCTCTTCCTCCCCCCTAATCTCCATCTTTCTAATCAGTCAAACCCTCCATCCCCTCCACTTTTCTCCATCTTTCCTCCATCTTTTCTTCCTCGTTATACCTCTTTCCCTCCATTACTTTCCTCCTTTTCTCCTCCCCTGATGCATGATTTCTTCACAGTGTCATCTAGATGATTGACTCACTGAACCCTCAATTCTGTGTTCCCTTCTCGACCTCACAGAGGGGTCACAGCCCAAGACACACAAACAGACACGGGGTTGATTACAAGCAGAACATGCATTATAGATACAGGGGCTTCATTATCAGGTTGTTGAGCTGGTGTTTTAAATAGTCTTAAATCTCTAAGGATAACTTTTGATCCAGCTACTCTACCTTTTCAAACCTATTAGACTGGACACTACAATCAAACTTAAGTATGGTAGCTACTTTTGTATATAGATACTTTTGTAGAGCTGCAAAGAAATATACAAAACAGGTTTCCCAGTGAAGCTCAGCATCATGACATGTTTCTTTTGGGTCCTCGGTTATCATCTTGTTGATCACCTGCCTTTTGACATGGTTTTAACATGAGTCAGGATCAGCTCTCTTTACGTTTCTTCATAAAATTAACTGAATTATGAGATGGAGTTGGCTGGTAATAGTCAACTACTTTGCATCATGTTTCTCCAAGTAATGTCTGTGTAAAGAAGCAGAGCTGACCATCATCCTTTGTGTTACTCGTGGCATATCTCATAAGCTCAATTCAAAAATGCTGAAATATCCCTTTAAGTCCCTCTACAACAGGAAGTGTGTGTTTTGTGTTTCCTTTGTTCATCCTTAAGTCAATGCTGGTGATCCCACAGGGAGCACTGTGATAAGTCTGTGCCTCTGTAAAGACTGTTTCGTGCTGGCCCTTCCCTTTAATTTTTGTTGAATTTAAAAAGCACATGCTGCTTTTTCATTGCTAACTTCTTTTATAACTGTTATTTATCACTGGTATTAAAGTCACCATGTATGAATCATAAGGTGAGGCTCATCAGGGAAACACACATTCAATCATTTCGGTTAATTCTTATATAGTGTGTGTCAGTAAATAATGCAGCCAACACCTAACTGCAGATTTCAAGAGCAGCTTTCTCCCACAAAAATTCCTACTTTGCAGTGAACATGACAGCTCATGATGTGTAAAGGTGTTTGTAATATTCATAAATGTACGTATGAATTATGTAAAATGTACATTCCCATCACAGATTCTCAAGGATGCTCAACATATGATGCATATGTAGCCTAAAGGGAAGGTCTGTGTGCATGTAGTAATTAATTAAACACATTTTTAAGTAGTCGCAAAAACTTTTCCTCACTTCCCTTTGCCATAAGACATCGAAACTGTCAACACACAACACAGATGGGACAACACTAGCTTCAAGCTAATATCAGTATCCACAAGGCAAAGTCGGAACAAATGTTGGTCCAAGGCGATGTTCAACAGAAACAAAGATGGCTGACTTTCCAGTCACCCAGGAACATAACATACCTCTATGCAATTCTTTATTTATGCTGCTTTCTTTCAGGAGCATCAGCAACAAACAGGTCAGTCAGGGGGCTGATGAGCTTCACATCCTCACTCTGTTAAAGTCCCACTCTGATCGTTTTATTTTAACTACAAGTTTTCTCAGTGGTCTTTACATTGTGATTATGAAGTTCTCAGCCAAAATCACGTTACCTGTGTCATTTTCAAGGGCTTTTCTTCTGCAGAGCTCCAGTAGCTCATTAGCAATTCGCCTCTGAGTGGTAGGCGGAGACAGCACTGCTCTGCACACTCCTCTTCACCTTAGCTTGCAGCCAAACGTTGCCGGTGTAATAGAAGCAGGTCATATAGGAGCTATTCTGCTCTCGAACATTAATGTCTTTGGGGTCATGATGAAAGAATATTATAATTAGCTTTCTCATGAGCATTCCAATCCACTAACGCACACACTTGGATTAGGTACAAACAAGGGCCTGACCGGTTTATCGGCGAGTCGATTAAATCAGCCAATTTTACCCCGTTTGAGACTAATCGGTAATTGGCCAAAACTCACCGATTTTCGCCAATATTTTCAGAAATAAAATGCGGAGAATAAGATTCACTTCAAAAATGTTCCACCATTTGAAAAGTTCCCCGACTTATCCTGTAGATGGTGCAGCGACCTCATGACAATCCTCATCCACTAACTACCTCACAGCACAGCAGAGTGATGGATCTGAAGCAGGCAGCTCAGGGATGCACGGAGGAGAGTGGTCCGTCTTAATGGTAAATAAACTAGTTTGTGAAGTAGACAATAAGTCAACAAGTTTCAGTTCAACCCACTTCACGATGTTTCCCGCTGTGCTGGTCTCGGTCACGCCGAGTAAATGGTTAAGCACCATGTAATATGCAAGCTAAAGTTAGAGTTAGCCATCTGCTATTAGCCAGTAACTGTAGAATAAACAGTACACATTACATGATCAGTCTGTCTTCCTGTCGGCGTGAAGAGCAGTAGTCTACAGTATATCTACAGTATATATACTTTAGCTATCTACAGTATATATACTTTTTATAACTTCATAAATTTTTTTAAAAATTAGCAGATTAATCGGTAATAATTGGTATCGGCATCGGCCCCCAAAAATCCATTTCAGTCAGGCCCTAGTACAAACATAGCAAAGGAGGAACTTTTAATGAGGTAAGTGCTGTATGTATACCTACTGGTCTAAGACAAGAGCTGATCTAGCACCACCAACTGCCATTTTAAACTCATGCTGTAAATATTGCAGAAATAACAGTTGCCAAAAGCTCTTGAAATCAGTAAAAACAGGGAAAAAACTCCAGCAAATGGATCAACAGAGAAATCTTTGCTTAACTGAGATTTGTGTGATGAAAGAGATACAATAAAATGTTTGGAAACATCAGATATTTGGCGGTTTTTCTTGCTGGCTTATTGTGCTGAGAAGCGCACTCTCCAGTGTTCACGTGGGGCTTTAAGCCGAAAGATAAGTTGCACAACATTCATTGACAAATTAATGACGTAAAGAAGACCAAACTCTCCTACTGTAAAAATGAACGTTGCAAATCTGTAAAAGAGACACTGTTTTTAGCATTTGCACTGTGTCGATCAAAACTCCTAAAAATAAAGTATGGAGTCTAAATCTTTGCAAAATCTCATCAACCGGTCAAACTCAGCTAGCTACACATGCCCACAGAGTTGGCACATAATTCAGAGGCATATACAGCACAACGTTTCAAATCATGGCAGATGGATTTTAAGATCAACCTTTCTTAGTGTGAATGCAATCAATAATTGATGGTACATGTCTCCATATAGACACACACTGAGAACACTAGAGAGAGTCTGACAGTGTGTCTGCATGCATTCATGCAAACTAAGATTACAGATTTTCAATGCATCAGCTTACTGACATCAACTGAACACACATTTGTGCACTGACACACACACATACATGCGCACGCACACACACATATATGCATAAGGGGTATGACCTGCCTGCCCTGTGTGTGTCTCAACGAGCACATGAATTACCAATGATCCATCTATATTCTCTTTCCCTCATGGCCTTTAATGGAACAACACACACACACACACACACACACACACACACACACACACACACACACACACACACACACACACACACACACACACACACACACACACACACACACTCCACAACTCTATTACTTTCTCCCTTCACACATGCACACCTGACACACACCATTATCTTGAGTCTTTAAATACATAATGGGCATTTTAATTGCAGAGCCTGCAGGTTGGAGCCTGGGAATTTACAGTGAAGAGCCTCTTCACCTCGCATTAGGAAGGACAAAACTACAAAAGAACTGACCGAAAGTACTTAGACACACACCGGTTACTTTCCTTTTTATTATCTTTAAATCCATAATTGTGTACTCAAGACAGAAACATGATGAATAAATGGAAAATGAGTGTGGCTCTGAAAAACTTTTCCTGCACAGTTTATTTTTGTTCTTTTTTCATGTTTAATATGACCACGCTCCTGCAGACAGGTCCATTTCAGTTAAAGATGTTTTTCACTTCTTACATCTATTAACAGAAAAAAGAGACATGCCAAAGACTACCATTGAGGTGGATCAGTTTTCCTGCTGTGTGTGATTAAAGCTCCTGTAAGGAAGTTTAAAGGGGACATGAAACACTGACCCAAGTTATCATTATTTTTAAGAATGCCTCTCGACTTCACAAATCTACATTTCTAGAAAACTGTGACAGAAGTTCCACTTTAACAACACTGCGGGGAATCGTAAAGCAGTGCCACTCGCGTGACATAGACAAGTAAACTTTCTAGAGGAGGAGTATTTGTTTTGCGCCAGGCTGCTCCAACCAATTTTACAACGTAAGAAATGAAAAAATGTTGCATTTCCATCATTTGCCACCGAAGCGGCCGGTGATTCTCCGACACTGGCTAGCAACTATGAAGCGTCAGGATCCACCTGTTACATATACACCAAAGCAGGGGTTCTAAACCTTTTGCGATCTGGGCCCCCCCAAAGGTGGTTCAATGCAGTTGAGCCCGTCTACATACCGAGGATCCTTCCTCACACATGCAGCAGCAGCAGCAGCAGCAGCGATCAGATGTAAACATCAGTATTAAGTGTAACTTACTTCATCACCAGAGTCTCCACTGTTCAACGGAGTTCTAAGATTAAATAACGGAGGGAAAAATGTCTTACCTTCACTCTGGTGTCTAAAACAGTCAGCATTATCAGTCATCCAGCTCCAACAGTTTAATAATCCACCTATGTTAATGTGGCTTACGTCCTGTTTGAATCCCGCTTACAACCTCGCGGTCAGCGTCTCATCCATTCGTGTGAAAAATTAAAGATGTTAGCGCTGTTTCTGGTCGGCCGGCTCAGTCGTTTATTTCCCGGTCTTCTTCCACTGGGACACGGACCGCGTCTCGGTTCCGACGCGGTGAGTCAGTCACGGCCTGTCTGGACCTGTGGTCTGGACTCGGTACCAAGTCCAGTGATGCTCCTGCTGTCGGTCTCTATCAGGACACCCGAAGCTAAAGCAAGCTAAAACTTTTTTTCACACAATGTGAATGGATGAAACGCGCTGACCACGGATGTAAACAGGAATAATATCGGTGGATTTACATACTGTTGGAGCTGGATGACTGATAATGCTGACTGTTTTAGACTCCAGAGTGAAACTAAGAAATACTTCCTGAAGGTTTGATCAATTATGTCTCTGCTCGGATGTGTGGTGGACAGAGTTTAGGACTTTTTATATTTTTTTGTTGTCACGTTTCCTCCTTTATTTTTATCAGATTGCCGTTAAACTGTGGTGTGGTGTGATGAGCTGACTGTGAAAGCTGTAGCTTTGTGAACACACTGTGAACACTGTGTGGATGAGAGGAGACAGAGTTAATGAGAGAGATTCTGGTGATTAGGTTTATACAGTTAATACCGATGTTTACTTCAGATCGCTGCTCTGTGTGTGCGTGCGTGTGTGTAACGTTGCTACTGCCTCCTCCTCCTCCTCCGCTTCTCGCTTACATGGTCTCTTTTTGACCGGCTCAAAAGCATAACCCATCGGGTTGGCAGGATAGCTCTCCACCACATCTAACTCAAATTCGTCCTCCATCATCTTACCGCTAAGCGATTGAGTCACGTACACTAATTACTATTTCACCGCTCTGTTCCTGCACAACCGGTGACGTCACAACTGTCGTAAACTCAAGATGGCGCTGTGCGCATGTCATAAATACACTCTTGAAAGTGGTTTTCCTATTAAACAGCTGATTTTTTACACAAAACATTATTTCAGACTCTCTCCTAATTGATTTTTTTACCACCAATGTGGTGTGTTTCATGTCCGCTTTAAGGTTGTGTTGATTTTGGTCCCCCTGTGGATAACCTCCCCTTTTTTGCTGATGCTGTGCTGTACATAAGCAGGGCACATTTCCAGACAAGCAACCAAAAAAAGACCTGACGAGGTTTAGGTTTGATGAAGGAGTATTTAAAGGGTTTATGTGTGAACTGTGACATTTTATCTGCATAGAGACAAATCTTGCTGCTGATGGCAGTATCATCAGCTAGACTTAAAAGTATCTTGATCACATTATTTTAGCAATTTTAGGGTATGAGATGTTGAACAAAAAATACAATCAATAGGTCATCCAGTAATGAGCAAAATTACTGTAATTATTACATTCTTGATCCTTTTCTGAAGTGTATCTCAGCTCTCTATCTCTCTCACAGAGGGACTCTTTATTAAGTGAGTCTTATGGGTTTGGGTTAAAATGAACAAAGTTAAACTTTGTTACAGCTGACAGAAAAGCTGAAACTCTTCAGATTATCCTCCAGGTCTCCTTCGCTATTTTCAAAAGTGAAGTTTTGGAGGCCTTAAAGGTAAACTATAGAATATAGAATAACATTACTATATCAATTCACTAAGATCAAGAGTGCATAGACTGGTCAGGTTACAACGAGCATGCCCTCTGCTGGATCATTTAGGGAGCTACTTTGGGCGCCCTGATATACTGCATTATTATGAGCTTGAACCACTCGTTACAGTTTAAATATCAATGAATTTCACCCCAAAGTTAAAATCAAGGCTCAAAGTTAAGATAATTAGTGACAACCCTAAAAACATTTCTGTGTACATTCTGAGATATCTATCCTGGTAATTCAGGAAACTGTTTTCCCCTTAGTAAATGCAAGAAGCCTCTGTGGACTGTTGATGTTTTTTCAGAGTATTTTGAAAGGGCAGAGAGGGTATAGAGTTCTTCCTATGGAGTGTTGCAAGATCACTTTCATCGTGTTTTGGTGGTATGTTAATAAAAAATGATTAAAGAGCTAATTACTGTCAATACTGGTATACTGTGACAGCCCCAATGTCAACTTTTTGAAACATAACTTTTTGAAAGACAGAAAGTTGAAATAAAACAGAGTCGCCTCTGTAATTGAAACAGGTGATTTAAGAGCTGAGCTGAGCTGAGGAACTATTTCACTTTTTTCATAAACAATCTAAGAGCTGCTCAGCATGATGTTATCGTAAACATTCATAACCATGATAAGTTCACTCAAACTGATAATGTGCTGCTCAAAACTTAGTTTTTTCAATGTACCTGTGCAGTAGTTGTTGAAGTCATGGAGTCTGCGTGCAGTATCAGCTCTGCAAACCGTCTCCCAGTAATTCTCGAACCTTTGACCCGCGAGTTGGAAGCTTTTTTTGTACAAGAAACCTTCATAAAGTCATGCATTTGTGATATTATCCTAAATGCTTTCTATTGCAAACAGCTTTGTGAGTAAGTATGAAGAGGATGTTCAACCATCATGAGTCTGAATGAGATTCCCTGTGTCCCACATACATTTTTAATAGCACTCAGCATCTTAATGGCAGCACTGCTGCAGTGAACAGTGGAAAAAGATATGTTAAATGACCTTTCTATTACTTATGAAACAAGACTATCACTATCACCGAGGGAGAGACTCCACCAGAATAATGTTAAAGTGGTCACAGCGAAGAAGCAGATACTGTGAATGTATCTGTGTGTGTGTGTGTGTGTGTGTGTGTGTGTGTGTGTGTGTGTGCATATGAGATAGAATAGAACAGTGGACACTCTGCTGTTGTTGCAGAGAGGATGTGTGCGTCTGATAACACCAAGACGATATGGTTGTTATCAAATAATGAGTTAGCTATTGTGAGATATGGTGTGTGTGTGTGTGTTGTGCATGTGCTGAGCTGTACAGTGTGTGTCTGTGTGTGTGTGTGTGTGTCTTACTGTGGCCTGTGTGGAGCTCTCCTGCAGGTCCCAGAGTAGTGCGTGGTTATCAGCCAATGAAATCACACGCTTGCCATCCCCCATGGGCTCCCACAGCACGCTGTAAGTACACAAAGACACACACACAAAACCACAAAGTCACACTCAATTAGAATACAGATGTTGGTCAAACATGCAAACGTTCTAAGAGGAAACAGAGATTTCACTTGTATGTTGACAGACAGCCTAACGCCTGGTTCACACAGGAAGCGCTGCGCGCGGAAGCGGAAGCGCCATGCACCGAGTTTCGGATCGGCGCCTGACTGTTCACACAGCGCGAGCAGGGGAGCCAATTGTAAAGCTAGACAGAGCAGATCGGACCAGACAGGAAGTCGGGAACAGGAGATGCAAGAGAATCTGGTCAATTTTCAAAATAAAATAAATTTCAATAAATTAGAAAAAAAGGATTTACGGTGTTGCTTGTCGGTCTATTTTTTCCCGATGAACACGCACACACACACACACACACACACACACACACACACACACACACACACACACACACACGGAGGGAGCGCGGCAGAGATTCAGTGATGTTATTGAGACAAAGGAGGGGGACTCCCCAATTCATTCATTGTTAACCCCTATATAATGATTCAAAACAATACTTGACGATGCTGCCAATATTTAATTTATGTATGACATAATAAAAACCTAAATAAATATCGACTTACCCATGTTTAAAGCGCTTGTAAGTGTGGAAAACTGAGGGCAGACGGAAACAGCCGAGCACTGCCGGGCTCAGTCGATGTCTTACCGGCGCGTCAGAGCACAGCAGAAAACGCATTATGTGTGAACAGCCAAGCCCGTGCGCGCCGGCGCCAGCATCGGCGTCCTGTGTGAACCAGGTGTTTACAGAAACACAGCCCAACAGACTTAACTACACATCTGTGGTAACTACTCAATGAACGGTCTGTTATTTCTGAACAGCAAACTGTTTTCATGGAGCTTTCTGATGAAAAAAATCGCCACATGGTCTCCTCAATGTTAGCTCATAAGAGAGCGCCCCCTGTCTGTGGTTACATGCAATTAAAGTAACTTTCAAGAAGAGAGACAGTAAAAACAGGTCACACAAACAGGTTGACAGGAATTTTAGTCACAAAAATACAGTTGAGAATATCGACTGCGTTTTCACTTTAGATGATCGGGGCTGAGAAAAAAAAAAACAGACCTGGGCTTTGAATGAAATGCAGTTAAAATATGCAATTCACAAAAGCATCCAGTGCACAGGTTTTAGCATCTTGCTAAAAACACAGTCCATCCAGGAGCTGTGCATGGTTCAGTGTTGCCGTATGCACATGCACAATAACCATATCACAAGATGCTCGGTGTCAATCATGTGACCTGAAACATGTCATGCAATTCCTCGTCCAGGATTAGTGTGTCATAAACACTGATCTGACATTGCATTAATGCAGAACATACAGAGCTAACTGCTGTGCATGCAGAGTCTGTGCGACATAGCTCTAAAATGTACTCTTTTAAAGTGTCAGAGCTGCATTCAGAGGGCTGGACAAAGTGGCAAAAGTCGAAAGAGTGTGATTTAAAATAAAAAAAACAGACAAAAGATCCAAATTAAAATGTTGTAATCATATTAATAAACTTTAAAATTAACCTGCATTTATCGGGTATAAATTCCTTCATTTTTATATTCTGATATGGAAAAGGATAGTAAGGAAAAAAATACTGGGGTATTAGTAAGCAATAACATGCAGCCTTCATTTACATCCACATTTAAGCAAAATCCACTAATTTCATTGTCAAAATCTGTGACTCCTTCTGTAACTTCCACACCATTGAATTCCCTTTTGTTTTTAATGGTCATACAGGCATCAGTATAAATTTAAAAATCCTCAGACGACCAACAAACTAGCACAAGTGTCAGAAAAAAAGATTTGAACATGTTCAGCAGCGTGTAGTCCCTCTTTACCAGCTTACTCCAGCCATTAGACGGTACTTAGCAGCAAAAATATTTTCAAGAATACACAAAGTTGGGAAAAATGTTGTGCCTGAAGCAGGTTTCACAAATACAAATCAGGATGTGGCCAATTGTTAATCACCCAAAATACTGACAACAGCTCACAACTGAGCTGAGCACAGAAAGCACAACGTACTTATTGGAAAAGCCGGCAGCCCAATTCTGTCAATCCAGTGTTCAAACACAGCATTGGGATACAGAGTTGCCTCAGTGGTGTTAAAGAAGTGGTAGCTTTTACTGCATACTTAGCTTTGATTCCTCCCTGCATACTACTTTCTGAAGAGTATTGATTCCTCACTGCATGCTTCTTGGAGATGTGATTCTCCACTGTGCGCTACTTAAAACATGCTTTCTGTGCACAAGCCAAAGGGACTGATCCACACCTGACACTCTGGAGCCCAAACTGTTGCTTTATAACTCCCTCAGTGTTGTGTGGATCCACATGCTTTCATGCTTTTGTCATTTGTTCTTCTTAGTTTAGATGGGCTGAGCAGCTAAATGTAGCCAGAGACACAACCACATGGAATAAGAAAGAGGACACAACCCTAGTGAGAAAGCTTTTAAGTCTGAGTCCTGTCGACTTTAAAAGCGATATGTCAGAGCAGCCAGAGACCCAGCAATAAGCTAAACATAACCTTGGTCTGAGAAAGCTGCTATATGCTTGTTAGGGTTCTGATCTGGTGTGACATTTCAGCTCAAGAAAAAAATCTGTCTATTTTGGGTTAAAGGATGTAAAATGTCACAGAAGCACAGCCATGGTCTGGCTGAAGGTTTCTCATGGAGTCAAAGCATTAAAGCTGCAGTCATTAGAGGTTTACGAGATGACGCCATTTATTTTAACAGTTCATCAATTAGACAACCCCATTTTCTTTCACTCATCTGTCAACCTGGAGCAGGGTTGACATTGCCAGCGTCTGACAGAGAGGGTGTTAAAAAAGGTGAGTGTTTGCAGGAGATAAAAGAAATGACAGAGACAGTCTGTAAATGTGTGAAGACAAAATTACAGTTTGCTTTGGGTTTAAATTTATATTTTCAATATACATAACCCTATTTAAGAGGCTGACAGAGGAGGAGGGAGAGAGAGGAGGTGCTTTCAGAACAGGTAATTCAAAGCTTTTCTCCTTTCGTAGGTTTGGGATTTACGTATAACAACGTACACAAAAAAGAAGAAAGAAAGCTCGGGTTCACAATTACTGACTTAAGCCACCCTAATATGAAAGAGAGCCTTGATCCACAGCTTTATCCTGACTTTTTTCCAGTCCAGTTCATCAACAGGAGTTCAGGAAAAAGTCATCTGTTATTGGAGTTGTGATCATGAAATGTTGGTCCAGTCTAACTTGATTTTTGATTTCAGCTGCTCAACAGTTTGAGGTCTTGCAAGCAGGCCAGTTTATCAGCAGGACTCTTCTACTGCAGAGCCATAATGTTGTTATCATTCAGCACTGTCTTGCAGAAATATGATGGTCATTGTCTGGATGGCCGCAGATGTTGCTCCTAAAACTGTAGATATTGTTCAGCATGAATGGAGCCTTCACAGATGTGGAAGATACCCCTGACATGGGAATGGTAAATGGACTTTGTATGAATAGAGCTTTCTCTGGCTTTTACATCACATGTTAAATTTACCCAGTTACACACTGATGACCGAGGCTGCTGTGTATTGAGCCCATCAGTTTTTGACTATTCTCATCCACACACCGTTGGGCACAGCAGGCCACCACTGAGCCACCACTGCCCCATGTGTGCTTCTGCAATCCCATACAGTAAGGAATGCATTTCATTAGCTGGTTTGTCCGCTTCCTTATGAGAGCATAAACCATGAGTTCCAACATGAATGTCAAATCTTGATTCCTCAGACCATACAAGAGTTTTCCACTTGGCCTCAGTCCATCTTGCCCAGAAGTTGCTACCATTTTAGGATCGTGTACCCATTTTCTCTTTTGCATGGGACATTTTCAACCTGCATTTGAACCTACAGAAGGTTTCCAAAAATGTGATGCTGAATGAACTGTTTGGATGGAGGCCAGCCTGTTATGTGCCACTCTCCTCTCAGACACACGCACGCACGCACGCACGCATGCACGCACGCACGCACGCACGCACGCACGCACACAGACATATAAATCAGCACACCACAGGACCAATTAAAATATACTCAGCACTCTGGGAGTGTGCTTCCCTATAGTACAAATTAATTCATTCAGCAGAGGGTGGAGGGAGTATGTACATATTCTCACATTTCCTTCCTCTCTTATTAAAGTATATAAGTTATGTGCATTTGACCTTGAGCTCTGCAACAAGCTGGCACTCTGGATACTGGAGTGGTATGTAAATACTGTCGGGGAGAGCTATGGAGGTTTTATGGCCCCATATATCTAAGTCTGGGACACAGATGCACTCCTCTCTCTCTATGTCTCCCACCACGTCTCTCGCTCATCAGATTGCTCCACCACTTTACTATGCTTTGCATCCATATGAGTCTAATCCAAGCCTGCCTTATACAAACACAACAGCCAACACAAACAAAGTGTGTTTGCGTGTTTCTGTGTGTGTGCGTGTTTTCTCCTTCTGGATAAGATTTAAGCTTGGATACAGGGACCCCAAGGGCGGTATGTTGCCGTGTGTGAGACGTTTGAAAATCACTTCTCCAGAAGGGGGACGTCTTTACTAAGATGCATTATGTTTTTTCTTCTATTTTTGGAGTTTTTTATATTGTGAAAAAACAGTGTTTTGTTGGAGGGTGTCCTTTGTCTTAAGTGTAGAGAGCTGGGAGAGATATGCTGGACCTTAGGCTGGAACCGAAGGGGGGCCACCTGCAAGAGAGCCACATGGATGTGGGCTTAGGCTGTCCGGCCAGCAGCATCACACCATGAAACATTGAAACTTTGTCGACCCTGCCACCAGGCCACTCTGTGTCTGCGGGTTGTTGCAGTGGGTGTGTCTTGGCTGTGATCATCAGCTGGATGAGCTGCACACTAGGCATGGTGCACTCTGATATAGGGAATGAGGGAGCCAGAGTGTCTGGCTCTTTGTACGTTCCTAGTTAGCACGAATACCAAACATCACCTTCACCAATTAAGTTAATTTTACTTTATTTTTTGCAAATTTTATTTATGTTCAATAAAATCCCATCATATCTGTTTTCAACATGCCTGCAAACCTACAGAAGTCTTTCTGTAAATCCTGTTAGATTTGGAGATCACTCAGCGGGGCCTACCGCTCACATAAACTTTAAAACTATTTTGACTTAGAACCTCTTGGTACGACAGGAAAACACCACCAGACCTGCAAACTTCATTGAAAAGCCTCCATCAATAATGCAAGATTGGGTTGAAAAGGCAGGACACCACAGGCCCTGTGATCGACTGGAGCCTCCATCACACAAACAAACCATCAGCCCGGTGTGTTTGTGTGAGACCCCTCTGCTGGGGTACGATTGATCGGGACTCAGGGACCCTGACGGTGAAAATCACTGATAGTGATCAGCAAGAAATCGTTCTACACACTCACATACACACTTTTTGCATGCCTGGTTACACAGATAAAATACACACACACACACACACACACACACACACACACACACACACACACACACACACACACACACACACACACACACACACACACACACACACACACACACACAACCTGATCTCATGTCAGGACAAAGAGAGCCAGACTTCAAAATAACACACACAACTGCATTCATGTGTGTCACAAACACCAACAATCAGACATACAAACACCCTTTGTGCCCTGCAGCTACTTGCCACTTTGGAAAATTAGCCTTATTGCCTTTAACCCCCTCATCATTCCCACATGAAGCCCTGATTGGCTGAAATGGCTCCATGGGAATCGATTCGATCAACTCAATTGAAACCAATCCAGAAAAAAAGGGGGGTACAAAAAAACACTAGACCAACCCAAAGAAAGATTCTCCCAAAAAGAGTCTTCTGTCCTGTTGGTCTTTTTTCTTTTTTAGGAGCATTTTGCTGATATTCCCATTCAGAGCACGCCTCACAACAGGGCGGAGGCTCAAATGTTTGCCCACCCAAACAATGAGGGGATTTAGAGGAAGGAGAAAATGTTATTGTTAGTGAGAGAGAAGGGACACAGAGCACGGGATAACACACACATGAAGGATGCAGGAAATGCACAAGGGCAGACACGCTTTAGCGGACACAAACACACAGACTGAAGACACACAGGGGTAGGTAAACACACTTGCACACGCACACACACATTAGACGTAGGAAAGCCTTATAAGAATACGATACTCGATCGCTTTACTCTTTGTCTGCTCACAAACATTCACACATACTCAGACTGGTGCAGGCTGCCAGTATTATCTGTGTGTGTGTGTGTGTGTGTGTGTGTGTGTGTGTGTGTGTGTGTGTGTGTGTGTGTGTGTGTGTGTCAGAGAGATGGAGGAGGTGGGCAGCAGACCAAAGCCATCCATCTAGGAGAGCCAATAGTGCACAGCATAGGCTACAGGCTTCACAGCGCTGAACCAAACACACACACACACACACACACACACACACACACACACACACACACACACACACACACACACACACACACACACACAGTGTGGTGCCCTTGTGAGGGTTACAGCTCTAAGGGTGTTAAGATGGAGGAGCCCAGAGCCATCAATCTTTCCCCAGCAGCCTTGCTTGACCTGCCCTCTGACACACCAAAACACACACTCACACAGACACACACACAAGTACACATGCAAGGCTGCACCCCCGCAAATATAAAACCCTGCTTTCACCACTCACACCAGAACCAGACACACACACAGAAATGCACAAATGCAATCTCTCCTCTCCTCTCTTTGTGAGTTTCTTTCTCTCTCTCTCTCTCTCTCTGTGTCTCTCTCTTCCTCCTCACTCCTCCTCTCCATCTTTATCTCTCCCTCGCAGACACCTGCTACAGTATGCATCACGCTAACTGATTGGCGCCTCTAAAAATGATTACAATCATGTGCCAGCCGATGAACAGCGGACTAAAAAGGGGAATGACCATTGATTTTCGTTCTCATCAGCGGTGAATTATGGCGAGGCATTGTGCACGGGAGCTCCGACTGTAAGACAAAGGAGAGCAGAGCCAAGACTAGGATCTGAGACGTGAACCAGTCAATAGTCTGAGCCAGAAAGAAAATAAAAACAGCCTTATGGAAGAGAGATGCAGGCAGAGAGTGGGAGATAAGAGGAAAGAGAGAAAAGTGGAGCTTTATTCCAGCTCGCAGTGGTGTGGAGAGTGTGGGTAGTTTCATTTTCAGTGGGACAACATGTCCATCTGTCCGCTCGTGTGTTTTCTCTGCTCGGTGTTTCTAAACGGCTCTCATTTAGTTTGAGGATTTCTGATCTCACGATAAAACTGCCTGGAAGTTGTTTGTTTCTGTGTTTTAAGTGGGAATATCACACACATAAGTCCCTGCCAAGGCTTTTCAGAGGACTCCTGAGTTAAATAAAACAAAACATACCTTGTTATGTTATGTGTAAATCTCTGCATCACAATCTGTAAATACCTGGATTAAAGGATGGGGCTCTTGTTTTTTGCATTTGCCTGATGAGCCTTAACCACAGAGTGATGGTGGCAGCAACAGGAGGTCTAGATGAAGGAAGGACTTACAAATTAAAAAAAATTCCTCTAATACAAACAAACGAGAACAGAGCTGCAAAAGGGATGTTTTCAGCGTTCAATGTATATCACATCAGCCTGTTTGTGCGTGTTTTGTTGACTATTTTGAACCAGGAGATGACTGTAAACAAGTTGAAATGGGGAAGGTCGCCACCTACCATGACTGGGAAGATATACCTCCGTTAATAATTCAATTCTTGCCCAGTTCTTGTAAACATGGACAAGAACAGTACTCAAGTTATACCTGTTAAACTAACATGCTCAGTGTACTATCAGGAGGGACATACTGATAGGGACGTCTTTCTGTCTTAACACCTGGAGAGCACATGTCAGGCACTGCAGGCAGAGAGTGAAAGAGATCGTCTAGAGGTCATTCCAGTTTGCTTGAATCTAGGTTGTCATTTCATCAGGATAAAAAACTGAAACATGTAGAAATAGTCAACAAAATACTCAGGCAGCTGAAATATACCTGGGCTGCCCATCCAGGTATCATCTATGTACAGGAAACACTGATGAATGTACAGTGTGTTCTCCGTCCCTTAAATCTTTACAGTATGAATTCATTTCAATACAACAAGCTCTTCATTTCTGAAATATGCAGAAGAGAATATATGTTGTTTTTCTAACACCATCACCTCACAATAAGAAGTAGGGATGGGTGATATGGCCTCAAATCAATATCACCTTGATAACGATAATCAGATAATATCTACTCCACTAGCTGCTCACCCCCTCCCACATTAACTTTGTCGACTTCAGCCGCTACAACTTTTGAATTGTCCTCCATCTCCTCAGCTTTCTTTCCCTCTTTGTGCCAGACTGGATGGGGTAGAGTGTCGTAGGAAGTTGGACAGTGTCTTAAAGGGACATGAAACTATAGCCTACCTTCACACATCCAAAACCAACTTTTATTTATTTATTTTAGACACCAAATATACTGGTATGGGCAAAATGATATGGGTTATTGTCGTAAACTTTGGTATCGGTAAATCACCCAGCCCTAATCAGAAGCTTTCAGGTTTGTATGTCCTGCAAAAGAGGAGCCTTTCTGTGTGCTTATAAAGTGACTGTTGTGGACTTTTTACCTTTAAAATCTCACACGCCTATGCAAGATGTATTCCAGAATTTTACAGTATGTGTTGGCTTTCATTGAAAATACTGAGAGTGCCTTTATAAAATGGTCCTAACTAATGCAATCCCTCAGTCAGACACGTAGAGTAAAAACCTGAGCCCGTAGCAGCAACTCTAACTGCACAGATTTGCGCAGAACAGTAATTTTGCAGCCATAAGAGCCTATTTTACAGAACTTTTGAACATATCACACAGTTGGACCAGGATGCATATGAAAAATAAGACTTTCAGGTAAATTGTTTAGACATTAAAGGTACAGTTCAATATCAGAATAGCCAAGTCTGGAATATTTTGTAAGCTGTTGAGCGTCCTGTGTAGTCCACAAACACATTAAACATATCTATTCTATAAATACCCACCGGGGCAGACACTTAATTGCACACTACATTGGAATAACTGTACTTGTGTGAGTGCAATTGTTCCCCAGCAACACCTACCAGGCAGCGTTGCTGTGTGCGTTGTCGTCAAGGTGACAGAGCAGCTCTAGGGTCTGGGGGTTGTGGGCGGAGTCATCAGGTGACTCATGACTTCCTGTGTCCCAATCTGAAGGCATCCGCCATACTGCCGCGCAGGACACCACCCTGCTATCGCTGGCTGGAGGGGATTGACACACAATTACACACAATCACACACACACACACAAACACACACACACATGAAAAGTCATTCCCACGTTGTTCCAGGGAGTGCAGTGTGGGTTAATGTGGTGATTCGGACACACTTTCCTACAAATCCATATCACATATGAGTTATTTTGGCACATCCACACCAGAGCCAGAGCTGCTAATTGGAACCAGTGGAGTAAATGTAGAATTGATACAGTAATTGGACTAAAAGTTTGAGGCTGGAGGGCATAACCAATCACATAGAAAGAGAGGGGGAGAGAGAGGGAGAGAGAGAGCACAGAGAGAGCAAAAGAGCCTAATTTCTTTTCGATGTAGTATTGACAGTGTGTGGGCAGGCGCCAGGCTATGAAACACAGGCGTTAGGCCTATTTGTCAAATTAAAAAGCAACGTGGTGCGAGTCCACAGGCTCTTGAGTGGTTTTAGACAACCTTGCACTTGGAGTAAGTGGGCAAGCAATCATCTTGAACAAAAGGCTTTTCTTGCTCACATATTGGAGTGCCGGTGGGAGGCGGTATGGAAACGCAATAAGAGCGCACTTGTGTATGTGTGTTTATTACACCCGTGTATGTATATATTTTTGTGTGTGGTGTGCGCATCAGTGCATGGTGTGCTGTCTGAGCTCCAGCCCAGTCCAGAGTGGCTGTCATCCTGTGAACTGAAGCATGTAGAGCTCAGCTGACAGAGAGCGAGAGACAGGGGGGGAGGAAGAGGAGGGAGGAAGAGAGGTTGGATGAGGATTGTGTGTAACCCTGAGGGCCTACAGTGCTCTCTGCATCCCCCTCACCATGCCCCATCTGACATGGCTGTCTGCTCCCATGTGACACAGACAGACACACAACTACACTTGCTAAACTTGTGAGAACCAAACCCAAAGTTCCTAACAGCAGCTTTAACACTTTTTTTTTTACAAAGACACTACTCCTGTCAAATCAAGACTTCAATGTTAAAGTGTTGTTTCCTTTCTACAGTGTGGCCCTGATACTCTGTTGTATGTTTTGATGCTGTAATATAAAACAAGAATTTACATACATACCAGCACTGACACTAACCACCTTTTTCAAAAAATAAAATATTGATATTGTGCTAAAATAGATGTACAGTATTAGCTTGGCTTAACAGTAGTGATCATTTACCTTGGATGCCACACATCATAAAACAGAGGAAAAAGAAGAAGAAGAAGTACCAACTTCTTAATTGATTTGGCTCTTTTTAAAACTGAAATTCAAGATTTTTTATGAATCCAAAAACAGCGTAAGAGCTTGTGCCTCTTGGGTTCCTAATCAGCTTAATAGGTACAATGTTTAACCTTTTTTAAACCGTTTTTATTCAGTTCTGATACTTGCAATCTGCTGTTAATAAAGTACTTTAAAAAAGGCACCTCAGCAACCTAAAAGTGCCAAAATAAAAAAAATGCTCTCACTATAAACGCAGTGGCTGATGAAAAATCATATATTTGAGTATTATTAGAATTTAATGATGACATACAAGGTATTTAATAATCAAGTATAAGAAGTTATGTTGCTCTATCCCTGTAGTGCGTTCCCTCAATTTGACTGACTGTGACCTCTGAAGGTTCCCATAAAATCTGTGATAACATCATTATTGTGACAGGTTATAAACACAATACTCTCAGGGTGAAGATCTAATATCCTGACAGCCGTAAGTCATGTAATAAACTGCGCTAATAGTTCGTTACATTTAAAGAAATGTACAATATGTTTGCATCAGTCAAAAACAACATAAATTATAATCATTCAATATTTTAAAGCGTCCTCACATTTCAGAAACATTTCTATAGCTTTGCTTTAATCTTCAACTGCTGCATGCAGAAGCAGTGTGTTTTTTTTGTTTGTTTGTTTTCAGAATTATAGGTTAAATATTGGATTAAAACTGGTTATTGCCAACAAGACCAACAATAAATGACCTGTAGAGAGGGATGGTGCAGTCTCAGTGGCTCAGCTCATTCTTACTAAAGGTAATGTAAATCATTACAATACTGTTCTTCTCATGTCTCTTCCGGTGTCCCCCAGGGTTCTACTCTGGGCCCCCTACTCTTCATTATCTACATAATCCGGTTTGTTGATTGATATGATTGTATGATCAATATGACAATTTTGTCTTTAAGTGTAAATTTTCTGGAGGGCTAGTGGGAAAAATAAAACATTAAGATGGGGTGAAAATTTCAGCTGTTTGCATCACACATGCAGGAAAACTTTTTTCTTATTTAAAACTTATTTTCAGGAGTTTGGTGCATGTGTGAAATAAGGCCCAAAAGAAAGGAGAACAGAGAGAAAAGTAAATGCAAACCACAAGCAAGAGGAAAAAAATCAGAAATAAAAGAGGAAAAACAGAGAGGGAAAAGAGAATCATGATGCGTAGAAAGAGTCTGTGAATGAATCCGGTGACAGACGGAAACAGTAGGACTCACTTTTGTTATAGCAGGTGGTGAGCACAGCCTTATCTGCAGGACTGGCGCCAATGTGCCATATCTCCCCAGCTTGGTGCAGAAGGACATTCTTATTAATGATGTTATTCTCATCATCAAAGTCAATGATGTGGATCTGGAAAGGAAGCAAAGACACAGAGAGCAGAGGAGATGTGTTAAGGATGGAGCCCGAGTTAAAACACTGCAAGCACCTCCCCTCTCACACACACACACACACACACACACACACACACACACACACACACACACACACACACACACACACACACACACACACACACACACACACACACACACACTAGCAGCAGCAGTTCAAAGCTCCTCCGCTCCTCTGAATCCCACAGAAAAGAAGAAGGTTCCTCTTTTTAATATGACAGTAAACGTAATTTCAAGGCAGGCATCTCTTTGGTTCTTTTTTTCCCTGTCAACTTCAAGACTTTTCATCTTGATTTAGCCTTTAAAGCGACGATTAAGACACTTTTAGAAGTCATGTTGGATTCACGGGAGTTCTCATTTGACACGTTGGAGGAGTCAGAGGAAAAGGCAAAACAAAAAGGAAATCGATAAAAGCTCATTCCATCTTTTTTTGAAGACAAATGGCTTCGCTAAATGGGGCTGGATATGAGGTGCATTATCCGAGAGAGCTTTTCTGTTGAAGGGCTTTAATTGTGCAGTTTTTAAAAAGACTTTTTTTTTTTATTTTGGAAACCTTTAGCAGTGGATTATTAAACCATGGCTAAGTGTACTGTCATTTTACGTGTCAAGTTTTGATCTGCAGACTATCAATTAAGTACAGCATGACATTCATGAAGAGGGCAGCAACGTTATGGACAGCATTTCCTTCCAGGAAGATCATCTCTGTTTGAAGACTTAATAGACCGCTCAGTTTGAATTATATTTCAGTTTCAAATGTAAACTTCCCATTAAACCAGGTTAAAAAATCCTAATTATCTGCAACAACAAAACATCCATTTGGCACTATAAATATTTATTTTTTAGTGACAAAATAAAGTAAAATCACATCTGAATTAGGGGTGTCCCAATACAACTATTTTTACTTCCAATACAATACCAATATTGAGGCCTTCAGTTCTGGCCGGTATTGATACGATGTTGGCACAAACTTGTGCATGACAAGTTTTGCACTCAGCTGCAACATCTTTTTTTCTGAACTTTCGTGACAGCCTGTACACCTCACTTGTTATTCGTTTCCAGTGTGTTTGCAAAACATCTCCACACATTATGATCCACACTGCAAGTAAGTAGAGACGAAACATTTGATGTCAACAGAGATATTTTAAAAATATCTTTCTCTTTAGTTCAGAATAGCATCAGCTGTCACCACTCAAACTGATCGCAGTCAACATGAATGAAATCAAACCGCTGATTGCCACAAACCATGTTGGTGAAAAAGTGGACTGTACTCCTCATTGTTATCATCACTGATCGATGGATTTTGGATATTTTTCACTCAAAGGCCTATAAACACAGAAAGTAACAGACAAAATGCTCATAGGGATGTGTTAAAAGTACTTGGCACATAGGCAGAATTACTCCAGCCTCTGTCCGTGTTAATCTGTGACTGTAAATGTCAGCTGTATATCAGGTGTGCTGTGCTTTTTATTTATTCACTAACAGCATGGAGACGCAGTGGCGTCACATGGACAGAGATGTCCAACCAATATATATTTTGGCATTCAGTGTGTTATAGCAACATGATCGATGTATCAGTGCATGATTTCCTTCTCAGTTAATATATTTCTTAAAAGAGTTTCATTTCATCTTTATCCTCACTTTGGGATGATTACACATACAGTAGTTGTCCAGCAATTGTGCTGTGAAGCCCCAGGACGCAAAACCAAGCACATTTACAAACAGCGTTTTTCCTCTCAAGTCGTCTTTCTCTCTCTTAAAAAAAAAAGTTGCCAAACTTTTGATTTAAAATTCAGAGATGTGTGTAATTCTTCAGCATCTGCCATGTTTATCGAATTTCCCCTCAGGGATAAATAAAGTTCGTATCCTATCTCATCTTATGCTTGTTTAAAACATCTCCTCACTACAACATCAGTATACATCCACAGGCTGTGGCACACACACATGAAATAATCACTGTATACTTTTACATCCGCGGCACAAGTTAATGTGGATCTAACAAAACAATACAACATAAAAGTTGGTGATATTTCTTTGTATACTTATAATGACATACTGTACTTTAATGCTTTGTTTTTCCTCAGTGCTGACACTTTTACACACATGCATGTAGATCTTAAACTAAACCCTAACACAGCTTTCCAACAGAGCACTCACATTGTGCACACATGTGATTTGTGTATCAATATGAGTCAGTTAATCTTCTTACTAATATTGACCGATTTACTACGACAGACTGGTGGACTCAAAGCAAAGATGATACAGCAGGATCAGTCAAAGGGAAAGTATCAGTAGTACCCCTAAGTGGAGACTAAGGCCACTTTTAGACCAAAACGGTCTCCATAGAAAATGGAAAAGTGCTGTTTCGTTTTCAGTTTTTATGCTGTGTTTACACTAAAACGCAATGTGGTTGAAAACGCTGTAATGTGCATGCCAGGTGGCGCGTGTCGGTGTGACCGCGCTCCCATATAGACCAACAACGCATACATAGAACAACTTCCGCTCTACTTCCTAGAAGCACGCAGCACAAAATGCTGCGCATGGCTATGATGTCATAAGCGTGAGCCTACGTGAGCCAGGATGTCACAGGTTTGACTGTTTTCAGTGTTGTTGTACTTTAGACGAAAGCGGGGCTAGCAGAGCGTTTACAACATTTCTACTGTGGAGGGGGTTTTCACTTTGTTACGTTTTCATGTCCTGAAAACGCAGTTGCCGTCTAAACGGACCCCCCCTAAACGAAACTAATTTTTTTCCGTTTTCTATGGAGACCGTTTCAGTCTAAAAGTGGCCTAAATTGACTACTTGCTTCAGGACAATAAGCAAAGATGCATCCAAAAACACTTTAACCCGTTATTTTGTACTGTTTAATGGTTCATCACTTATATAATTAAATGCAAAATTTTTAGCCGGTAGGCCTGATTAAAAAGTATGACACACCATGGGGCCCATCACTTTGTAGGAGGTATGAAAATAACTGATAACCAACAAAAATAAAACAATATAACAGAATATGACAAGACAGTTTGGGGTGTAATTTGCAACATAAAAACACTCCCACTATAAATTACAGCATAAAAACACCTGAAATGAAAATATAAGAAGGGATCTGACTCTCACAGTTTCCTGAGATGAAGAGTCAAAATTTAAATAATCAGATCGAATATCCTGTGAGGAGTTTAGGATAGGTAGTGAAACACACTGCATTTTACAATAATGCATGATGCACAAAAGCATTTCAGTGCATCTCTAACTGAGAAAGGTATATTTAAATAAAAACTGTCAAGGACCTAGAGTATAGGGTAAAAAAGGGGTAAGAGTCAACCTATCATCATCTAATCATTTACCCGAGTTTCTGGCATTACACAATCTGTTATACCTGCGAGTTCCTCTCTATTTACTATCTTTATAAAGAGCCATTATCCAGAGTGCTAAAGATGAAAGACAAGGTATTTTAAAGTAACACACAAATTACTACCCGTCTTAAGGACCAAGAAATACTCCAAATGTCACGGCCTTGGCTGCACTTGAAAACACAATCATCAGCTCTCTTACTTTATAGCCAACAAGTTCAACAAACAAGCTAACTTTTATCCATAAGATGTTAATAGCAACTCCTTCTTCTTGATCTCTTTTTATAAGATGGAAATCTATTCTATGAGGGCCTGCGATTGAATGCAGTTCAGGGCCCCTAATATAGTAAAACAGTGAGGGTCTCAAGGTTTGATCAGACAATTAATGGCAGTTTCTCCCATAAGAGAGACACTTACAGCACCTCGGGGGACTGTTAATGGGGTTGCACTGGACAATAACTCCTGCAAGGCACTTCTACTCCTCTTCCCTGTTCTACTTTTACGGGCTAAACAAGAGGATGAAAGAAGGGGCGTCAGGAGGAGGACCAGCCGAGCGGCAGCATCCCTCAGCCTCCTCAAAGTCAGCTAGGCGGCTATTAACCTTGAGTTGGACTGCATCGAGCAAAAAATTATTAGGCAAAGTTATAATTTTATGGTGGTGGGGGAGCGGTACAAATAAATTCAGGCTGGCGGGACAGGGTAATTGGAGGGCCTGGTAATAGGGTCCCCCTGAATGAACCCAGGTGTGAGGGGAGAAAAGTTCCAGCCCTCCTCCCCCAGGTGATTTATCCCTCATTCTCCAGGTCTGAGGAGTGACTCATAGCCCTCAGCCACTTGGGCAGCCTGCCCAGCACTTTTAATTATGTGCCGATGGTGGGAGGAACTGAAGCAAGGAGGAGACGAGGGGAGGGGAGACTGGGAAGAGGGGGTGAGGGAGGGATAAAGCAGAGCTGGCTCGTGGCCTCCACTCCAAGGGCCTCTGCGCTAAAGCTCTTTAGCCGCGCAGATGACAGTAAGCGGGGTAGAGGAGTAGTGAGCGGGTGAGAGGTGCCAAGCTCGGGCGCTTTATCTCGTTAGCAGCCTTAAATGCCATGCCGACGCGCCCTCCGATTTGTCATTCCAGCTATTGGTCTCTGAGGGATTTGAGAGGTGCTCTGCGAGTTAAAAGAGACATTTCCACCCTGCATTATGCTTAATGGGAGGTTGAGAGGCCAGCAGGCTTATGGATACAGCAGAAGCTATCAGGGCTGAAATGCCAATCGAAAAAACATTTTTCACGATGCAGGTCCAGACTTAGAGGAAGTGAGAGCTCAGATGTAGACCAGCAAAGTTATGCAGAGAGGAAAAGACAAAGTGCTCATGAATAAAACAGACTGAAATGACAAAATCTGTGACTTAGAGTCGGGGTCATATTCAGGACTATGAACTACAAGATGTATGATGATTAGGTTTGCATCTTTAAATGCTCTTTGCTTGTTATATAAGAAAACAGTTGTTATAAAAGCACAGTTTTTACATTTCAACAACATGGGTTTGTTTTTAAAGAGCACTGAGGTAAAACAGGGATTCATTCAAACCATAGAAAAGAAGGTAGACAACATGACATGACAAGATACAGCCCACCCACTCCTTTATAAAAAAAAAAAAATGGATCAAACTCTACAATCTCTATTTTGATCTGGGCAGCTGAAAGCTCATTGAAACCAAAGCTATGACTTAATCACAACTCTATTGTCTAAACACAGTGACTTTACTCTCATAATAATCTGACTTTTATAACATAATATCACAATTTGATTTTCTTAGGACATAATTCTCACAATTGAACAACTTTATTCTCAACATATTCAGTGCAGGGCAGTGATTAATTTGACCAGAAATCAGTTTCATACATGTTGTCACTGACGTCTGCTCTGCTCTGTTCAGTTCGTGCCTTTGCTGCTGCTCTTGGGAGGTGTGCTCTCCATGCTGCAGACTTTGTTTTTCCACATAAGCACATAGAAAGGCAGGGAACTCTCACAACAGATCATTACAGCCAAATTTAACTACTGCATGCAAATCACAAATTTTATTGACAAAGGGGGTCCTGACTATTTTTTTTTTTACATGTCTCCATGTTAGTTTTTAAATTCCTTTATAACTCAGACTGTGTCCTCATGTTTTTAGATATCTTTTAAAAACATATTTTCTTTTTAATTAGAAAATATAGTAATTGTTTTCCATTGTGCAACATTAACATGGATGTTGAAAATGTACTGATTGAGATACAAAAACAGTGTAACAAAAATCTGCAAAGTTACAGTGTGATTTTTTTCAGAGTTAATTTGGACGATCATGGTACCAACAAATGAATAATGAGGAAAGAAATGCCCATGCATCATTACACAGCAGTGGATGACTGACACTGTTGAAATGAATCAGATCATTTGAAGCTGGCGTAGCAGTGCTCCTGCTTCTGCTGGATTAAATAATTCTACCTTGATAAAACATGTTGATTTAACTTTTGAGCTTCATCTTCTCCTCCTTTTGATGGCTAAATCATCTCAGAGGCAGGATTCATGTTTCACTGCTAACTACATTTTAAGCATGACATTGGATGATTAAAGATTTCACTGCATTTCTCTTACTAGTGCCAACTCTCTATTTGATGTCACAAAACTGCAGCAGAGGTCCTCTGTGGCCTTTATAGTAATGAAGGCATGAATAAATGATAAGCACAATAAGCACCGTTATTACAACATTAATTTGAAAATTATGCTAAGAATGGATTTACTCTACTATTAAAGTTCCTCGTGCCTCAATGGTTTTCATGTGTTTCGGCGCTGTGGATGTGCCAGAGTGAACGTGAAAGTGTGAAGAGGAGTATATTCAGCTACTAACAGTGTGTGATAAGAAATCACACAGATCGACTGGGATGCATTGTCACCATTCCCAGCGAGCTCTGAATTAGACTCGCTGCACAAGACTTGGATTGAGCTGCGTCTCTGTTCAGTGCCAGACCGCTTTCACACCAAAGTCTGCCAGAAAATGGACTGCTTCTTTTTCAAGGCAGGAATCTGTCTCTCTTGCTGCCTGTCTGTCTCTTCTTCTCAATCATTTATAGCCAACTGGTTTTGTCATCTGTGTCTACAACAACCTCGGCAAGATGTGCATGTACACACACTCACAACACAACACACCCACTCATACACACAATAAAAAATTCTCACCTGAATTTTTAGGACAAGTAAACCTCTTCAAACTCAAACGATGTTAATCTTATTTAGAGTAATTTTGTAAAAAGGGCTGTTGAGTTCTTGCATGATGAACTAATAAGATTTAACTCTAAAAGCACCAAATTCATTAGAAAAATTAAGGCAGATGAACCTCGCTAGTTTTATTAGGATGTCAGCCCAGCTAATGTTGTTACCATTTATTACATTTTCACTGTTTGATAATATTTTAAAGGCTGAAAAATCTAGGAAGGAATAAGGAAAAAGGGGTAGATTTGTTTGATTATGATAACAATGTGTAATTTGTCACTTTATGTTCTAAATGTGATTTTTGCTGTTTTTTTTTTCATCTAAATCAGAGAATACCAAATATTTTAGTGTTATTGTTTTTCTTTTGACAAAAAAGAGAGAAGAGTATTTTTTCTTCTTTTTCTGGTGACTATTGTGACTCTACAGTGACATTTAAAAAAATAGAACTCTCATAAGCTCAAAGAGACTCAAATGCTATTGGCTGTTTCAGAACAACCTTGACAGCAAGTTTCGATTCTTTTCAAAACAAAAAACTTCTAAATAATTATTTTTTAAAAAGTATGAAATCAGAAAATAAATTAACTTAACTTTCCAGCAAATTCAGGAAGCTGTCTTTGGTCAGAAACAACAACATCATATTGAGCTCTGATTGCACCCAATGTGGTCAAATGAAAATTTTTTCCTCTTTTCTTATGCATATATGTTTAGGATTTTAATTGTATTTTAAATTGTTTTAATATTATTAAAATGTATTCTATTTGATAATATTTTATTCAAATTTATTTCATGTCATTTGAGTTAATTCTGTTTGTTCAACTTTATTTTATTTAACTTTTTGCAATATTCTTTTATGTAACTTTTCATTTAATTTTACTTACTTTTTATTTAACTTGATAAAATTCTTTTCATAACTTTATTTTTTCACTTTTTATTGATTTAATGTTATTTTATAAAACTCTATTTTATTTTGTTCTATTTTACTTCATCTAAAGATATGTTAAATATTATTACTGAATTATTTTATCTTAAATATATCTTCATTTCATCTGATTATTTTACTTTCATTTTTGTGACTGTAAATTGTATGCAGTGTGACTATACAAAATAGTATTTGATATTTATTTATTTTATTTTGTATTTTTTACATTCACTTTATTGATTTTTATTTCATTCATTTTATTTTATTTAAAGTTTGTTTATATCTTACTAAATTTTATTTTATGTAGCCTGATAAAATTTGAATTAAATTCATTTTATTTTTTTAACTTTATTGAATTTAATTTAACTGTTTTATTTAATTTTTTTCACTTTATTTCAATTAATTTTTATTTATTTTATTTTATGTACGTTTATCCTTTGTTGCTTTATGTCATTGTATTCGTCTAAACTTAATTTACTTTATCAATCTTATTTTTTTTTTTTGCATTGGCTTTTACCTGCAGTGGACAAAGCAGGAAAAGGGGAGAGAGGGTGGGCCAACATGCAGGAAATGAGCTTTGGGGTGGAATTGAACCCAGGCGTCCTGTGCAAGGAGTCACCTCCATAGTGGTCACACACCACATAGCCATGGGTTATCTTAAACAGTTTTCTGAAAAAAATATCTCATCCACCTTTATTTCATGAATCTTAACCAACATAGAATTCTTGTCATTGAGAATATTTTAAAAGGCTGTTTCATGAGTTTAATGTCAATAATCATTATTATTGTTACTTTAATCTAAATGTTGCTTGGGAAGTCTGATGCCTAAAGCAAGCATGTTGAATAACTCTTTAGAAATAACCAGTCTTGTTGCCAAAATCAACAGCAGAATCACATCACTCACAAAGAAAGAGTCATGCAAGAGAAAACAAAATGCTCACACTTAGGCCCACTTTTAAAGTCCCAAGGAGAGGTGCAAGGATTTACAGGCTATCACTTTCTGTTTTAGTTGGGCATGTCTTCATTTTGAATGTCTGATATCACGGTGAGGGGGCAAGTGTCTAGAAAGATAACTGTATTTACAAAATGCAGGGAAAAAACAGATTATTCTTACTCTTCCAAGATGAGATTCAAGATTAGTGATATATTTCATTTTCAGAGAGAGCAGGGTTACTATTTTGCTGCAAAACATTGTCAAATGTCCAAATCACATAACACATAGACAAGCATTTCAACATGTCCACAACACACACATTTCCAGTATTAGTGCCTTATTTGGTCTAATCTCCCCTCATCTATTCTCCTTTCTCATTTTTAAGCTTTGATTATCACAATTATTTCTTTTAAACATTTTATATATCTTCACTAGCCTATAACTCAGATTGATCATACCGCATCCATGCTTAAATGCAAACATGTCTGTTGATTTTGTGTCAAATGCCTCTCTGTTTTTCTTTATGTTAATGTCTGAACCGCAGACTGTATCCATGTATATATATGTATATATATATATATATATATATATATATATATATATATATATAGATATAGATATACATATAGATAGATAGATAGATAGATAGATAGATAGATAGATAGATACACTCACCGGCCACTTTATTAGGTACACCTGTCCAACTGCTTGTTAACACTTAATTTCTAATCAGCCAATCACATGGCGGCAACTTAGTGCATTTAGGCATGTAGACATGGTCAAGACAATCTCCTGCAGTTCAAACCGAGCATCAGTTGTTGGTGCCAGAAGGGCTGGTCTGAGTATTTCAGAAACTGCTGATCTACTGGGATTTTCACGCACAACCATCTCTAGGGTTTACAGAGAATGGTCCGAAAAAGAAAAAATATCCAGTGAGCGGCAGTTCTGTGGGCAGAAATGCCTTGTTGATGCCAGAGGTCAGAGGAGAATGGCCAGACTGGTTCGAGCTGATAGAAAGGCAACAGTGACTCAAATAACCACCCGTTACAACCAAGGTAGGCAGAAGAGCATCTCTGAACGCACAGTACGTCGAACTTTGAGGCAGATGGGCTACAGCAGCAGAAGACCACGCCGGGTGCCACTCCTTTCAGCTAAGAACAGGAAACTGAGGCTACAATTTGCACAAGCTCATCGAAATTGGACAATAGAAGATTGAAAAAACGTTGCCTGGTCTGATGAGTCTCGAGTTCTGCTGCGACATTCGGATGGTAGGGTCAGAATTTGGCTTTAACAACATGAAAGCATGGATCCATCCTGCCTTGTATCAACGGTTCAGGCTGGTGGTGGTGGTGTCATGGTGTGGGGAATATTTTCTTGGCACTCTTTGGGCCCCTTGGTACCAATTGAGCATCGTTGCAACGCCACAGCCTACCTGAGTATTGTTGCTGACCATGTCCATCCCTTTATGACCACAATGTACCCAACTTCTGATGGCTGCTTTCAGCAGGATAATGCGCCATGTCATAAAGCTGGAATCATCTCAGACTGGTTTCTTGAACATGACAATGAGTTCACTGTACTCAAATGGCCTCCACAGTCACCAGATCTCAATCCAATAGAGCATCTTTGGGATGTGGTGGAACGGGAGATTTGCATCATGGATGTGCAGCTGACAAATCTGCGGCAACTGTGTGATGCCATCATGTCAATATGGACCAAGCTCTCTGAGGAATGCTTCCAGCACCTTGTTGAATCTATGCCACGAAGAATTGAGGCAGTTCTGAAGGCAAAAGGGGGTCCAACCCGTTACTAGCATGGTGTACCTAATAAAGTGGCCGGTGAGTGTAGATAGATAAAATAAACCAAAGGTCTGAACCAAATGAAACCTGTTCAGGACCTGGTCATGTTATGTCAACAGCAAAGGCATTTCAGGTGTTCAAATTCTTTAATTTTACCTGGTTGTCAAACTTCAGGGACTGTGTGCCCACAAGGAAACGAATAGCATCAGTTTCAGCAGTCTGAGCTGTCAGTGCCCGAGCCTGCAAAGCAAAAGCAAAAAGCACGATTATCCTTCACATATAACACCACAAACAACAAAAACACACAAATGTCAAGGTTCAGTTTGAACAGGGAGAATGGAAAGTGGTTCAAAACATTACATAGACCCGCAAAATGAGATGTATTTAAGAGTTCGCTATCCGAAGTCCACATACAAGTGTGACAGAATAGCAAGACACGTGTACCTGAAATTCAAGTCCGTAAATGACTGGAGCGTCGTCCTCCATTTTTCAGTGTATTGCCACAATAACCTCCTAAAATATATGTTCTAGCAACAAAAATGTTTAAAATGAAAATGCTCCACGTACTGGACACAGACACAACACAGCAGCTTTACTTCCGCGATTTAAGACCATCAAGTGACGTTAGAAGCGTAACGGCGGTCAAGCAACGTTATACGCGTTGACGAAACTACGTAAAAAGAAGTCCAGAATAGCAAAAACCACGGCGGATTGAGATTTGACTACTCTGAGATGCCGTACATGCAGCCGTTTCACGGTACTGCGCATGCCCATTAGCGTACAAGCTGTCACTGTGCAGTAAGGTGAGTAAATTAAACATTGTCGAACTAACGTTGCTGTTTTTGTCACTTGGTAATATTGCAGAGAGCAGCTTTGTGTGTTCCTTGTGAGTCTCAGTGCGTCGACATCTACGAGTGAAACATATATCAAACAATTGCAACCAACTGCTGAGCCAAAGCCAACCGGCTAATGTAGCGTTAGCGTGCTAGCACCTATATAGACAACAATCATGAGATCATAGCACTTGCTCGGACTCTAACGGGACAGGAGAAAAACACGAGGAAGCCAAGAAACCATCTTATTCTCTCTGCAGCTGTTGTCTAATACTGACTGTTTGTTCCTGTAAGAAATGTAGCGTATGTTTAACGATTCAACGGCAGGAAGTGACTGCTGTGCTTTGCAGTGGGATCGATCTGTCTCTGTCATAGGGGCGGGCAATATAGGAAATATCATATCACGGTCTTTTTTGACTCAAACTGGATTTTATCATTCCTTTTTCTATTTTTTTTTTTAAATCTACTTTGCATGGTGCCAATCAAGTACAACAAATCTTTTTCTATGACTCAATAAACTTAGTCCTCAAAGAAGAAGAAAAATAATAGATAGACAAAGCCAAAGAATTTTTGCTATTTTGCCAACTAGTGCATAGTACATCTGACATGAAACAAGAATTCTCAGCAACAAAGAGAAGAATTAGAGCACAGTTAATGTGTTATTCAGATTAAATATTTGATCTTTATCCATCTATCTAATATATAGTTATTAAATATTATTATTACTGACAGTGGTTTCAAAAGGTGAACAACACTTTTGCCAAATAACAGCCACCTTATCAAGCTTGTAGATCAATCTATTTTGTTTATAGGGTAGCTCTCAGCTTTTTACTTTTAATTCTAACTTGTTAAAAAACAAGTGAACACATTACTCCCATTCTTGCTGATCTCCACTGATGAAAAGTTAGTCATAGAATCAATTTTAGAATCTCAAAACTTGTTCTTGAAAGGGCTTTGTGGTCAGGCACTACCCCACATTTGTTATCTTTTGAACTTTTAATACACCAGATCGCTGCTTGAAATCCTCTGGTAGGGATTCAGATTGTTCCTGAATCTCAGCTGGTGTCCTCAGCTCTGGATATCCCTGATTTCAGACTGGCTGAGACCACCTTTAAATGTGGACTAAAAACTTACTTTTATTGTGGAGCCTTCACCTCTCTCCTGTGCTGTAATCGATTTCTCCTTTTTTTTTCTATTTTGGTTATTTAAACATCTTGTTATGATTGCTTTACCTCTTATATTTAAATGTGTGTTTGGAGCACATTATAGCTCCAGCTTTGAAAAGAATTTAATCACGGTTTATAATTAATTTTGATTAAAATGCTTATTTTTGGCAGGAGTAGGCAAGTGATTGCAACCTGAAATAAGTTTGAAATGATTCAAAATTGAATTCATTTTAAATTATAATAAAATAAGACTTTGTGATTCAGTATATTATTGTTCTTGTTTGAGACTCTATCTTTTTACGTTAACGTCTTTGATGTGCACTGTGTGTGTAATCTGACATCAACAGAGACAGGTTAGCACAAAACACTGAGAATTTACATTGAAGGCCACATCAAAGACTTTCTCTAGGTCAAGTACTTTCAGAGCAGAATAACGTTGTGGATTAATTGGTCTTACCCTTCATTTCTGTTCATTTCTGTTGTGTTTTATTGCCAACAGCGTTAAGATGGATAGTGATGAGGCTCCAGCTCAGCGGCCTGTCACCTTGGACATCACTGTAGAAGATGTTACCAAGGAAACTCTGACCCCAGACCCTCCAGAGCCAACCACCAGTCAGACCACCTCCAAAGACAGCCTCCTTCCTCAGGAAGACAGTATCGACCTGGGTGGAGGGTTCATCACCCCCCAGGAGGACAGCAGTGCTACACCTTCAGAGAGTCTCCTGGACAAACTGAACGACCAGATGATGGAGAGCGTCATGATTTCAGACTCACCTAATAACAGCGAGGAGGACGATGTAGCTCCTATAGACTCCTTTCTGGATGCGGGAATAAGGGATGAGGAGGAGGAGGAGAAGGAGGAGAAGGCACAAGAGACTTTTAGTGACTCACAGGAACACAGTGAAATTGGACAAAATACAACTGAGATAACAGTTTCAGTGGAAGACAAAGAGAAAGACGGTTTAGAAGAGAAAGTAGAGGAGGACACAAAGGAGCAGATGGAAACAGAAGAGAAGTTTACAGCTGATGTTTCTCCACATGGTGACACTCAGAGCCCATCTGATCCAATGATAGAAGAACCAGCACCACAAGAAGTTAAAGGGATGAGCCCGAAAGAGGAGCCCGTGCCGGTGTGCACCATATTCAGCCAGGGAACCCAGCCAAAGTCCCTGGTCCCTGATGGCTTTCAGCCCACTCTCATCAAGTCCCCCAGCTTCAGCATGGGGAGTGGGGGGCCAAGCACTGAGGCAGTGACCCCCAGCAAGCAGACGCCCCCTCTAGTGTGTCAGCCCAGCCCCAGCCTCAGTAAGTTCTTTACTGACAATGGACAGTGTAATCCAGCTACTGACTTCTTTGATTCCTTCACTGCCCCCTCCTCCTTTATCTCTGTTTCAAACCCAAATGCCGACATCCCTCCCGGCTCCAGCCCAGCACCCATAGCTCCCACTCCTGAGCGCCAGCTCTCCTCCACATCCTCCTCCATCTCCACCCCTGGAGGACCGCTGGATTCTGGTGCTCCCACCCCGAGTGCAGTATTTGGCCCTGCCCCAACTGAATCAACCACTAAGACCCAGCCTCCTCCTCCACAAGCAGTCCCGGCCCCGTCTCAAACTCCAGCCAGTCAGCCCCAGCCCTTTAACCAGCTGCAGGCTGTGTTTTCAGGCAACGATGACCCGTTTGCAAAAGCCTTGAGTCTGAGTGAGGTGGACAGGCGCCATGATGCCTGGCTGCCCTCTGAGGAGACGAGGAAGGTGTGGATTTCTGTGGCCACCCAGCAGTACAGCCCAGCGTATGTGGAGGCCACCAGACTCACCATGCCTGGACTCAAGTTTGACAACCTGCAGGTATGACAAGCAACACAGTCTCATGGTTGTAGTATATCCTGATGAGGTTCAGCATCAACATTAAATTCACTTTCTGTCCACCCAACCTGAGCTCAGATGATGCTTCATCAAACGGTCACCTCTGTAAAACATATAAGAATCAGTGTGTGCTATTAAGCAGCATTGAAGAGATTTGAGACTGGAGGAATATAAAATTTATCAGTGTCATATTGACCCAAATACAGGAAAACCTTAAACAGACCCTCCACAAGACACATTTATCCAAAAAGACCAAATGTTGTGTATTTCTCAGAAAGAGAAATACAGACAAATTTATTACAAACAAGATAAAATAATGTTTTTAACTTTATCAAATAAAATAATGGTTTAAACAACTTCTAAGGAAAATATTAGCCTTTTGAAAGACAAAATGATCACATGTGCAAGTGCTATGAAAGCAGCTGTTTACCAGAATTAAAAATGATCAGCCAGTTTGAAAATTAAATAGAAAATGAGACATACTTTTAAATTTCCTGTATCTGTGTGCATTATTTGACTCATGAATATAAGGAATATTTGGTCATGTAACATGCACTTTTAATTTTATCTTTGACATAATTAATAAAAATGAAAAAGCAAATTTAAAAATTAAAATACATTTAACAGTAATGCTTTTTAATTTTCAGATATTGGAGCAATTTTTTACTAAATTAATATTCAGTCATCCACTTTGTGATAGTTTACTCTCCAGGTTTGCATGTTGTATCTATCTGCCCTGCTCTTCTATACCATTTGGCTTTTAAAATCTCAGACCGAGAGTCATTTATCTACACAAGGATATAAAGAGGCAGCCATCAACTTGTAACTTTTACCATTTCAATGGTAAAAACTTTAAGGAGCATACTTACCATGATTTACAGAAGCTTCTAGTCCTTGAAGGCCATCATCACTTCACCATTTCATGTAGAATTTGACCGCTAGGCATCATTACAAGTTACCAGATATTCCACACACTGTACCTTTGCAGGAAAGTAAAAAATTAAGTCACACATGAGAGCATGGAAACCAAATATATTCACTTTCCACAGCCATGGTACAGGGACATGCGCTTTTTCTCTGAGCCAGTTCATGTCTCTTTGAAATCAACGTCTTCTGAGATCCAACAGCAACATTTATCTGTTTTTAAAACTCTAATGGATCATCAGTCATCTGTTTACCAGACTGAATCTTTTGGCGCGTGTCCACCTCCCAGCTCTGTTTGTGTTCATTATCCCCTCAGAAAGGGTCTGTTTGAATAAATGAATAAAAATCAAGGACTTTTTCCACCAACTTGGAGATTTTTGTCACGAAGAGCCAGTTTTAGGGGAACAAATTCAATAAAGCTGGATAAACGACGGCCTTTTCTGCTGCCTGTTTTTGTTCTGCTGATGTTGTGTTTTTGATCATCTTTTTATATCAAACATCGATTGTTTATCTGTGATAACCAATAACTGGCTCAATCAGGAGTCTTTACTTCCTGTATGTTTTTTTTCTCAAATTGTGTGCGTTTTGTTTCAGGGCGATGCTGTTAAAGACCTGATGCTCCGTTTCCTAGGAGAACAGGCGGCGATGAAACGTCAGGTCCTCACTGCCAACTCAGTGGAACAGTCCTTTGCAGGCCTCAAACAGCTCATTGTAAGTCACCAACTGTACTCTGTTTGTGAAAATAATCTGAGGCTCAGAAGATCACAAACTGTGTCAAGACAGCCTGATATTCTGACCGGGAAAAAGGGGGAAAAGTTCATGCTTTAAAGGAGGAGGTCCCTTTTGTACAACAATTTTGGGGGGCTATCTTAACCCATTTAGGTCCTGAACAACTATCATCAGATTATTTGCATGATTAACAGAATATTAAGATATGTCTCTTTGGTGTAGCTGATAACAAGCTTGATAAATGAGAGAGTACATGAAAATTTACTAGCATCCTGCTGCTTTTTAATATAAAGTTGGAAGTTTTGGAAAAACAAGATTAAGTTTCTGCAAAAACCAGCGTAGTTCAGCTTTCTTAGCATTCAGCATCTGAACTTTTCAAGCATTAACCTTTTTAACCCCACTCATCCTTCATCAACCAAACAGACCAGGACAGGACCAGCACATTTTGAGAATAGGACAGCCGCAATATTCTGGTATGGACAATAACCATTATTTAACAAAAAATAAAAGATTACTGACGTGGTGAAAAATAAGCACTCAGTAATACAGTGAGTTTGTAATGGTGGTCCTTTACATTGTCATGAAACCGAGGAGAAATAAAGAAGACGCAGCCGCTGAGGAGCTAGCTGTAGCATATAAACAGACACTCAATACTTACTGTAAATCCATTAGCAACATTAGAGCTTGTGCTCTTTCGGGTGACTAATCAACAAACACTTTCAATTTTAAACCTCTCTTTTAACTGTTTTTACTAAGCTCTAACTTACAATGAACCAGGAGTAGTAAATTTCAAAATAAATGCATAGTTTGTAGAGCAGGAGAAAACCTTAACGCAGGACAGAAAAATATCAAAATAAATGCAGGACAAATGACTTTTATGTCCATTAATTGCATTTGTTCATAAACAAGGTGCTGCACGTTAAAAATGGCTTGGTTTTACCTTGTTGCAAGCTGCTGATGGTGTGCACGTGTTTTGTGGGACCATTGCCTCACTTTCTAAAGGTTAATGACAAAACCACGGGCAGGTTACCATGGCCCAACATCCTGTTGTTACTGCAGCTCGTCTGACCTTCTGACAGTCAGCCTGTACAGTCAGTGATTGCTCTGACACTGCTGGGTGGTCAGGGCTCAGCTGACTGATAACAGCAAATGACTCGCCTCCTTTCTCTTCATATTACATCCCTCTGCTGCTCTTCTGCAGAGCATAAAAACCTGCACTCACAAAGCTTGTTCCCTGCCCCGCTGCCATCCATTCCTCCATCTCTCCTGACTTTATGCATCCCTTCATCATCCTATCTGACCCACACATGACCCTGAGAGACGGTTGTTATTTAAAGCATATGCACAGCAGCAGCAGCAGACAGAGTGATGGAGAGAGGAGAAAGAGGAGAGGAGGGTGGAGTGGAGGGATGGAAAGGTGGAGATCCACTTGGCTCACAAGTTCTTTTCTCCTGCTGTGCCCATGTATTATGCATGGGGCTGCTGTGCATATTTCAAGGGCCTTCTGGACTTGGTGTACATACACAGACATACACACAAACACACAAACAAGATGGTACTCTCAGCTTGCAGTCTGTATGGTGTGCGTGAGTGTGTGTGTGTGTGTGTGTGTAAAAGGATCATACACAGCCTGCCAATTGGTGTGGGAGGCTCCCTGTAGCAAGAGGCGAAAGAAAGGAGAAAGACGGTGAGCTGGGGAGGTAACACAGGCCTTCAGGAGAGATGTCTAGAAATGACAAGTGAAAAAACAGGGAGAAATGTTTGTGAGATAAGGAGGCAGAGGAGGGCTACACCTGCTCTGTACAGTACACACACACACACACACACACACACGCACACACTCATGAGGGTAAAGGCTCAGTTATTTTATTGATAACATGCAGAGGAGGAACATGATCATCTCATCCTCTGTATCACTAGGTAATGAAAAATAGACTCGAGTATCCAAATTTGCTCTGATAATAATTAATCAATACTGATATCTGAATACTTTGAATGTGTTTGATATTGAACATTTAATATTTGCTTCAGTCATTTAAATGAAGTTTATAATTGGAGTTTGTGATGTTAGAAATTCCAAGTTAGGCAGCCATCAGATTTATGGGCCTTCTTTTATTACTGTAATCAAATTAATTCATTATTTTGACAACCTCTACAAATATATGAGAAATTAAATTTAAAAATGGTTTGGCTTTTCATTCATAGAGTCAGACAGTTATCGTTAACATTATCAATTAGTCAGTGTTTTTTTTTCTTCATTATGCCTCTCTCATTTCATTCCTACTTACAGTAGTGAAGTTAGGGGTTTTATTTTCTCTTGACTTAGTGCAGATCTTTGACAATCTAACTGAAAATGATCTTGTGTATCAAGGGCTAAACCTGGCTTTGAATTTAGTCAGTCAAAGTCCCAATTCAGTGTGACGATTCAACGATCCCTTTTGAGTTCAGCATCACAACAAACTCCCTTTTCAGCTGTCATGTTTGATCTGTAAGGGGCTTGTTTACCAGAGTTTTCCAAAAAGCATTATGTGAGGGTGAGACTTCAGAACATTTGTAGCTGACTCCCTTTTTTCAGGTCGCCCTAACTCCTTTTAAAACTCTTATCAGTCAAAGGGATGAAGGATTTTGCAATATAAAAGACGTCTTGATTTAGAGGTATCAGAGGAACAAGATCAGCTAACATTAGCAGCAGCTTGGCTCACAGCCTCCCAAAAAGGTGTGACAAAGAGATGCTGTTTTTTTCTAACACACACTTTATTCAGATCTGCTTATTAAGAGGAGGAGTTAACCTCTGCTGATAATTTTTCATAGTCGAATCGCAGTGAGCCCTGAAAAAACAAGCGGAGAAATGACTGATGAACAGCTCAGCTCGCAGCCCCCACTGATGTCCTGATTTAAAGAGTGTTTTAACATGAATTACTTTCTCAACTTATTGCAGCCGTAGACTTTTCTCAGCAACTTTTTTAGTCATCCTGACCAGAGACAAAGAGGTAAAGTTGAGACAGGCTCACTAACAACTACAGTGCACCTCACTCATGTCAGCCGTGCCCCGAAGTATGCAAAATATGTAACCTTGATACCTACAAAATTAAAGAGTTAAAAAGTCATTCACCACTGGTACAGTTTGTGTGGATTAAGGGGGTTAATGATTAGACATGTATTGATCATATCAAATTTATACATAATGAATTTATGTAGGGTGATCATATTCTGAATCCCCTAAAAGAGGACACGACTGCACGGAGTCACGCATAGTAAATTTTGAGTTTTTGAGGTTGGGTCGAGTGTTTTTTACGCACTTCTAACTCAGTTAGTCCATGTGACACAAACTCAAAACTTCCATACAAAACCCCGGACATTAACAGGATTTTATAGACTCCTCAGATAAGGCCGAACATCACCCAAAAAAGAGGACATGTCCGGGTAAAAGAGGATGTATGGTCACCCTGATTTATATAATTCAAAAATCCAAATTTTTAACAAGCAACTCGTAAATGATTGTCAACATTCCCAAAGATCTATCACAAAGAATACTTTTGAATGTACATCCCAAGTGATGAGGGTGGTTTTTAACTATTTTTGTAAAGATTGAGATTTTTTGAATGAGACTATTTGCAGTGTCCAAGCCTCAAGTTTACACTTGTCGAACTGCAGTTTTAAGCCCTTCTGTGTTAGCTTCATTTTGGGAAATGAAGCTTTGATACTGGGATTAAACTTTATTTGCTGGAAGACCTCCACTTCTGAAAATAAATTTACTTTTCCATGCAACAAAAATGTTGCAAAAAGTATTTATGTAGACACTAAAAAGTTCAGACTCTATAAAATATAAACTGGCATGCTGAGGATGCCTGTTTTTATTTTCAAGTCCTGTCAGTGATGGCCATGGTTTTATCTGAAATCATTAATTGCATTAGCAGATTTTGCCCAGATCAATGATTATCCACCGTGAATCATCTCTTATTGCAAATCAACACATGATGTCATCAGGACGTCTGCTCAGAGGGATAACCAAAGACTTGTTCCAAACCAGGAAACCAGCATAATTTGATACTTGTGGTCCTTACCAAACAGAAAATCCTCTTTTCACTTGCCTCTTTTCCACCTCGACTCGAAAGGTCAGAATCAGCTGCAGAGCAGCTCTTCTGCAGCTGTTTTAGATTCAGTGTCTCGTTTCGAAAACACTTCAATGAGACTCATGATTGCTGACACAGAGACTTGAACCCAAGGCCTCCATCTGAAGGACAACATCTCTGCTCGCTGCATCAGCGTGGAGCCAACAAGTCCTGCTTCTTAATCGGGAGCTCACTCTGCTTGTGATGGCTGCGCTGACATAATAATCATTCAATGAGTCACTACTGCTGATGAATGGACTAGACACCATCTGCCTCCTCCATTTACTACCATCCACATGCATTCAAATGATTTACTTACCAATAAATTAAACATTTCCAAACGTTGAACATCAAAGTCACAGAGCAAAGTTGCAGTGGCAGAGCTTATAATTGAGGTGGTGGAGCCGTGCACAAACACTGTGAGAAATGAACAATACGAGTAAACATGTGGCCAAAGGAACCTGCTGTAGTATGTCCACTAAATAAATAGAACCTAAATTTACTTTGAGGCAACTTAAATTATACAAGTTAAAACCGGATATCAGTACTTTTCATTCATACCAGCTTAAAAAAGTACTTTGAATGAATGACACTCATGTTTCACTTTTTTCAGTGTTGCACCTCAGGTGGGCATTTTAGGAACTGCAGTTTTCTTCTTTTATATCCTTGTCAGCTGAATTTGTACAGTCCCAGACATCCCCTTCTGGTATCATCTGTCAGGCAGGGGATTGCATTTGCTTGTCAGGGGTATCCAGCACAGTCCGTGTTTTTATTTACACGCTGTAAACACGTTTAAAGCTGCTCTGTATTTGATGTCAGATATGATCATCATGGCCTTTTGCTCGGATGAAGCCAGCAGTCAAGCAGTCAGTTCATACAGCTTTCCGTGTGTGTGTGTGTGTGTGTGTGTGTGTGTGTGTGTGTGTGTGTGTGTGTGTGTGTGTGTGTGTGTGTGTGTGTGTGTGTGTGTGTGTGTGTGTGTGTGTGTGTGTGTGTGTGTGTGTGTGTGTGTGTGTCTGTGTGTGTGTGTGTGTGTGTGTGTGTGTGTGTGTTGATGAGCTCTGCTATAAGCTGGCAGAATGAGTCATGCTGCAGACCCAGAGTGTGAATGCACCCATCGACATTCAGACTCACTCTACACATACATGCATGTGCACTGAGTCAGTCACAACATACAGGAGATTGAAATGAAGACCCTGCTTGTCTCTCTCTCTTTCATTGCTTCTCTGTCCATCTCTCTCTCCTTCTCCTCTGGTTGATATAGACATCACTGCTGGAGAGCTGTCATTACACATTCTGAGACAAAACCCCTCAATACTTCTTTTTTATGAGGCCACTTGAGTCGGAATGATGACAGAAAACTGCTGTGATAAATCTACAGGAATATCCTGATCCTTTATTGGCTGATTACTGAACCTCAGCACTACAACTATCACATCAATTCGAAGAACAATATATGTCATTATACATACAGCAAACAAAGGTTTCCCAACTGAGGTGTATTTTTGATCAGCTGTGGTTCTCATGGATCATTTGAGCTGTTAAATATCAAAAAAGACTATACTTTTTTTCAGGACCAGGGTGTCGTCTTTGGGCAGCTTCTTATTATCCAGCCAATGGTCCAAACTTAAGTTTAATACAGAATGATTCCGGTAAAAGCAATGTAGACCAAACCCCCTAATTTTGAATGTTAAAGAGCCACCAAGACCATGTTTGGTATTTGTAGGGCTGCACAATAAATCACATTTGTGATCATATAAAAGGGATCACATGCACCAAATCATATCAGTGCTGACTGTAGCCTCTGTTCATGGGGCGCCTGTTCCACCAACTGAGCCAAGCCAGCACCTCTTAAGCATCGTTTTTAGGTCGCCCTCAGGTGGAATTGTTGTCATGTTGGTGGAAAGTTTAGGCTTGATATCTTTCAGAAGTACAATTACTACAGATTTAAGTAGATACCAACTGTTAGGGATATTTTGTGTTTGCAAGTATAGCGTTCCCATAAGCAACAGCATCCTGGCCAAAACTAGTAAGATACAAGGGGGATATTCCCAAGTGTTGTTTCACAGATTTGATGAAGAGCTAACTTGTGGGGTTGTTGGTTATAAATAGTTTTTTCTGAAGTGAGTTTGGAGGCTCACCTGTCCCCCCTCTCTGCTCCAGACTTTGACTTCTTAGTGACCTCTGCTGTGTGGTCAGCAGTGGGTTTGTCTCTGGCTCAGCACCACCCTGGGCTGGCCTCATCTGTCTCTCTCATTAGCCATCACCCCTCCTCTCTCCCCCCTCCTCTTCCTCCTCCATCTCTGTCTGTTCTCCCCTCCCTCTGTACTTTTCACCAGAGACTCTAACCTCTCTTTCCTCCCTCAGTGTGATGCCGCCTGGGCCCGGGGCCAATAATATATATATGTATGCGTATGTGTGTGTGTGCACATGAGATGGAGAGAAACCCACCTTGGCTGGGTCAGACAGACACACCCCCATAATCACTGCGACGAACCCAGCTGCTGCATCGCACTTTGATATCATTGCTGTAACCTTTATGTGTCATTATGGTAACCTTTTTACATAGCTGTCATTTCCGCCACTAGTTACTCTTCCAGGCCGGGGTCTGGGTAATGCACCGTCAGCTTTTGTAGCGCTGAAGGGCATATTTAAACCTTAGTGGTAGCTGTTTTCACCTTGTTCTGTTTGTGTTGGCTGTAGCCAGATGCTCAGAGGAGTAAGGGTAGAGTTTACGCTGCTGGACTAGAATACAAGAAAAGTTACTTTTATTATATCTACCCTTCTTCTTTTTGTAGTTTTGCAATCCCTCCTATCATATAAATGAAAATACTGATTTATTGCATGGATTATTTAAAACGTTACCAAGTAGAGGGCACTCTTCTTTGAAATCCATCCCAATATCTGGGCTGCCTTTTTAACTACCACAACTTTACTGGCTGATAGCACAATTGAATAACCTGTAATCTTTTGTCCCCAAGAGAAGAAAAATAAAAACCCTCAAAAAGGCTCTATAAGGATAAGAGCATGCCAGTGCTAACTTTTAAGGTCCTTTCACACCAGTACCATTTTTTAAGTGCGATTATTTCGGACGTCATTATTTTTTTTGAACCCGTATCCTGTCAATACAAGTGTTCACATCAGCTGTGTTATCCTGTCCTTTCATATTGCAGCATTTGTTTTTTCGGATCATGGTCGATTTTTCTAAAGTTTTGCATACTGTGTGTCCACTTCTGACCAAACAGATTGCGTGTTGTTGTGACGTCAGATTCACCGGTATATCCAACATGGCGGACCGGCTAATTGTTTACATGTCGGAGAACAGAGTGCTTTTTGATAAAAGACACAAATATTACAAAGATAACGACCTGAAGGACAACTTGTGGAGAGTCATAGCGTCGGATCTCTCATATGACAATAGCATGTGTGCTTTAACAGTTTGCTAAACGTCTTTGTTTTAACTTTCATCTGTGCTAAGTAACTTTAGCTCGTGAGCTAACCTGTTCGGATACAACATACCATATGTATTTTCACTGTCTCAAACTCGATCACAGCGTGGCTGTCACAGCACCATTAGGTGTCGGTTATAACCTTACGTTTATGGATTATAGTTTAATGTGCTTATCTGGTACTGGCCCCAACTCATTACATGCGATCTAAAGTCCAGCAGAATAGTATGCTACATGCTACAGACAGCCATCTCAACACTAGTGTCTAATCAGAACTGAAAACGGTCAATCTGGTGTTGTGCCAGTCTTCTCGCTTCCACCCGGGACGCGTCTTTTCCCCCTGGAGAGTCACAAAATCACATCAGGCTTGATATGTATAGTCAGGGGCATCAGAATTCGCCTCCGAATACTTAGTAGTTTTGCGTTCCATATTCGTGTCGGCCCCAGTGTGTAAGGACCTTTAGTCTGCAGTTACATGCCAAAAAAAGGAATGAAAAAAGGGAAAAAACAGCACACTATTTGAGTTTGGTTCATTGTATTTGCATACATGCATTAAAAAGTGTAGTGTGCAGTCCATTTTACCCATTCTCTTAATCAGTTGGCTGATTAATCGGGCCAGTTAACAGCATTTTGACATATTTGGCATCATATCAGTATCAACTCTCACAAAGCCTATATCGGCATAATCTTTTAAAAAAAAAATGCACTTGACGGCAAAATCAAATCTAAGACTGACTAATATTTAATAAAAAATTCTGATGACTGTGCTCTAAAGAATAATGCAGTTCAATATTAGTAATATTAATATTTACCTTTTTCTTTCTCACTTTTTCCAGATAGTTGGGCAGAAATCCAAAAGTCATTGGTGACAATATTTTAAAAACCCTTATTTGTTGATGTTCATTTTGCTGAATTCACTTCAATTGAGCAATATTGTTTTTCATTTGATGGTGTTATTACTAACTGAGTGTGAAGCGGCTGAGATGTGACAGTAGTGATGCAGACGCTGCACAGATCTGTCGTGGTGAAGAGGAAGCTGAGCTGAAAGGCAAAGCTCTGGATATACTGGTTGATTTAGGTTTCTACCCTCACCTTTGGTCACAAGCTGTGGGTAGTGACCAAAAGAACAAGATCACGAGTACAAGTGGCCAAAATGAGTTTCCTCACAGGGTGGCTGGGTGCTATCATGGATAGGATGAGACGCTCGTTCATCTAGGAGGGGCTTAGAGTAGAGCTGTTGCTGCTGCTTCTCCGTGTTGAGAGTAGTCAGATGAGGTGGTGTGGGAATCTAACCAGGAAGTCTGCTGGACGCCTCACTGGTGAAGTGTTCAGGGTACGTCCTACCGGCAGGAGACCACACGGAAGAACCAGGACAAGCTGGAGAGTCTATGTCTCTAAGCTGGCCCAGGAACACCCCAGATTTTCCCAAGGGAGAGTTGGACAAAATGGCCAGGAAGAGGGGAGTCTGGGCTTCCCTGCTTGGGCTGCTACCCCCACGACTCCACAACGGATAGGCGGTAAAATATGACTGGACAGATGGCATTTTTATATTACAAAACAACAATATAACATTTGCAATATTTACTGGCTTGAAGACTTCCGGCACGGTGCTGAAAATCCGGCTCGGGATTTACATTTTTTCTAATCATCAAATCAATCAAAAAAAAAAAAACCTGCAGATGGACAGCCTCACGGTAGCTGGTGCCGAAAACTGAAAGAGCCAGGTGCTTGTTTTTGAGTGCCTTGCACCAGAAAGCTTATATATGGCAGCAGTGGGAAAAAGTTCGGTGAAGTTGGAAAGATATTCACAGATTCTGACTTCCGGGATCAATAACTTGTGAGGCGACACGTTGTCCAGACACAAATGATGCCTCTTTCACGTCATAATAGCACAGACTACTAGATACAAAAAACGATTTTTCTACAAAATCAAGCAATTCTTCGAGGGCAAGTGCGCAGGGGACAGGCACAGGACTTTTCTCTGCTTCAAGCTCTGCTTAATATTGGTAACAAATCAGTCGGCCGCTGCTCACGACTACCCTTTTACTTAAATAAAGATGTCTGTTGTCTCTGGAATCCTGTGTTATCGTACCCTAGCTAGTTATACCAATAACTATTAGCATTATACATACATAAGATCCCGTATTATCGCAGCTACTGACCGTACCTTCTGGGTTGGCCCTAGCTTTCACAGTACTGTACAAACTTAATGTGTGTGCTGAACTTCTGCGGCAGTCTCAGAGGAGAGAGGAAGTGGGACACTTCTGTTATTGTTGACAACAAAACCATCAAAAGCTATCCAGTCGCCCACTACTCAATCAGTGGCTGATATCACCCAGAGGAGTGTCACTTAGCGCTGTGCTGAACTGTCTGAGGGAGTGTTATGCGGAGTTCTCCTACGAGCCATGAGCTACCACACTGTCTTCGCATAATATATTATGCAAGTTTGTGTCCTTACATCTATCAGTGTTACTGTTTGAAGAGTCCAGCGATTGCCTGCGGGAGACAAAATGGCTGCTGTGTGAAGTTCATATCAGTACAGCAGCCGAGCAGGCCGTCCTCCAGCTTCAGGCCAGTCTTCTGTCCCCTGGTTCAAGTGTCTGAAATCAGCTACAGAGGCATCAAAGTGAAGTTAGCCGCTGTTGTAATGACTGGCATTCTCTTTTACCATATCACAAATGTGTGGTTTTTTTCACACCCTCTGTGTAATCCAAAATTCCTGAGCTTAATTGAAGTCGCACGGGAGCTTGCTGTGTTAACCAAAGTTGGTGCGAGGAAGCCTTTTTAAGTCCAATTCGCCTTGAGGCTGCAGGTCTTGCGAGAGAAGAAGTGGGCGTTCGTTTGTTCATCAAGCTTTTGTCCTGCAGGTTTTTTTGTATAAACTCACTGAAGGAAAGGCGCATGAACTCTTGATCTACAACACATTTTAGAAACCTCATCCTTTTAATTACGGCAAGACTAATTATGAATCTGTGTTTGTGTGTGTGTGTGAGAGAAAGACAGACAGAAGAAGTGATGTGTGCATATCCTCACGGCACACATTTATCTTGCTCTCTTTTTAAAACATTAAGATGCAACTGAAGGAACTCTTGATTATTACAATCAGTTCACATTTTTAATGTTGATATATCTGTCTTTTTAACATGCTTATCAGTACGTGCAGTAAGTTTGCTGTGATTAAAATTGGTGTTTCTTTAAACTCGAGAACATGGTAGGCTACCACCTCGGGGAGCTCTCTACTATCCTCTCCTTTCCGTGTAGTCTGGAACAAAAGCTGTTTTACTGCTTTCCTGTTTTCTTCACAGCAAAGAAGAAATAAATATGCCCCCTTTACAATAACACCAGAGACAAGCTTATACACTCACACACTTCTTTCACTCTGCCTCAATTGTCTCTCATTTAATATCACCGGCAATAAATCACCATGGTTATGCCTCCTCATTTGATTTAGGAGGGATCTGATTATGCTTTATTGTGGAGTCATTTGAGTGGAGCTGAATTATTAATCACAACCAGCCTATTGTTTTTCTATTTTTATTTTCTCCCAGCCCCTTTTCTTTCTTAATTGAAATCAGTCAACCTGAGACACACTAATCACTGTGTCACTGGCATTGTTTGGATGCTCGTTGGCATTCATGGCAGGCCACCATAAAGCACTTTGTGTGTTATTAACAGAGAATAAGTTCACCTGAACTATTTCACTTTTTTAAAGGGATGAAAATGAAGATTTTTCTGATCCTCCCATTTGATCCAGGCTGAAATATCGCAGAAACTATTTCAGGAAGTTTTCATGAAATCTGGTGGAAATATCTTGGGCACCCAGCGGATGAGTCCTAATTAATTTGGTGATCTGGTTAGTCATCCCTTCGCACCGCCAGCTCTACAAAGTTTGGCACCTGATGGATTAGCACTTGTGCAGATATTTATGGCTCATAGACACAATGAGAAAATAGAGATGGGAATTAAGTAGATTTTATCAATACTTAGGCCATCACCAGTTCTGCTCACCGATCCAGATCTTCATTGAGTCCCTTATCAATTCTTGTGGATTTTTGTCAGCACATACAGGTTTTTAATGTTAATCCTATTACAAGTTTTACTCTCTTTACTCTGCTGAAACAGGGAAGTCTGGCTCTCTGCAAGATTAGCTGATACAGCGTCTGATTGGTCAGACCAAAGATAGCAGCCTTCCTCTGGCATAATCTGCTAACAACAGAAGAGAGTATATTTCTTTAGAAGTGATCCATAAATCATCACAGATTACCTTCATTTTTGAGTTACTGGATATGAAAAGTCACTGAGGAAACACTCATCATCTCTGTAGGATAGAAGGCCCTGGATGTCACAGAGACACAAAGTTTATCACCGAGAAGAAGTCAGTCTCACAAAGTGAGTGGATTTTACAGAAGATCATCCCAATCAAATTTTCAGAGTAGATATTGTTATCACAGCAGTATTAAGTAGTATAGGACAGTATTTTGGAGCACGCTTGCCGTCTTAACACCATGTTTACTTCTCTCTCTGGCTTTCATAGTAGAAACTTGACTCTTAAAATACATGCAAAACATTCTAGTTGCACTAAATCTCCTCAATGTCAGACTAACACACCAAGATAAAGAGGTTGGGGATGCATTTTCTCTTGCTAACTTATGCCTCAATCAAACTGAAATTGGTGAAATTTGCACAGACATTAAACAGCATAAATGGGCGGCTAGGACACTTGGTAGGTGACAAAATCTCAAAAGAAGAAGCAGGTAAGATAAAATTGTTTGTAGAGAAAGTGTGGGAGGTAAAGTCGTCTGTTTTTTAATCGTTTGATGTACAACCTGTTCGTTCTGTCAGTCAGATTCTATTTGTAGAGCACTTATCGGATAACAAAATGTAGCGGAAAGTGCTTTATATGAAATCATTTAAATCAATCAAAACCCTGTTTCATGTGCAAGGCTTATGTCAAGCAAACAAAACAAAAATCTGACAAGATACATTAAATACCAGGGGTTCAGATGGAGAATGAAAAAAATACAAGGTAATAAGCAAAATGAAATACCAAAAACAAACAAACAAAAAATCAATTAACCATGCCATAAAAAATACTAGACCGGGTGATAGATCACTTAAAATTGTATACGTCATAATGAAACAATATCAAATATAACTCAAGACCTGAACAGTTAGGTCTTCTGTTTGTAGGTTGTTTTGGTATATGAGTAATGAGTCGACTGGGGGAAAAGAGAGCTGATAAGGGGCGTGCCTTTACCTACTGTAGCTGAGGAAAACACACTCTGGCCTGTAATTAGATTCTTGCCCAGTGCCAGAATGTCTTTGTCTAATGTCTGTGTGGGACTGGGACACAGGCATTAGCTCGATAGATCCATCTCGACTTAACTGTGCATGTAAACGTACTGAGTGTGTGTTTCTTCTGTGTGATAGAAGCAGCTTCTACACCAGGTCTGTAAAACTACAAAATGAGAGGAAAACTGAGTTTCTGTCACTGCAACATAAATATACGGTGGAGAGGAGACTGCGCTTTCCAAATGATACATTAGCATGTTGAACACACTGCCTAATTTGTCATTGTTCCTGCTCTTTTTTTCATCAGCAGGGTCAGAGCTCAGGTTCAGTCATCAGAAATGAAAGTGGAGCAGAGATGTCATTACCTCACATCAAGGGCGCTCACAATTGCACGCTAACTTTAATGGAGTCTGACCCTGTGATCCGGCGGTTGTAAAAGCTCGCCTTTCAAAACACAAAGCCTGCCGCTCTTGCACCGCTGTGCACCTTTAGCGCACGGTTCAAGACCTTAAATTACAGGCTGGTGCAAGATAATATCATACCATAAAGCTATGCGTAGAAGCAATGCAGCATCATTACATAAGGTCTGAGCTGAAGTTCACTTTTCCAGCTTTCAGGGCTTTTTTCCACTTTGGCTCCTTGCTGTGCATCTTTGCAGCTCCCGTTGGCCCTCGGCTCCCCTCTCCTGTCCTTTCTGCTACTTTCTGTACTTCTTGAAACTCTTAGTCCAGAGTTTCTGCTCTTTTGTCTCTGATCCACTATGGCTAACTTTAACTCCTGCACTCTCTCACTACTCGTGGGCCAGATTTCTTCCATCCATATCCTCGGTTGAATCTCCTTATTCCTCTGTGCCCTGCCTCCACTCAGTGTGTGTGCAGCTACATCACTGCTGGCTCTTCTCATTTCACCTCCTCCCGATCTCGCACACATATCCTAGAAACACACTCTGGCACACCTGTCTTCTCACGCCCTGTGGCAGGGCAGCGGTGTACTGTAGGATATAAAGTGTGTGTGTGTGTGTGTGTGTGTGTGTGTGTGTGTGTGTGTGTGTGTGTGTGTGTGTGTGTGTGTGTGTGTGTGTGTGTGTGTGTGTGTGTGTGTGTGTGTGTGTGTGAGAGAGAAAGAGAGAGAGAGTGGCTGCAGCTGCTTTTGGCCATCCAGGCTGCCTCCTCGTTTTCAGCTTCATTTCCCCCCCTAATGAAGATTCAGAGGCAGCGCAGCTCCCGGTACAGGGCAGGGGAGGAGAGGAAGGGAGGAAGGAGGAATAAATGCTGCCAAGGAAGAAAGATAGGGAAAGCAGAAATATGAGGAAGGAAGGAAAGGGAGGAAGTGATTTGAGGAGAGAAAAGGTGGAAGAGGAAGTGAGCTTCAACAGAGGTAAAGAAAGAGATAATGGTGATGAGTTGAACGATAAAGATGGTATAAAACAAAGTACCTCTTTCTCTCTCCCTCCCTCTCTTTCTCTCTCTCTCTATCCTAATTAGCTCTCAGGCTGTGATGAATGGTGCAGCACTTAGAAACCAATCGTCAAGCCGACCTTGTCATGTGTGTTGATGGGGTGGGGTGACTCTACCCCCCTCCCCCTCCACCACCACCTCTATCCCCCTCATACCTATAGTACCACCTCCTGTGGAAGCAGATGCTGCTTATATCCAGGTCTGTGTGTGTGAGTGTGTGTTGAGTAACTAAATATCCTGTGAGTTGTAGAGAAAATATAACGTTTCTGCTTCTGTTTCCAGGTTTTTATCTGCGCATTTAAAGCCAGCGCAAGCAGTTGAGTCCTCCTATCTTTCTGTGTGGTGAAAATTTCCTTCAAACTGCCTCCTGATCACTTTGTTGGAGACTAATGCCAACAGTGATGCCAACTGTGCACTCGTGTATGCACCCTGTCCGACTTCTAATACTCCTCTCACCAGTACTGGAGTCACCTTTTTACTGTCTTTCTCTGACAAAAGATGAAGTTTGGATGAGAAGTTTCCTTAAAATCAGCAGTGAAACATTTCCCTGCAGCTTTTGTTGCACAAACTTGAGAACCTAAAAACACTGACACTGCAGGGGTGGCCAGGATATAAGAATAAGAAGAACTTTATTAATCTCCGAAGGGTAATTCAATTGTCCGTTGTCTCAAATAATATGTCTCTAAAAGTTATCTACTATTTATTTTTATTTATAAGCGTTATAAAGCCTGATGGCTGTTCGTACAAAAGATCTTCTGAATCTTTCTGTCCTGCAGTGAAGAGAGAGGAACCGTCCACCACCATTTGCCCTTTGGTCCATCAAGGTGTTGTGAAGTGGGTGATCCATGTTCTTGAGAATAGTCTCCACCTTCCTCAGTGTAGATCTCTCCACCACGTCCTCCACTGAGTCCAGCTTGAGTCCTACCACAGAGCCAGCCTTTTTCACCAGTTTGTTAAGACGTCTTGCATCTTTGTGTTTGATGCTTCCTCCCCAGCAGACTGCAGCATAGAACAGAACACTTGCCACCACAGACTGATAAAACATCTGCAGCGTCTTACTACAGATGTCTTTTGATCGGAGTCTTCTCAGACAAAAGAGGCGGCTCTGCCCCTTTCTGTAGATGAAGTCTATATTCTTGGACCAATCCAACTTATTATTCAGATGCACTGTGGCCTTCCTGTCAGGTAATCTGCGATCCAGGAAACACAGCAAGAATCCACTCCCATCTCTGTGAGCTTGTCTTTGAGACAAGCTGTGTACATGCTCAGATTATTAGCATAACTTTGTCTCCTATCTGTCTGAAGTGTGGTGCAGAGCTTAAATTCTTGTGTATAGTTTCAGTACTTAAATGTGTTTTGGCTAATATAATGAACTTAAAGTGTGCATTTTTAGGTTTAGAAGAAAGACAAGCTCAGATAGTCCTCTTTTGCATCAGGGAAATTCAACATTTTGTAAAATACTTAATACAATCCAAGGGAAACAATTGATTACTGCAGCTCTAGTTTGGAGTTGATTCTGCTGTTTAGAATTTTTAGTGTTGTTATTTCTCATGTGTACTAATGATCACTCATTGGTTTTCTCAGACTCAAATGAATCACTGTCGTCGTATTTGTCAGCTGTAGTGTCTCACACTTTTCTCTCAGCCTGGTGCTGAGGATTGTGTGATACAGCTGGAGTTCTACCAGGTGAAGACTGAGCCACAAGCTTTGGTTGTGAGGATTTTCGCCAGCTGGAGCTCAGTGTCTAGATTAATTTTTTTTACAGTTAGAAAAGCAGGCCAATGGTTTATATGAATGTAACGTTACTACAACTGACTGAGAGAAGCTCCCCTGACATCTTACAAGGGTAAACATTATTACTGTGACTAATCAAACAGCCACATTATTGAGGTGAAAAGTAGAACGAGCAACAGACAAATCCATACACAGTTTGGTCAGTCAGAATTTGAACAGATTGAAAATTAATAATCATCATTAGTTTACGGAGTGAAATTGCTCACAAGTTTCTACAAATGTCAGGTGAGGTAAAGTCAAGTACCCCTGACTTATGACCATTTTAATAGTAATAGTAATAAATAACTTTATCTATTTAGCCCTTTATAACAGAAAAACAGAAATAGAGAGAGAGTACAGAAATACAGAGAAAGAAGAGACAAAAACAAGAAAAATAAAAGAGTTGACAACAGCAAGACATCTATACTGTTGCCACAATAACCAGTCAGCAAGAATAAGTTAAAATTCAACAAAATATGTAATTGAAAGTTAATAAAATAAGTTAGAATTCATTAAAAATACGCAAACTAAGTTCAAACTCCAGTAAATACACACATATAAATGAGATTTTCCTCTTTTATTTTGATAGGTAAAAGAAAATAGAAAAATTCAAACACTCTTAAGACAATTTTAAAGGAGACAGAAGCTTTGACTGTGTTTCAAACTGTAGCAACCTCTTCAGTCACAGTTCAGAGTCTGAAAAAGCTTTCTACTCTTGAGCATCCTGGTTTTTACAGGTTTTAAAGTGGAGGCTAGAGCTATTCTACTCAAATTGCAAAGAAACCATGTGGGAGAGTTCTCAGGGGTTCTTACCTTATAATGTTTACAGTTTTTGATCAGTGAAAATCTGTAAATCACAGTATTGTTCTCACTCTATAAGTTGCATTATTTGTGTCTGACATGACATTTTATCACTGAAAAATAAACATGTTAAACACCAGAATGGTTGGCCAGATATATTTTGGTGGCTCCTCTGGTATGCAGCATAAGTATATATTCAGATTTTTTTATTTTCCCATGCCTCGAGAAAACCTCTACCGCCCAGAAAAATCAACCATAACAGGTAGAGTTAATGGGTGAGGAAACACTAGTTAACCATTATCTAAGTCATATTCATCATCCTGCTGCTGTTTAAATAGGCCAGATGGAGACTAAAAGATCAAGAGGCTAATCTGTGGATGGATGATATCAGCATATTAGGCCAGGGGACATATAAGATACATATGACCATTGAAACGTTCCCTCAATGTGTCATTTTCAGACTTGATGAAGTTGAGGAAAGAGAGAAAGTCTTCTGAAAACCAGACGCACTTTCCTCACTGGTATCTGGTCTGTGATTTTAATTTTGAATGTGTTTTTGTGATTATGATATCTGGAGCTTCATAGGTGATATGCTTCAGCCTCCAGTCTCCGCTCACATCTCCATCAGTGTATCATGCGTGTGTGTTTCAGATCTCATGTGTTGTGTCTTTTCTCCCCTGCAGAGCAGTAAGAACTGGCGGGCTGCGGTGGATCTGACAGGCCGGCTGCTGACAGCTCACGGTCAGGGATACGGAAAAGCTGGCCAACCAACCTCCCACACCACCGACTCACTGCAGGTAAGACGCCAGGGATTTTCTCCCCATACGTCTCTCCATTCATCTGTCCGTCTCTCCGTGTGTTTTTGTGGGTGTTGGAAACTGAAGCCAAGAATCTTATTCTTCAGATTAATCCAGTTTCCAAACACCACCGCAGAAACGCAGGAGAATTTTGAGTTTGTTTTGTTGTTTTTCCTTCTATTCTTTTTACATGATTTGCACATCCTCATGCCGTGTTTGTAAGGCTCTATTCAAAAGACGGATGGCAGTGTAAGCTCATTAGGAAGGCCACCCCTCTGTTCAGCTCCACGCATGACACTTGAAATTAATCAACCATGTTGTCGGCTTGTGTTAGTTTTTACTCTTTATTTTGCTTTTTTTACATACTGGCACAAAGTTCAGGCTTTAAATGTGTTTTGTGTTTAAATTTTATGTTTAAATGATCACAATTAAAAACTTTTTTCCTCTTTACCTGCTCAAAGTTCAGCCAAAAGGTCAGCGACAGAATCATGCATCATAACAGAACTCTGTTCACCTTTCAGCACTGAGCTAAACTTTCACTGTCTGCAGAATCTTAAATAAGGAACAATAACACAAATATAAACACATAACAGGTGAGTCATCGTTAAAAGGCGCGCAATAGATGGAATGCATGGCCAAGAATTCAGTCAAGACCATTTACAGTTTTTATTCCCCAAACTATGGAGACCTGTTATTCCCAGTTGAAAAAAAACAAAACGGGGTATTACTTTATATCAAAGTCCTTTAATTAGCATCAATTACTGTTAAAGGGCTCTTCTAAGACCTTATAAGGTACTTATAAACATTGAACACCGTGCCCACTTCAGATCAGATCCAATTAATTGTTAATGAGTGCTTAATAAAGACTTGTTGTTCCCCACAAGGCTGTGATCTGGATCTTTTATTGTGTTACCCATGTTAAATAACATCTAATTTCAGTTAAAAAGTCTTTCATTTGTTCTGTCTGTCATTCAGTTGTCTTATAAGCAGCATTAAATGTTAATTCTGATTATAACAAAGCTTCACACAGTTCCATTAATGCTGATAAAAATCTGTACATACCGTTTGAAATACTAAGTTTTCTGCATGTGTATCAGGCTTAAAACTCATTTGTTAATAAATCTTAAATTATGCAGTCTGTTAAAAGGAAATATCCTTCTTATGTTTATGAGATGAATTGTTATAAGCACCTTTAAATTACTGAAGTGGCTAATCAATGATGATTAATGCTTATTAAAAGACCTTAATATAAAGTGTTACCAAAAAAGGTAGATACAAAACTTAATGATTCAAACATCCACAGAGTAACTAGTTTGTGTTTGACTGATGATTCAGTGAAGCTGTGACCAGAGGAGATCAGAAAATGTACACAATTCACATTTAATGTTCGTGTTTGTATTTGGGATATTTGGTTAATACTTCATAACAAACAGACGGAGGTGTGTTTGTGTGTTTTCCAGCTGTGGTTTGTGCGGCTCGCCCTCCTCATCAAACTCAACCTGCACCAAAACGCTGAGCTGGAGTTTGAGCCCTTTGGCAACCTGGACCAACCAGACCTCTACTACGAGTACTACCCCACTGTGTATCCCGGGAGAAGAGGTACACACACACACACAAACACACATACACTCAACCCTTTGGGTCATTACTACAGAGGCTTTCTTCCCCGGAAGAGCAGCTGATTAGAAACGCTTGTTGTCAGAGTCTGGCTCCTTTTTTTTATCCATAATGTGTCTGAAAAGGAGCTCCACAAATTCTCTGTGAAGGTTAGTGTTAGTGATGTTGCTTAAATCAGCTCTGATATTTGTATCTCAGAGTTTTTTTAATGTGTTATTAGCCCACTCTCCAGAAGGATTTTGCATTTTACCCACGCTTTTTTAAGGATACACTAGCATACCAGCACTGTCCTATTAAATATTCAAAGGAAAGTTTGTGCCAGGAGCTTGATATCAGACTGTATCGTCGAGAAGCTCCAACAACTCCACTTGTCTCCTGCAGTTCTTTGGTTTTGTTTTCCCTCCTTTTACACTGCATGAATTGCTCTCTAATGTATTCCCATTACTTTGGATCTGCTTCGCCCCTCGGGCTACCATAGTGAAGGCAGTAGCAGAGACACAGCTGCATGCACACACACACACACACATACACACACACACACACACACTCTTGTTCTTGAAGCTGCACTGCACAGCTTTTTAAAAAGAGCAACGATTGACTTTCCATTGCACAATTTAAACGCCGGTGCCCTGCTAGGTGCTCGCAGACAAACTGGCACGAGTTGTGTAGTTTGGCATCAGAAGTTGAACATTTCTTCAGCCCTTACGCTTACATCGACTATCTATTACTCATGATCGCACTCTTTGAACGCCCTTAGAGACAGCTGCCCATGTATTAAACTCCCGAGTATACGGATTGACTGAGCGCTCAGGAGGAAATCAATGTTTATCAGTTATTAATTGGTTTTCCAAATGAGAAGTTGAGGCCAATTTGGATGTAGAAATATTATGACCTGAATGCCACAGACCCAACAAGAGGAGCCCTTTCATGTGCTTTTTAAAGATGTCATTTTGTACTCAGCCCTCATGTGTGAACCTTAAAAAGTTTCAGAGACAGGCTGGTATTCTCACATGTTGAAATGAAAAACAAACCTGTGTACTGTTTTTCAAGAAGGTGTCCTTGATTCAGATCTTTTCACCACTCGCTGGACATCAGATGTCTGCTGCTCCTGCAGGTTTGAAAATCAAAGTCAACTTCATCAATGACGACCAATCAATAAAAGGGAACACAGATGTCTTTCCACTCCCTCGTTTTTATCTACCCCTCAGAGTCGACATAAATAAGAGCATTTTTGAAGCTCGAGAGACTTCATCAATTCAGAATTAAGGATCATGGGACCAGAGACATTTTTACTGCTGAATGCTGCTTATTTATTAGGGATGCAGTGATACCTTTACCTCAATACTAAAATTATCAATATCACAAAAAACTATATCATGAGATACATAATAATATAATGAGATACGATAAGATACAATGCTATATAATACAATATTACAAAGCAGTTCCATGCAATACAGTATAATATGGTTTGAAACAATACCATACCATAAAGTACTTAACAATACAACACAAAGTGACTTGATTCAGTAAAATATGAATGAGTGAACTGTAGCAATTTGTATTTATAATAAATGTGTTAAGATTAATAATCTTAAATTATGACATTTATGCACTTGTTGAAAGGGTCACCGCCCACCCTTTAATGGTGGGAAAATTAAGAAGAACAAAAGTTTCATTCAGAAATCAAACATTAAGTCAATCTCAAATTAACCAATCTCGTATCTCAAGCTGAAATTCTCATTTCAGGGACTCCGCTTCTGGAAGAACACTAACAGACAAGAACTTAGAAAAATAAATGATCTGTTTATTATAGGATAAATGATGGTACAACATCCATGCAATAAATGAGGATAAGATGATGAGGATAAATAATAATCGATGAACAAAAGAATTTAAGTCAGCCTATGATTACTAATGTTAATGATAGTGAGTGAACATGCTCTAACATATTAACCTACATTAACTCTGGTGTAAAGATAAATTTGGATGTGGATTTGGATGAATCTAGGATTACTAGAATAGGTGATTTTATTTGACATCCCCACTCAGTGTCTGGTTAAATTGCGAGCTCCTCCTCAACCGTGTCGCATGTTTAACTCTTCTTCGCCTGCTCTGTTTTCCTCTACCTCCGTTGGTCTCTGCGAGGGTGACTCTGTGGCCTCTGTGTGTGTGAGTACTGAGGAACTGGTATTGGAATTTCACTCCACCTGTCTAAAAACACTGGACACAATCGCTCCTCTGAAGAGCCAGCGCACCAAACCTACGCCCGAGCCCTGGTTGAACGACCTCACTCGTACAGCCAGGCGAGAGTGCAGGAGGGCGGAGCGCAGCTGGAAAAAGGGCAGACTGCATGTGTCTCTTGGCATCTTTAAAGATACCCTGTGGAAATATCAGAAGACTGTGAAAGCTGAGAAGAATAAATATTTCTCAGAATTAATTGCCTTTAACTGTAACAATCCTAGAGCTCTGTTCAAAACCATAAACACTGTCCTTGAGGCTCCCAAGTCTCTTGGTTTTGATGCCTCCACTGAAATTTGTGAAAAATTTCTCCACTTTTTCACTGATAAAATTATGTCAACCAGAGCCTGTATCTCTCAGCCTTCCTATGACCCTTCAGCCCCTCTGCACCCCTCATCTGTCTTTGCTAAATTTGAGTCTGTGTCCCTCTCTATTTTAAAGGACATAGTCAGCCATATGAAGGCTTCTGGTTCCCCTGCAGATGCCATCCCCCCTCGCTTGTTTAAAGAAGTACTTGCTACTATTGGACCAAGTGTCCTTAATATTGTAAATAGTAGCCTCTCCTCTGGTACAGTCCCTAGGGATTTTAAACATGCTGTAGTACGACCTCTACTTAAAAAAACTGGTCTCTGTGCCAGTTGCAGGCCCATCTCAAATCTTCCTTACCTGTCCAAGATTTCAGAGAAGGTTGTCTGCAATCAGTTGCTACTATTTTTGGAAGATAATGGTATCACAGAGTTGTTCCAGTCTGGTTTCAAAGTTCTCCACAGCACAGAGTCAGCACTTTTGAAGGTGTCTAATGATATTCTCTTGTCAACTGACTCTGGAAAGTTTGTTGTCCTAGTGCTCCTAGATCTGTCTGCTGCATTTGACACTGTTGACCACAGCATTTTAATATCTTGCCTGGAGGGTGTTGTCCTGGACTGGTTCCGGTCTTACTTAACGGACAGAAGTTTCTGCTAAATCTTGACAACTCTATGTTGTCAACAGCTCCTCTTCCACATGGGGGCCCCCAGGGCTCAATTCTCAGCCCTCTTTTATTTGCGTTTATCTACTCCCCCTTGGTTCTGTTTTTAGGAAACATGGCATTTCCTTTCATTTTTATGCTGATGATTGCCAGATCTATCTTCCACTAGCACAGAACAACTCCGACTCAGTCCGACAACTCACTGACTGTTTTAAGGACGTTAAAGCCTGGCTTTCTTTTAACTTCCTCAGTCTTAATGAGAACAAGACCAAAGTAATGATGTTTGGACCAAGTGGCGGCCACCCCCCCAACATCGACCTAGGCTCCCTCTCACCCTATCTGAAGGATGTCGTCACTGATCTGGGAGTTAAGTTTGACCCTCATTTTAAATTTGAGAAGCAGATCAGCGGGGTGGTACAAAAAAGTTTTTGAAGCCCCAAGTTGAAGCCCATATTATCAAGACCTGACCTGGAAAAATTAATCCATGCTTTTATCACTACCCGTCTTGATTACTGCAACTCCTTGTACGTAGGGATTAGCCAGGCATCCCTTGCTCGCCTGCAGCTTGTGCAGAACTCTGCTGCACGTCTCCTGACCCAGACCCGCAGGCGTGAGCACATCAACCCCATCCTGGCGTCCTTACACTGGCTCCCTGTTCAGTACAGAA